ATTATTACTTTTAGTATTTAAGTTAATCTAATGTAAACAATACTGTTACTTTATATTCTTACTTAAATTCTATATATATTATATATAAAAAGCCATCTGGCGTTTATTCTAATAAATAAAATAAATAAATATTACTTTTATGAAAAATCACAAGATGAAAACACAAATGAAACAATTCCAGATTACATTTAAAGTTATGTATTTTATAAAGTAAATTTATTTTTTTACAGTTTACATTTAATTTTAAATTTACTTCTTCATCGCGATGAACCTGAAGAATGGAAACATTATTCAACCGTGTTTGATTCATTATAGATTAAATGTATGTATTCATTCTGCAAACGGTAGATAAAGATCTTTCAGATGTACATGATGATTGATAATACTGATATTACTGGTATTACTAACATTATGTATAATATTTTGTTTAACTTTGGTAACATTTGATGTAGTGCATCACGTTTCTAATTAGTTTCAAAACATCTTCAAAATTCTTAATTGGCACCTCCCTTGATTTTGATTACATCCAAAAGTATACCTCTATGAAATGTTTATTTATCCCATTTAAAGTATGCTCCATAAAATTTAATTACGTTTTTAAGTAAATTTTTTTTTTTATATGATGAATCTTTCAAGTAACGATAAATGTTCAATAACATTTTGTTGAAATCTGAAACTAGAGTGATATAAATAATTGCTTAGAATAAGGCCTATATTTATAACGAATGTCATATAATACTTGTGGTTTACTTCCTTCAAATATACCTTTAGGAGATGTTCAAATCCTAGTTTCATTTTTTTTATTTTAAATATAATTAATTTGCATTTTGATTTATCCCATACAATTTTAAAACCAGAATATCTTTGTTCCTGAATTGATGTTTTCAATGATTTCATTTTACTTTGCACTTCTTGGAAGCTTAGTGCCAATGTTTGCAACTTTGCGTTTAAAAGGTTTACACGGTTAAAAATATAAATCATTACATTTGTTAAAAATTGTATAACAAAGTAATTATTGATTGCTCAGTATTTATAGAGATAAATATGATAATTGATTTTTTTTTTTCGTCCAACGGTTCATCGTCGAGTGCCTTTGTGGCTGTTACAAAATCTCTCCTACACAATTCTCAGGGGGGAGAGGGGGAGAGGATAGTACGACGTTTAACCCCCTCCCTTCGACATTTTACTAATAAAAAAAAAGCTTAATATTTGTTCAAAATTTAAGTTTAGTTTAACAAACATTCGCTAAGGTTATTAATATAATCCGTTGTCAATCTATCTAGTACTATACCAGTAGATAGGATTTTATAAAACTTTTTTTAACAATTTACAATTTACTTTTACATTACAGTAAATTACTAGCTAGGAATATAAAAACAGCATAGCTAATACAATTTTTCAAACATCTATCAATATAATTATTTAATTATTATAATATTTTTATAGTTTTATAATTTAAGTTCAGAGTGTAACAATAAAACTACAAATACATTAAAATTCATCAATAATATCATAATTTTATTTTTTGACCCTGAGGGAGGGTTTGAACCCGAACCCTTCCCCCTTTTATGTATGCCACTGAACAATATATATGTAATATTATTGTAAAATAATTACAACAATGTACGTTTCCATGAAAAAAAATGATTGTTTAATAAAGGTTAAAATAATAAAAACTTAATAGTAACAAAAATAAATGAAAACGGTTGCCAATGACAACCTTATTTTTAAGCTTTCAATCTTTTCTAACCTAAAGCACCAGATTTTCCTTATTATATCGAATATTGATGAGAATTTCAAAAAATAACCTCTTTAAAATACCACCCATTTCCTTTTAGAAAAGATGCTATACTTGATAATCGGAGTAAGCTTTCTACCAGATTATTACCAAATTATCTTTTATTATTTATTTTATTAAATTATTTAGTACCAATTATTATCAATCAAAATGAAAATTATTAAATGTATATTGTATTTATTGATAAAAACAAAGTTTAGCGTAGTGTCGTAGTTTTTTTTATAAGTATTTTACGTTCAAATGTTAACTAAAATCACTTAATTTTTTATTATCTTATGCATATAAGTAAATTGAATAATTAAGAAGTTTGATAATTTTATTGAGTAATAATTATTAGTATAGTTAGCTATGTACATTTGGGATCTGAATCTGTAAGCATTAGTCATAATTCGTAATATAATTATACGCCTATACAGATTAGGTTAGGTTCTTTAAGAAGATGTTTTCTTAAATTTATTCATACAATTATTTTTTTCATACGTACCAAAAATTATATTTAAGATAACACCTATTCTATGACTAAACGTGTATTAGTATATGTGTTATATATTTATATTTCTAAGACCTAAATAGGTAGGTACTGATTTTTCTAATATTTTTTTTAAATGTAATTTTTAAAAACTTTCAAATTCACACGTTTATTGTGTACACATATTTGTACAAGCAACCTTTAGTTAGAAACTTATAATAATCTTATATAAGAGTATTCATTGTTTTTTTTTTTTTTTTTTTGAAAATTCGTGTTTTCATAAAAAACTATAGACATTTCAACCATTTTATGAAAACTTGTACAGAGTCTTTATTATATTATACATACACATTATATATATTTTTAGATTTTGAGTGGAGCGAAGAAGCTTATGATTTTATAAAGATGTTTATTCTTTTTTTTTTCTGAGGGCAACTTTTCTACTAGCAATTTTGTTCGAACTTATAATAATTTTCCTAAAAGGAAATTTCACCGGGGTGGTAAATTAAAGAGGTCATTTTTCGATTTTTCCCGGAGTTTTCACAACCAATGTAAAAAACTGGGAAAAAACATGGGGAAACCAGGAAAAACGTAGGAAAATTGGAGAAATCGGTACAACATTAAACAAATATTTTTAAAAACAATATATAGAGCCTATTTAAATATTTTACTATAATATGCCGTATATATAATATATAATATATGTATATCGTTGACAAAACATCAATTGAACTCCACTCAGAATCGCTTTTTCGTAAGCAATGGCTTATCGTTGCTTACAGTTATACATTAAATTACCTATAAAAGTGGCTGCACCAATCCCCATTATCCTAGGATGTCTTTTTTTAATATTTCGTTGATTAAGTATTTGTATAAGTTTAATTTAAATCATTTTAAATGGATTGCTTCATTGTACCTATATTTGAATAAAACTTGATATTTGTTATCATTAGGATATCATTAGGGCTAGGAATTATAATAGGTATGCAATAAAATATTGAAAATATGCGTTTATTTTTAAAAATATGTCAAGCTATACACAATAAAAGTCTAATGTATTATTAATGAATAATGTGATTTAAACATCACTTTTGTTTTTTAATGTTTACATAAATATTATATGTATAGGTATACAAATATAATATTAAATACCTACCCAAAAACGTTTTTGCTACTGGCACACCTTAACGACTGAAAACAATAATACAGTAAAAAGTGTTTTACAACCAATTTTGAAAACTTTTATAATTTGACAACTTCAAATTTTGAATTTTTTCCAATAAATATTGAAGACTTTATATTGTAAAAATGTTAATTATATATATAATTGTGATTTTAAATTAGTTGTATATATGTATATGTATACAAATTGTCAAAAACCTAAATTGCAAAAAAAAAAAAGCTAATATCTACTGGGGACGGGTGCTGCTACTGTAGATAATGTTATTTAATTTAAATCTGTAACGAACGATTAATCATTACTAACAAAAAACGATTGAGAGCATCATTTGGTAATACATGTTTTAAAAGACCGTAATATTTATAATTTTCGTTAAAATTTAATTTTAAATCTTATAAAAAAAAAAAAAAATACTACATTATACTCAATTTTTTTTTTAACTACAAAAACAACTTATAATGAACATTCTGTGATATTTCTGTTTAGTCTAATAGTTTTATCCACAAGTTACCTACCAAATAAAAATTACGTAAAAAACTAGCAAAATTAAAATGTCTATAAATATAAATTACAAATGGGTCAAATATTATGAAAATTTTACCACGTCTAGACAAAGCAAATTTGAGCTTTAAGTTTCTACGAATATTTATAACTAAATTACATTAAAAATACAAAAATTGAAAATAATAAAATTATTATTTTCGTAAATTTCCAATTATTTCTACGTATTTTTTGATTTTACTCAGTTATTAAAAAAACTACAAAGACAATCAAAAACTAATTACCTTGATAACCAACTAGTTTAAACATTTATTTTCTATTGGAGCAACATTTCTGGTAGAAAATATAAGCCAATTTATTTATTTATTTTATCACCCAATGTATAAAAAAAAATAATATTTGTTAAAAGATCAGTCTCTCACCCCCCTCCCTTAATAATAAAATGGTTTGACTGTCACTATGTGGGGACGAGTATGCAAGTATGATTATGTTGATCGTATATTGTGTAGGTATGTTAAAGTAAAGGTTTGGTCGGGCATCACTATAATAATATTATTGCAGTTATAAATTTTACTAGGTATATTACTCGTATAATTATTCTCATTATATTTATATTCATAATATCATTTAACGAGTCTCATTAAACATATTCAAAATATAGTATTATTATTGATAGGCATGTATGGATGCAGTTGCGAACTGACAAGTTTAGCGAGCAATCTGTTTCGGGCGACATTGTTTACCGCGATCGTTTGACAACTGAAAGCATTTTTCGATAAACGGGTTGCTGTGGTGTCAGCGAACAATATTATTTGTAATTATTCGTTTACTGGAAAAATCCGTCGACAAAATACTGCGCACAGTAAACAAAACTGGTTGTTGATATTGCATCCGATTGCGGTAACAGACAAATCAGCGATAAATAACGCGGCAAACCGATTATATCGAAAACTGCATAGTAGAAACTCTTGTTTTTATTATTATGATTATTTTGATAAACCGGCAATACTAACGACGGATGAGTCGTATAATCACACCGAAGTAGCGGCGCGGCGATGGGATTTCGTACGGAACGCCGTCGTCGCGTCAATCATCATGGAGGTGTCGATGAAGCGACCCGTGCCCGTCGTTACATCCGTGCTGCGGTGCCGGTCGTTTACCGAATCCGAACGGCAACATCTGTTCAGAGTATCCCGGTTATTTATCACGTCCTATTACGCGTTCGTGTGCTATTACGGGCTCTTTGTGTTGGATCTTCGAGGTATTGACATACCCACGTTTCTCAATCTTGGCGACAACTGGTGGTGGAAATGCATCTCCGTGTGGAATTTGGTAAGTCTCGGCGGCAAATTATATCCGCTACCAGTAATATACACCAACAAAAATATTATAACCAATATATTATATATTGTACAGGTCTTTATACCTACATATAGAATCTAATATGGATATCTCTGTAAAATATTATGAGCACATTATTGCGGTTGTTCGTGTTTATCTCCGAATATTTTATATTATTACTTATTAGGCACGCAGGGCCGGATTAGATCATCCGTGATTGAAAAAATTGGCTTTTATATCATAGGTATCTACTTTTAAAAATTATTTTTATCTAGTGTATGTTATAGGTACTTATAACATGTGTGCAACACGTCTAAGCATATAACATACCGTACCAATTGCTATTTATTCGTAAATAATAATTATTATAATGTATTTATAATTTATTGCGACATAATTAAATACAATATAATAAAACACTAATTTAAAATCACAATAATAATAAATTCCTTATCGCATGGCGCAGTGCGTTGTTCAAAACGCTCATGTAAGGATCGATAAAATTCAGTAATAAATTGTACAAAATTAGACTATTTTTTTTAAGCTTTAGCCCTCTTTTTATATAAACAGACATAAGTAGGAAATCGATAAATGTTAGAAATGCCCTATAATAATATATACGTGCAATATAAGAAAATATCAGTATTCAAACAATTTACGAAATTATTTTTTTAAAAGAAAAAAAATCGAGGTTTCAAGTAGAAACATAACTTTTAGAATTTTAGAGTACGTCGTCTAAACAATATAAGTAAATAAGACGTAATACTTTTCTTTTTATAATCAAATAAGTCATAAAATAGATATACACAAAATACCGTGATGTATTAAAATTTGTACACAACGAAATACACTGCATATATAATTTTTTTTCAAAAACATACAATTACGAAATTTAAAGCAAAAAATAAAGAGAACAATTACAAGAAATAATTATGAAAAGTTTCAAAAATTTGACCCTGTGACCAATATAGACAATAGACTTGTTGACTACATCAGAATATATTTAATATGACATTGATTATCAAAAGATCAAAACTATATAGGTAAAAATTATTATTACCAAATATAATTTGTGTTGGAGTATTTTTCAGTAAAAAATTTAATTTCCAGCTACTTGACGTACCCACTAAAAAATTTCAAGATTATATATAAATGAATACATACATATTTCACCGAAATACGTATAAAATATTATCCATTTTTTTTTCTGATGTATCTTATACTCATAACAAATTAATTATACATATCTAATATATTAGCTAGTGTCAAATATATTTGACACTAGCTGGAACAATGTTAAACATTTATATTTTAAATATAGGTACCTACTTGTAGTGTTATAATATGAACACATAGGCATGTACTTACTAAAAAACTGCTAACTATTCGGATATTACTGCTGCTTGTCTTTTCGCTGACTATACACGTTTGAAACTGGTTAAAGTAGGTGACCGAACAGAATGCAAATAAAATGTATAACTATTCAGCGAAATCGGCAAGAAATTGTATTTAATAATATGGTATATTGTACCTATGTATATAAAATATACATATACCTAGTTTTAAAAAAAATTATAAACAAACCTATTTCATACTACTAAAATCGAAATAAAATATACTGTTTCTTTAATTATTAGTATTATAAATGATATGGTATATTAGGTATATCTTTTTTTAGAATCTCAGCGGAGTGAGAAATGTATTGGTTTTACAAAGATGTTTATTTTTTTTTTTGTGGTCTTTTTAACTACCTAGAAATGTTGCTCTGATTTTCAATGGAGCACTTCGTCTGAAAGGAAATCTGTCTAGGGTGATACTTTAGGAGGAACTTTTTTGATTTTCCAAGCATTATTAATTAGGAAAACCGGAAAAAAGTAGGATAGAAAAATATAGATAGAAAATGAAAAAATTTACGAAAAAAATACTTTTATTATTTTGAATTTTGTTTTATAAATGTAATTTATTATAAAATTCTCTTAGAGAATTGAAATTTGTACAGAACACTTATATTCATCTCTTATTGACATGACCAAATTTTCAAAACATTTGAGACTTTTTTGAGCTATTTATAAAAATTTTAATTTTACGAGTTTTTTACGTAATTTTTATTTTATAGGTGCTTTGTGGATATAATTGTTAGACTAAAAAAATTTAACAAAAGGTTCATTATAAGTCGTACTTAGTGGTCAAAAACAAAAAAAAAATTAGTGTTATGTAGTATTTTTATTTTTACAAAAGTTTTAAAATCAAATGTCGATCAAAATCGTTAATATTATAGCCTTTAAAAATATGTATAACTGAACTCCACTCAGAATCGTTTTTCGTTAGGAATGGTTTATCGTTGGTTACTTGTATAAAAAATAACTTTATGTCTTACATTCCGAACTACCCACATATTACAACTGCACCCGTCCTCAGTATCAAATATTTTTTTAAAAATATATTATTGTTTTACTTTGAATACTCGCCGATTGAAAATATGTTATTGTATCGAAAAAACTTCTTTCGATATTACTGGCGTATGCCATGCGTTTATAAAATGTTAAATCATTTTCAGATTTTCAGATATTCTGTTAAAATGTTTAATACAACACTCCAAAATTTCTTTTTTAAATTTTTTTCTATAAAATATATGAAATGTGCATGAATATATGTTATTATATTTGTTAATTAATTTTTTTTTTTTGAAAATCATTAAAATATGTAAAAAAAAATTAATATATATACATTGACCAACATTAATTGTATCTTGGTTTTTTATAAAATAGAGGTCTAAAAAAAACTTAGACGTCCTATAACATTATCTTTTAAATATTATACCTATTTAACCTGTACACAGTATTGCTCATAATATTCAACAACTGTTGTAGCAACTAAATGAACAACTTTTAAATTTAAAATATCATTTTTTTTTTTTATTTAATTTTTACAGGCAATACAAACAGCTTATTTCATATACTGTACGGTTTTCATAGATTTCGCCGATTCGGGCCCCGGAAAGACATGGATAAAACCTCGATTACAAAAGAACAAAAAAATAAGAGATTTTGTATATTTCAGTATTATATTTCCAATAACAATTGTAAGTACAACTGGCTATTTATTAAAATATTTAAATAATTGTTTAATTGAAAACTTGCATAGATAATATACAAATAGTTTACTTCAAACTATTTATTTTAGAAAATATTAATTAAAACCTAAAAGTGTGATGCTTAAATTTGTAATATTATATAGGTAGATTCTTCACTAAAGATGTAATTGAAATTTCTTCATTGTAAATAAAATAATTTTGGATTTAAAGTATTAGTCGATAAAAAAGTTTAAAGCTATTGGGTAAAAAACGATAATATGTGACATTCTTTTCTCATATGCAACGTATTTATCTAATAATTATTTACAAATTGATTTCCTTATTTTAGATTTTGAACCAGTGGAATGTAAATAGTGATAATGTATACAAATGTAGATATTGGTTTTACTATATCATATATTTTTTTTTTGTGCTAGCTCACATTCGTGTAGGAGATTTGATATAAAATTATGGACACCAGGCATAGTTTTTGGACTATTATGGTAGAATTTTAATTCTAATTGGCGCGCTAATTGGAGATATACTGTTGAAATTCCTAGTAGGTTTTTGTTTTAATAATTGGGAAAAAAATTATCAAAAAACAGGAATATTTACGAAACACCGGGTTTGGTTAAGAAAGATGTTGTTCTTTTGATTGTATTATAAAAAACAAAATACAAAAAGTAATTTTGATATATTTGTAGACACTTGATACTTTAAAATTTTTGTTTATGTTTTATACAAATATTAATTTTTTATAGTTTTTAAATTAAGTATTATTATATTTTTTCTTGAGATGACATATTGTAGTGGTCGACGGTAATAAAGAATAAATCGACTATACCTATATCTACCTTATCTATCTTTAGATGTTGTACTACTGTTTCGTGATTTGTTGAAAAAATAAATTATATAGGTGTTATTTCAAAAGCTATATTCTTAAAAATTCATTATTAAATCGTATATAACACACATTTTATAACGTAGGTAACTATTTTTGATTGATAACATATTGAAACTAGGTATATATTGCTAGGTCAAATCTGTTTATTTTATAAATATAACATACAGCATAATCGAGATTTCCGTAGCTACCTATAGAAAGACGATAATATATTATCCAATATACGTTTGTAACTAGTAATTACTAATAAATTATTATATTGTATTACGATGCAAAATCGAACACAATAAAATTATGTTGAATTATATATTTTTCATGTATTATTCAAGGTTGTTGTGATAATTTATTGGAACAATTGCATGTTTTTTTATAAAATGAAAACTTATCATAATATAAAATACCTACCTAATCAACTTTTATTATCAAAATCAACTATCGTCTCATTTTTATCTCTTTTTTTTATTTTAGATTCTGAGTGAAGCGAGGAATGTATTGGTTTTACAATGATGTTAATTTTTTAATTTTTTTTTATCTGTATACAACTTTTCTACCAAAAATATTACTCCGTTTTTTAAATTCAGCACTTTTTCCGAAAGGAAATTTTATCTGGGTGGTACTTTAGAAGGTTATTTTCTTCATTTTCCAAGAAATTTTTTTAGTAATTGGGAAAAACGGAGGAAAACTTATAAATAAATGGACAAAGTATTTACGTCGTAACGATCTCATGATATTACATTTATATGCTTCATTTTTTATACTAGAAAACATTATACCAAAAACAAATGACAAGACATCATTGTTTTAGCATTTTTAATCTAGTGGATGATTAAGAATTTCGTTTTTGATTTTCCGTTATTTTTTTTTTGTTTTAATAGTTGAGTAAAACTAAAAATAATGTAGAAAAAACGGGAAAATGTATACAAATAATTATTGGGATACATTAAATTCTCTTTTATATCTTACCTCCAACTTCTCACTTATAAGAGTGGCCCACTCATCGTGCTAAGTATGTGTTTTTTTTTATATTAACCTGTATACAAAATATATAAAATTGTTTATGTGGACTATTTATTAGATTGAAATAATTATAAATCGCATATATTTATATGCCTATAATATATACTATATTATGTTCAATGTTCATATGTTATTATTATACTTAAAATAAAAAAATTATTGTATACACATTTATACATAATAATTCGAAAATTAGTAACATTATGTATCTACCTATACTATGAAGTTGTATTATTTATATTTTATAATATAATAAATATATTTGTATAAAGCACAATATATAAGTAATATAAATACCTATCTAAAAGTATTAAATGAAAAATCTTAATTCTTTTCAATTTTAAACTCAATAATATTAATTGCTATTATAGCTGTATGTATATGTATATTGTCTATAGTAGGAACTTTTTGATAAAATATTTTTTAAAAAAAACATGTTTTTTTTTTTATAATTAGCTACGCTGATTTTTTTCGAGTTAGGGGTATATTATTTAGTATTATAAGAATATATTACTTAATGTAGGTATCAAATATGTTTCCTTAAGAATTTACGTAACTTCAGATTTACACTATGTGGCGGCTATCTACCTATCTTAAAAAAAAGGGTGCTCATATAAACATGTTTTTGGTTGAGGGAAGGGGATTCTAAATCATCAATGATTTTTATTATTACAAACCATATTAAAGTCTAAAATAGTTATACTATTTATTTATTTATTTAAATTTACAAACAAACGTATAAAATTACAAATTGCAAGCTTATACAAAGTTTGCACTCTTTCTTTAGGCAATAACTGCTTGTATTGAAAGTGTTCAATTCTTAAAGTAAATATTTGTTTAAACAATACTATACGAGAATTATAGAGTGCTTAGGAATCAGCTACATTAATAGAAGAAATAAAGTAATAATATACATCTAGTACTGTCGTTAACTTAACATTTATACAGAGTAACGCATCATTTATAGTATCTTTATGGTACCCATATTTAAAAGAATATATAAAAGAGCAAATTAATTAATGTTTAAATTATCTTTAATATATAGTATTAAAATAAATTAAAATTAGTTTTACAACAGTGGTTGTCCATCATGCGAAGTATATCTGTCTTTTTTATTTATTTTGCATACATACATAATACATTTATATTTACTCTATTATTAATTATACGATTGAAAAATATATTCCAATTTATACGAAATATAGTTCATCATTTCCTATTTTGTTCAATTTTGACCTTAAAATTTTAATTAAAACCAAAAGGAAGCCTCACACTCTAACTTAAAAAACTGGTTTTATAAGGTTTTCAACTTTAAGAGGTCAGTGAAAAGACATGAGAAAAAAGGACTATAATAACTATTTATCGAATGTTCAAAATTCTATTAAACATGATCCCAAAAATATAACTGAACATTTTTTAATAACAAAAAATCTAATCGTAACTTTTCGAACTTAATGAACTTAATAACGAAGAGTTTGAAAGTGGACAATTTATTGTAAATATTTTCGAAAAACATTTTGCTAGTATTTATGCACAACCACTACATACTTCATCATAAAAACCTAATTCTATTAATGCACTCAATTCTATTTGTAATTTGGATATTTCCTTTATGGATGTATTTAATGAGCTTGATAATATACATCTAAATTATGACTTGATTCGGATAGTATATCCCCATTTATTTTATCATATCCAATACATTTTTTGTTTAACCAGTCTATGAGCACTGAATTTTCCCTACATTTTGGAAAACGGGTTTCATATCTCCTATATTTAAAAATGGTGATAGATTCCCAAAATATTTAATAAAATAATAAACAATAAATAATTTCCTATTATTAATATCACGCTTATAAACGAACAATATGGTTTCCGCCATGGAAGATCTACAGTCACTAATTTAAAGAAGATATTTTAGATTTACTTATTTTAATAACACGTTCGATGGAATTAATCATAATATATTGATTATAAAGATAAAAGAAATATATGGCATTTACGACCATCTTTTGTAGTTTGGTTCTTTTTTATCACACAAAGAGCAAATTGATAAATAAAAAAACTTTTGACATCTATGAAAAGTAGTCCAGGTGGTCTCCGGAGCCCCGGTATCGACCCACTCTTGGTGGCGATTGGAGACTCTGGTGCCGACCGCGGACTCGTGCCTAGTGGTTAAAAAGCCAGGGGTCACCTACTAGACGGCGACTGAATCCGTGAGCAGACGCTATGTGAATTAGGTAGCAGGTGCTGGGACCGCATTTTGATGCATTGAATGCATCCGGGGCTTGCCCTGAAACCCTCCGGGCTCTATAGCTAAAATAAGGTCCCCGGTTGTACCGTACTTGCACGGATTAAAAATTGGGCCCACTGTTACATGCTTATATATCATACCTACCCGCCCTATCCCAATTATTATGGATGTATTTTTGAGCTTAGCGAACATTGAATTGGCTCCCGATATTAGGTAAAATACCCCATTGAACATTCAATTTGCTCCTAAGAAACGGAATAGTGAATTATCGAAAGAGCCAATTTAATACCTAAATCTTGATTGTCAATTAAATAGGTAAAAATAAAGACTACCTAAGTTTTGGAACTAATTCAATAAATTCGTTGAGTTCATTTTTAAGTAGGTATACTATCATGATAGAATAAAAACTATTAATTCCATAGAAATTATCGGATAATTCGAATGTGAGTTACTGACGAATGGTTCGATATATCTGTAGATGTAGTAGTTATTATAGCTCATATTTGTAACACGAATGTATTGTTGTTGTACAATAGGACGTGTGTGTGATGTTTTGGGTAATATGTGTGGTTAACAAACCATTGTTGTTTCCGAACGAAATGAAAAATTGGGTGCCAGATTGGTATAATCACGCTGTGCACACCAATCCGATTGTGCTGACACTGTTCGAAATGGTTACAACCGATCATCGTCTTCCTAAAATGATCGAATCCACAGCCGGTCTGTTCGCGCTATCCGGTTCCTACGTCGCATGGTAATTAATACTCATTATCTATTAATCTATTATACATTAACGTTTTTTTATAAATTTAATCCTGTATTTATGTGGTTTATTGGTATTTATTTAGGTACCCATCCACCTATAATAATAATAACAATAATAATAATAAATTGTAATTTAATGCCATATCTTAAATATTTTCAAATGAAGTACCATCCAACAGAAAATGATATGTTTAGTTCAAACCGTAGGTATATCGTTCAAGTTTGTAACAATTTCTTAATATTTTTACTCCAATAAATAATAAAAAAAATAGTAAGAATTAATGTCAAAAAGTTTAAATTAGGGAATAATAGTTATAGGTTTCAGTTTTCTGCATTTAATAAGAAAATTCTTCGGAAAATCGAAAAATGACCTCTCTAAAGTACCTACACAGTGAAATATCCTTTTAAAAAATGACTATCATTATAAGTCGGAGCAAAAATGTTGGTAGAAAAATTTTGTGCATAGAAAAGAAAATCGTAATACTATACAAATATATTTCGTACATTTTTCCGTTTTAGATTCGGAGTGTATTGAAGAATGCATTAGTTTTACTAAGATGTTTATTTTTTTATTATTTTTTTTATACTGTGTACAAAATTTCTACCAGAAATCATGATCAGATATGTACGCTCGGCACCATTTTTGAAAGGGAATGTTGTCTAGATGATACTTTTGGGAGATCATTTTCTGATTTTCCAAGTGGTTTTCATATTATTTGGAAAAATCAGGATTAAACGTAAGAAAAACGGGAAATTACGAAAATAATGCTTTTATATTTTTCAATTTTGTTATTTGTTGTAATTCAGTTACAAAATATTCGCAGAGACTTGAAATTTGGATAAAAAACTTATGATCGTTTTTTTTAGACATGGTAAAATTTTCAAACAAATTTTGAGCTATTTTTAGAAATTTTAATTTTTCGAATTTTGTACGTAATTTTTATTCGGTCGGTACTCTGTGGTAAAATTGTTTGACTTAACAGAAATGCTTGAAAATTTGACAGAAAGTTCATTAAAGTATTACTTTGTAGTCAAAAAAAGAAAATTTGAGTTTAAATAGTATTTTTTTTTATAAAGGAATTTCAATGTAAAATTTTGACGAAAATCGTTGAGTAAAAATGTATGGAACAAATCTAATTTTTCAATTTTTTTTTTTTTTGAACATATGTATATTGTTGATTGAAGAACGATGGTGAAGATAGAATTGAGCGTACTGACTAAGTTTCGAAATTATAGCTTTTTGAAGTTTTAATATTATGTGGATATTATATGCTATGTTAAATAACTCTACAGTGCGTTTCACTCACGAAATATTTTTGTCCAGTGACCTCGGATTAAATGGGTTTTAAAGAGAAGATAGAAAATACTGAAATACACATTTTGTATGGATTTTAAAATCTCCTTAACCTTTTAGTGTTAAATTGTTTATCCAAATAAAATGTTGGAAATAGGTGTTTTAATTTTAAAAAATGCAAGTTTTATTGCGCATGTGCATACTGAAATATTAAGAAACTTGAAAATCAGTCCAAAATGTGTATTTCAATATTTCTAATCTTGTCTTGAAAACCCCATTTCAATTCGAGATCAATGAACTGAACAGAAATATTTCGTGTTACCATTTGAGTGAAGCACATTGTATTAATTTTCTTTAAGCATATTTTGTTGTAATCTAATGGTTATGTATGTCTATTACCCATCCTAGGAGTTCCGAGTTCAAACCAGTGTTTGAACACTGTAAACAAAATTGATAACATTTTTTTTCATTTTCAACTAAACAAGGAAAAAACAAATGCATTTTGAGTGTACCTAGAGACTCAAGCTAACGCTCGTTCGGACTATTTAAATCGCAAAATACCCCTCGATTTGTTATGCAAAATTTTCTACCAGAAATCTTGCATCAAAGTATCAAGTGTAGCTTATTTTTTAAAAGGAAATTATGTCTCCATAGAAATTTAAGGAGGTCATTTTTTGATTTTTCAAAAGGTTTTCATAATATTTGAGAAAAACATTTCGAAAAAATGTCGGAGAACGCAAAATTAGTAAAACAATATTGTGGCCTTTTTTTTCTGTGTACATTTTTTCTACCAGTAGTTTCGCTCCGATTTAAAATGATAGCACTTTTTCTGAAAGGAAATCTGACTGGGAAGGTACTTTAAGAAGGTAATTTTTCGATTTTCTCAAGAGTTTTCCCAGCAAATGTGAACATAATGTGAAAATCGAGAAAAACAAGAAAATCGGTACAATATTAAACAAATATTATTAAAGAAAATTTATAATGCCTATTTAATTATTTTACCATAATATAATATAATATATATTGTTGATAAAGAATCACGATCAACTGAACTGCGCTTAGAATCGTTTTTTCGTCAGCAATGATTTATCGTTGCTCACATATATACATTAAATTACCTATGGGTAATGCAGTGGCTGCACCCGTCTCCATTTTCCTAAGACGTCTTTTTTTTGGTTTTTCGCATTTAACGAGAAAACTCGAAAAATTATCTCCTTAATGTACCGGGCTAGTAAAAATTAGAGTAAGTTCTCTTGTAGAACAATTTATAAAAAAATAATTATAAATAAACATCTATCTAAAACCATAAGCTTCTCCTCTCAACACAAGATCTAAAATCAATTAGCATTAGTAGCCTAAACGATAATATTACATAGATTTGAAATTAGATGAATTTGGTTATAGAGCTTGGATTTCATTGATTAGGTATGTATTATTATTATTGTTAAATTGTATTTTTTAATATGGCCATGAACTATAACATTTTTATCTAAATTAATCGCAGAAAAACCTTGATACTATATTACTTATCTACTTAAATAACAACGTTTGAGTTTATCACTATTACAACATTTCCAACTGCAGATAGTATGTTTATTGTTTAATACCTAGATAATATAAATTATTTTTCTTTATAAAATCCATTCACTAAAATGTACAAATAGAAATTATCTTTTTATAAGTTATAATATTATGACTATTATTGCTTTATTATTAAAGTTCAGTATCCTTTGTGATACTATTATGATTTAATATGTATAATGACAAAATTTAATAAAGAGTAAGACATAGAAAGGAAATGTTGAACATTTTTTTCAAACCTTTAAAAATTTATTTGACATAATCTTAATGATTGTTCAACGATCAACTGGTAAATTAAATTAAAAATACATATTAGTTGATATTTAATTAATTTGAAAATATAATCAATACTGATGGATCAGGGATGGATTCAATACAAAATAACAGAAGAGGAGGCAATTTTGAAAATTCATAATATAAGGCATATATTTACGATGAGCATTCCAAAAACAGTTTTCCAACTGCCCACCTAAATTGGCCTATATTATGTTAATTTTTTAAATTTTTTCATTAGAATATATATTTAAGAACCGGCTATTTAATTGCATCCTAACCTAAATGTAATAGATATATTAATTAAATTAATTAATTATTTTATTATAATATAAATTAATACATTTGTTTTATTTTTATAGTTTACTTTATAATAAATTTACAACCGGAAGATGGGTGTATCTAATCATTGGAGAAATTGTATCAAGTTTGCCGGAATTAGTTCTGTATTTTGCAGTAACGGCTTTTATCATGCCGTTTATGTGTATGTTGATTGGGTACAAACTGTACTCATTTTCAAGTATGTCTGTAATTCATATTGTTTACACAACGCGTATTATGAATAACCACTATAAATATGTTTAGCTTTGTTATATTATAAAAACTTATTTAATAATCGGACGTTGTTTTGTTTGTTTTCAGGCTTAAAAACAAAAAAAAATCATAAACTATCTTAAAAAGGATTACAAAATAATATATAAATAGTATATCCACTCTTGAAACAGCGTTTACTAAAATAATTAATTATCTTGTTAATAGTTTTAATTGTCTAAATTACTTAACATACAATTCAATGTTGCACTATTGTTTGTAATTATATTATATATTAAATACAAAATCTGTAGGTGCTTAAACTTATTAAGAATAATATACTCTTATAATTTTAACATAGGTAAAATTATTGATGGGTTTACCTATACATTTATTGATATCTATTTAGGTAAAATATATTTTAAAATAATATATATTATATAAATTGTGTATTATACAAATTAAACTGCAGGTTCCCTATAGGTACTGATATTATAACATTAGGCCCATATAGTTTACTTGAATTTAAAGTTACATAAATATTATATTCATACGATTCATAGGCAATTTTGAATCTATTTAATTTAAAACGTTACAAACTTATACATTATAAAGGTTCAACATATTTAAGTATTTTAAACTGTGATAATTTAATTGTAAGTTACTTGTTGTAATACAAAATCATTGTTACCATTCATATTTATTAGTTCAATGCATATATGTTTTAGTAAAAGTGAAATTGGTTTTTTTTCTAATTTTAAGTTAGGTAATTTATTATTATACTGTTATCAATTTATTACAGGGTTTTTAAGCTATAAAAGCACCCTAAAATATTATTTTATACAATTATTATGTCATAAATATTATATTGGTAAAAGTAATTTATTCTGATTACTTACATAATAGTATTTATAATATTAATATTATTATATAGTTATTGATAATTTAAATATAAACCTATTATTTTAATTCTTATAAAATATTGTCAATATTAAAATATAACTATATAAGTTATTCAGGGATCCTAAATCAGGGTCATATTTATAATTTACCATCAAGGGGCATTAAAAAAAAAAAATGTATTAGGAAGGTTGTGAAAGTTTTTGATAGTTATATTAATTAATACTTGTTAGGTAATAATATTCGTTAGTTAATTAGTTTACAAAATTTCAATTGTAATTATATTTAAATAAGACAATGTTAAAAACAAATAAATGGAATCTTACCTAAATTTTGAATATGATGAACGAATCATTGATCGTATTAATTTTATTATTATTAGGTATTTTTTATATAGTATCAACATAATTATTAAATACCTATTTAAAAAACTGTCATTGTCATCTAATCTAACTTAAAAACTATCAATTGAAATTTACATGTTCAACAACAGATATAATATGTTTTGTTAAGAGTTTTTATAAACATTTATATATAAAATACTTCATAAGAAAATCAAAGTAACATAAAATTAATTATAATTAGTTCATCATCTGTAGTTATGCTTATAGGCATGGGTATAATAGCTATGTGAATTATAATTAATTTATTAATATGTATTTAATATTTTTTAATTGCTAGTTAATAGTTTATACATTTTTTAATAATATAAACGAATTAATAATTTATTTATTTTTGAACAATATTAATTAATAAAAATCAATACGGTTATTATAAATGATAATGTTTGTATAAAACAGTTGTTTGTTAAATGATTTAGTTGTACATCAAATCCTCACAAACAATGTACCATAAAATATTAATATTTTAATGTCCAAAGCCAACGCATTAAGTTGTTCTTTTGAAATATATATTTATAATAATATAGGTAAACAATGATTTTTTAAGTAAGCTCAGTGCTCACTTTTTTTTAATCGCTAAATTATGACTAATTATAACTAATTAAAATTCTGATATTTCAAATATTTAGAAATTGCTTATGTGTCATATTGTCATTTATGTGACAATTCTAAATTTGGTTTTTCTAATGAGAACCTATGTGTCTCAATACAAATTATCAATCACATGATTTGTCTGAAAATGTTGACATATTTTAATCGAAATTTGAATGAAAAATGTCTGAGTTATTCTACTTAAAATACTAAAGAAGAATAACTGTATGATTAAAAATAAGAAATTGTTAATACACATGAAGCTATTGGTATCTAATCTTCATAAAATACTATTATTCTTAGTATTTAAAGCAGAATATTTCAGAAATATTTCGTTTACAACACGTACAAATTTTCAAAAAAAAAAACATTAATTTGCATAATTTATGTTAAAACATGTATGTTCTCATTTGAAAAACTAATGTTGTTACTACCACAAGTCACAGTACACCCCTTAAAATTACTCCATAATATTTAATGTGGTAAAAAATCTTGGTACGCAAATATATTGACGTTCACTGCATTTAAAAATTTCAAAAAACAGAATTTAAATTTATGCATAATTCAACTATACAAATGGGACGAGGATGCTTAAAAAATCACTTTACAAATTATATTATTTCTTTATAGTTAGAAAAAAAAATGTAAATAACAATAGTTCTTTAAAATTATCCAAATTTCTCAATGATAAAATTGTTGCCATTTTTATAAGTGAAAAGATTTACGTATACATACTTGTAAGCAACTTTATAAACTATTGTTATCGAAAGACGATTTAGAGCGAATTTATGATACATATTATGTTTTGAAAAGCCGTAATATTTACGAATTTTGTCAAAATTTGATTTTTAAACTCTTATAAAAAAATAAAATACTACACTCCATTTTTTTTTATTTGACTACTAAGTATGACACAATATAATGAACCTCCTGTTTAAGCATTTCTATTTTCTGTTTAGTCTAAAAATTATATCCACAGAGTATCTAAGTAAAAAAAGCAAAATTAAAATGTCTATGAATAGCTCAAAAATGGCTTAAATATTTTTAAAATTTTACCATATCTAGAAATGGTGAACAGACAATGTAAACTTAGTATGCGCTTAACATATGAAAGACCATACTTTTTTTCTATTCTGTATATAATTATATTTGCTAAGTACTTAATAGAATTCCCAATACTTCGCAAACGGTTTTTTATGTTCATGTTTGTTTTTCTTCATATCCTATTTAATTAAAGTTTTCGAAGAGAACTTTAAGTGTAAATTTATAAACGTTTGAAATAATAAGTAATAATAAAATGATTTGTTTCCGTTTCTTATATTATGCTTTCTTTTTTATTAAATAATGTTTTAAATTTAAACAGTTTATAAATTATTAAAAATACAATAATAATTAATACAAATATAAATAGATATAAATAATCAAATAATCATTGATAATATAAATAAATAGGTTGGTAATAAATTAGTAGGTACTAAGAATGTCTATTTTTTATTTCCATGAATTTGGTTTCGACGACGATATGTTTACAGCAATTGCTTGGATAAACTTCTGCAGATTATCATCTTCCTTATTCCATTCATTTACTTGGACTTTGTGGATTTGAGTGTTTGGATTATTTGGATTTGGAACCTGTGTTGTAAATTAAAATTGAATTTTGAAGGGCCAAGTATAATAGTGCTATATTTATTATTTATATAATATGTAAGTACTAAAAGTGAAATTACTTACTTTCTTCTTTGAACAGCATCCTGTATATTCTTTCCAGGCCCATAAATCCATTTGTGGCAACAAATATCCTTTACAGGACACTCGGTTATTTCTAAAAATAGTAAGCACATAAGTTAAATATCGATCGAATATTAACATTTTACATAATATTTCAATTAAGAAATAGGTATTCCGAGAATATACTTGTACTGTGATGGTTGTTCCAGTGCAAACGGCTGAATTGTTACAATGTTGTCACTGTTATCGCAGATTACTCGAGATAATTTTACTTTTTTTATTTCATTCAATTGCTCTGAAACAATAATACGCAATCATTGAATCGAAAAGATACTAAAAAAAAGATCTGCAAATATCCAAGTAGTGGATGAACAGATCTGTAGTGTGCATTTTGATGCCAGATATCCGAAATTCAACTACCAAAAGTTTGTACGGGTTTTTTTTTTGAAAAATTAAATTTTTTAGTTACCCAGGTAACATGAATGATACAAAAAAAATGGTTAATTTTTCACGGGTATGGATAAAACGTTTAACTGTGATAGGAGAGGGAATGGGAGTGGGGATATACAAGTTGAACTGAATTAATTTTTTTAAATTTAATTTTGGTTTTTGAAAGGATTTAATAAAAAAAAAAATCTAATTTTAAATGGTCAAAAAAAGGGACGATTAAATCAGCACAACAATTATTATAATATATTTTTTAAGTATTAATTAGTAATTACCAATGCTCTAACCCATAATAATAACCTAGAAAACTTGCACCTACTATCATATCATGTTGGTAAGTACATTGTACCTATATAGTTGTATAGTTACCTAATGTGAACGAATTGGGTAGACCGGGATTTTCATACCAAAATCGGTCTCCTTTTTTCAGATCACTAAACGTTTTGGCGATGATGCAGCCGAATGTTGGTCCTATGATGCTGTCTTCAATAGAACGTTCCGACACACCCGCGGACCACAAATCCACATCCTCGGGAGATGTGTACAGATCGTAGTAGGCCTTTATCGTGGCGTTGCTTATATCGGTCAGCATGGAGCTCCACGATTTGATAGGCGGGAGCTTGCAAAACTGTCGCCAGGCCGGGTAACTGGGTATTCCATGTTCTCTGGCCCTCTGTATGTTGATAGATGCCAAGTCTTTGCCATAATCGTTGGCTGGTTCTTGGAACAAGTGATTGGTCACCTGTAGTGATCGATAAAAACATCACGTTACCACTGGTCAGTAATCATTATTATATATCATCAATAATAAAACTGACGGTTAAAGTGGTGGCAATGGAGTTCTCTTCTTATTTAAAGTAAAATTATCCGTTCTCTTTCGTTTAAGTCTTCGAAATCCGGTGGGACGCTTAAATTATTGCCACTGAGGCATTTTTAATAAAATGTTAAAAACCCGAATTAGTTCTATTTTTAATAAATCCTTTAATGCGTATACAATTATATATAATCAGACACTGTTTTACTTTATTTTTACCGAATATATAGATACTATTTTTTTTTTTTTTTTTTATAAGATGGGGTACAGTTTATTTTTAAAATCCTAGCATGACATTTTTACAATTAAACATATGTAGAAAAAAAACATTTTGGCAATCACGATAGGTTTCTAGAAATTTTAATTTTGCTTAAGTTAACCCTTGAGAACATCCATCAATTTTGATAAATATAGTTCTCCTAAAGTTTCACCCACTGATTACAACCATGATTTAGGTATGATCTGTACCTGTGATGTAACTGCGTCGTCCATTGCCTGCGACGCCTGATTTACCATGCCCAACAGATACTGGTCCAGCCAGCCGGGCTTGTGGAGGTCGTACGGCTGTTGGAACATTTCGCTGAATCGTCTAGAACCTAAGAATTTGTGGTCGACACTCCATCGTTCCATGGCATCAGGCAACAGCGAATGGCCAAAACGGAACGCTGCTGCGCCGAACACGGCTGGTATCGTTATATCCGTGTCCGGATCGTAATTATTCGAATATCCTGTCGGTGAGAGCTCCAGACCGTATTTCCTCATTGTGTGTTTGCCAAGAAGCTTTGGCAGAAACTCGTTATAAGTGATGTGTTGTATCATCGCACCCACGATTCTTCGTGTTTCCTGTTACAAAGTATTACGAACAAAAAATATTACAAATGATGAAACGAATATTTAAATATACTATAGTTTATTTTGTTATAGTATAAGTTAAAATTCACAACAAACTTCTTACAGGAAAGAACTAATAAAAACTAGAAAAAAAATATCCGTGAGCAGTAGAGCATTGTCACTAGAGTCAAATTTCTTCCAAACCTAATTTGTATTATATAGAACTTTGCGTAAAAATGAAGTAACCTTGTAATACTCGTAAAATAATACAATACTACCTATATTATATTACAATAATATATTACTTCCAAAAAAATTATAAGATTTTATTAAAAAAATTATATGGTTGGGAGTACTAGAAATTGAATGTTGAAACTTATAAAAGGTAAATCTATGACATTATACGCCAAATACATACAGAATTTCATCCCTTAGCTTCCTAACATTCCCCTAACTCTTAATTCAGGAGGTCTGTAGTGGTATAGATATAAAGCTAAAAAATAACCTCCTTCCACAACAACATGGTTAAGTTCATATTGAAATTCAACCAAACTTATATCACTTCAATTCACTTGCAAACAATTAAACTTCCCGAGTTTGAGCTAATTTAGTCCAGGAAATTGCTAGAAATGTCCAAAAGGGAAAAAGGGAAAAAGGGAAAAAGGGAAAAAGGTATATAGATATACATATAACAGACTTAATACAATACAATAGCATTTATTTTCAGGGGAAATTTAACAAAAAAAAAAACTACCGAAATATCCTAGTATAAGTAATGTATAAAATGTAATAATATTACAGTTATATTAACGTGCAATTTTTTGACAATTTTGCATTACTTGATAAAGTCGCTCATCGTCCCAGTGCGAATTGATTGCACAAAGTTCGTCAGCTATCCGGTTGTGTTCTCGAGCGAAAATTGTGTGTAGCACACCGAGAGCCAGTTGTTCGTTCACCCGATTGTCACCTGTGTGGGCGTTATAATACCGCGATGATAACATAACATTTAAATATTTTGTCATAATCGTACATTAAATAATATGTAATAATAATATTATATTGATTTGTACGATGCTAACCAGCTAGGAAACAATAGAGATCCGGATGTGGCCTTATGCATCCGTCGTCCGGTTGGTGTTTCTTCGGCGGTAGTATCGGTTTAAGCCTGTGACCAGCCAAGACTGGAACCATTGACAACTTACCACCTTCGAAAGACCGGAGTTTTTTCGCCACATTTTCGTTGGAGCCATATATAAAGTTACCGTCGATAGCCGACGTCAAAGCATTGGTTTGGACACGAGGACCTGATAATGAGTATACAATATAACGTGGATAGAAAAATTGCATGAGTACGATTGATATTGATTTATTATTAATTTACAATACTAAATACGACCAGTGACTGTGTAAAAGTTTTTTTTCTGTAAAATTTAAAAGTTTATTAGTAGAATTCACAGTAATATCACAAAAACTCAAATTAAACCTAAATCCAATAGAATCAGGGTTGTAATTATAAAGGCTACTATACAGAAGATCCTATAATTCACATTTTTGTTGACATGTGTAATCACGCATTCAACCAACCACTCATCAATCATCCACATAATTTGTTTATGAAGCAAATAAAAGTATTCTGTAAAAATGTCAGGTCTCTACAATTATTTTTAAACGAATTATTAAAAAAAAAATAATAATTCATACATAAATATGTGTACTTCTTTTCTTGTGAGTAACATAAAAACAAATATAATTTTAATAACTTTATTATCTTCGGAGATATTCAAGGAGAATATCTTCGTGGGACAGTCTGTATGTTTTGAAGGGCAGTAATATTTACGATTTTTGTCAAAATTTGATTATAAAACTCTTATAAAAAAATAAAATATTGCATAACATTTAAATTATTCTATTTGACCACTAAGTAGGACTTATAAAAAACCTCGTGTCAAATTTTCAAGCATTTCTTTTTACTTTTACGGTCTTATTCACAGAGTATTTACCAAATAAAAATTACGTAAAAAACAAGCAAAATTAAAACGCATATAAATAACTCAGAAATAGCTTAAATATTTTTTTTTTTTTTAAATGTTACCACGTCTAGAATAGTTGAGCATAAGTTTTCTTTCAAAATTTCAATTTTCTAAGAATATTATTAATTGAATTATAATAAAAAAAAAAAAAAATGAAAATAATAAAATTATTATATAAATTATTTTCGTAAATTTGTCCGTTCTCTCTACGTTTGTTTAGGTTTTGCTTAGTTATTCAAAAAAATACAAGAAAAATAAAAATTTTTCATACTCACTAACTAGACTAAAAATTCAATAAAAAATAAAGGACTGACATACTTCTTACGTAGGTGCAGCCACTGTTGTAGATGGGAAATTGGGAAGATAAGATACAAACGTAAATTTGATGTATATCTTTACGCAATGATAAGCCATTGCTAACGAAAAAACGATTCTGAGCGGAGTTTAGTTGATAGTGTTGCTTTTCCAAAATATATGTTATATTATAGTAAAATGATTACAATCTGCGTTTCCATGACAACAATGATTATATAAAAACGATTATTTAAAATAATAAAAACTTAATAATAACATAAAATAAATAAAAACGGTTGCTAATGAGAACCTTATTTTTAATCTTTCAATATTTTTTAACCTAAAGAACCCCGTTTTTCTCATTACCTCAAATATTAATGAGAATTTTAAAAAATGACCCATTTATAGTACTACCAGAGAACATTTCTTTTTAGAAAAGGTGCTATACTTGATAATCAGAGTAAGCTTTCTGGTAGAATAAGTGTTCACATAAAAAAAAAAAAATAAAAAAAATAAACATCATTGTAAAATCAATACATTCCTCGCTCCGTTAAGAATCTAAAAGGCTCTTATTTATCCATTGGAGCAATGTTTATAGTAGAAATCATAAGCCATAAAAATTTAAAATAATTAAATCGTATGCCGTAAATTTATTCGTTTTTAATTTTTCGTATATTTCCAGTTTTCCAAATTATCATAAAAATATCTTGGAAATCAGAAATCAATTTTCTTTGTGATCATCTAGATTTAAAACTGAACAAAAAAGATCAATTTTCGTTTTTTTATTGTAGTAATATTTTTGATAGGAAATAGATATAGTTCACAAAAATTAAATGAATATTAATATTATAATAAAATCGGTAACGCCGCGATATGGCGTAAATATTTGTTGTTTAACCTATGATTTTCTTTCCGATTTATTCGAATTATTAATAAAACTGCAGGAAAAATCAAAAGACTATTTATCTAATGAACGAACCAGGTACAATTTATTTTTAGAATAAGTGCTTCACTTTTTCACTTTAAACATCGGAGCAAAATTTATTTTCAAAAATTTGTTTACAGACAAAAGGAAAAAACACATTATAGTAAAACCAACTAGATCCCTTGATTTTCTTCGAATCTAAAAGAAATAGTACAATTTCAAAATAAACCAAAAATGAATAAATACATTTATGTGCATTATTCTGTATTCCATATACGTTATAATTCTGTACATGAATCATATTATTTACAGCTTATTATAAAGTTCGTTATGAACTAGTAGAAAATCAAATCCTTTCAAAATCAATTTTATTTAAACGGATAATACGATTAACATGATCGCCCGGCGGCCGTCTTAGTAGAATGATTAAAACTATTGTATTGGTAACGTATGCGGTTGCGTAGCTATATGCTGCGTGGCTATGTGTACGTGCAGAAAAAAATCCTTGCCCGTCGTAGGCGGGGCGCGGCACGGCGGTACGGCTGAAGGGACGCTCGCTAATGTTCGCGTGTGGTGACGTCACTAGGCGATGAAAAAACGAACCGAATAAAACCCATCGAAAATTAAAACCGACGGACGCGAAAAAGGGGCGAGCCCCGTGCGCTCGCGCACCATCAACCTAAACGTCACCGATTCTTTCCATGAGTCATCGTCTTCGTTGCGAGTGCGCGCGTTACACTGACCCGTGCGTAAGTCTTTGAGACGCACGTAAATATTGCACCATCGCAAAACACCGGCGCCGAGGCGTCTTGGCCGACCAGGGTCGCAGGCCGCGAAACGGTACCAGTATACGTATACCGTCGTGGTCGTCAGCCGTGAGGGTGTGGCGCCGCCGCCGCGAATTCGGGGACAAAGCCGATCGACCACCGTGGCAGAGCCGCTGATGACGTATCGTATATACACCAAAAGGGACCTCGTCCGCCCACCGGCAACAGGGTCCTATGAGCGGTGGATAGTCACCGCTGTCATTGCCGACGCAGAGGGTTGTTTGACCGAGGTGGTCGAACCCTGTAAAAAGGTTACCAGTACCAGGGTCCTATTCGGAGGTAGCGTGAGGGTGACAGTGCGGCGCCACCGCCACCCCGCAATTCTCGCATCGTCGTTTTCGCATCACCACTACCCTTCCTCCCAACACTACCCTCCACTATCATCACAGCCGCACAACGAACACGCGCACACGGTTCTACCGGCGTGTTCGTCCGCCACAACCACCAATACGGTCGCCACCGATCTATAATATTGTTTTGCTCGCCTTTCAATCGTCCCGTATAGAAAAAAAAAATATATATTTATTTCAATGGCCGTTTTTTCCCCGACTGTTTCGAATGCGAGAGTTTCATATTTACCCTATATTTCTTAAAATATATAATATTGCCTGATAAACAGACAACACGTTATTGGTTATACGTACATCAGGAAACAGCCGCAATTTTAACAAAATTTAAAAATGAAAATTTATCAACTTGTAATCAACCGATCTATTTATTTATTGTGTATTCGTAAACACTTTTGCGCAAGAAAAAAAATTACTGTCATACAAACAACATCTATATTATAATAAATTAGATAGGTATATTGAGAAAGATATATGCGTTTTGCATAACCTAAATATATATATGTATATATATAAAGAGAGAGAAAGAGATATTTCTTCGGTCTCAAGAAAGAAGAGCTTAAGCCAATTGTTGGAATATGTTTTTTTTTTATAGACATTTATAGGAATTTAAATTTGTATAGCAAATATTTTTAAAGTTTAATTTGCTTGTATTAAAACCATTCTTCTTTGGGACCAATATTAGATTTATCAACGAGAGTGCTGTATCATAAATGCAAAAATGCATTAAATGTTTTTTACAAAACTAAATTATTATCCTCTATATTTATTTTTATTGGTTTTTTCACGGTTTATTTAAAATTACTATACGGTGTTTGCGGTTACGTACGGTGTATTATTAGAGGCAAAATTTACCAATATCGATAAATCACAAAATTATATTAATTACCTAATGGACAATCGATATTAACACCGGCTAATGATCTGATCATGTCGATGCATCTTTGACGGTGGCTGCCGACGAAAAATTGGTCGTCGGTAGGCACGTTGACGGGTATGCAGTACGGATGGGAAGCTCCCGAACAACACTTAATCTCTTGTCTGGTGATCGGGTCTGATAGACGATAAAAAAAATATAATATAGTTACATTGCAGTTTCTATGTAGGTGGATAATCCATAGAAGGTTCAAATACGGTGAAAAAAGAAATTCCTTCGGATATTTTCATACCTTTGGTTTCCGCGGTAAGAGTTAGGTCGTGGTCAATGAGTTGCCCGAAAGCGGCGAACATAAACGTAATGTCGGTACGGTGTGGTCTAGCTATGTCCTTGTGCACTCGGGCCGAGATGGACCTAGGATTGGGTAACGGAAATCCAGTGATGCTCGTCCTGATCGATTTGATACCTGTGATTTGAAAAATAGTTTTCAACATAGTATCGCAATTCAGCATTCAAATATTTATATCGTTCCATTTAAAAAAAATAAAATAACGAATGTTAAATCCGGCCAACTCACCGTCGCCATAATCGGGTGGTATGAATCTTTTGAAGGGTAATTTTGATGCACCCCAATGTGGATGGACAAAATTATTACACCTTCCATCGGCCGAACGAAACCCGATTCCGTTTCCGCAGTCATTCCCTGGATACGATTTTAATTCTTTAGGACAATATGAACCAATGTCCGTGTTTGCCGTGTTAATAATTGGTAGTAGACTCCGCACTTGGTCTTTGGTCAGACCGAACCTGTATAAACGAATTATAAAAAGTGTACCTATTTATACCATTTGTTAGTCGAAATAATTTTGATACGTTGTATATAATACCCGTACTATTGGTTTATTATAAAAACAATTTTATATTTTAATTTAAGAAAATTAATATAATACTAATTCAGTCTATACATAATAACATCAACATTAAAATTGATTGTTAAAAGATTGAAACGATTTAATTTAATTTTAAAAAAACGTATATGCTTCGCACATGGGTGTGGAATTCAGTTGATAGTGTTGCTTTGTCAACAATATATTTGTTATATTATGGTAAAATTATTATACATGATTGTATATCATTAAACATTTTCTTCAATAATATTTGTTTAATAATGTACTTATTTTTCCGTTCTCCCGTTTTTTTCCGGATTTTCGAATATATTGAGAAAACTTCTAAGAAAATCAAAAAAATTACCTCCCTAAAGTACCACCCCCGTCAGATTTCTCTTTCAAAAAAAGTGTTACTATTATAAATCGGAGCAAAATTGTTGGTCAAAAAGTTGTTAACAGGAAAAAATCAGACTGTAATATTTTTTCAACTAATACCTACATTTCGTACATTTTTCCGTTTTCCTCAGTTTTTTCTCGGTATTTTCAATTTGCAAAAGGAAAACTCCTGGAAAAATCGAAAAATGACCTCTTTAAAGTACCTCCCTAGTCAAATTCCTTTTCAGAGAAAGAGATATCATTGTAAATTGGAGCAAGATTTCTGGTAGAAAAGTTGCACACAGATAAAAAAATAAAACAATAAATAAATAAACATCTTTGTAAAACCGTAAGCTTCTTCGCTTCACACAGAATCTAATATATACTACAAAACACTCAATTGTTTTTTTAACCATAAACAATTACGACTTATTATGTACCTCTTGTCAAATTTTTAAGCATTTCTGTTTAGTCTGAAAATTTATTTTATTCAAAGAGTATCAAATAAAAATTACGTAAAAAACTTGCACAGTTAAAGTATACATAAATTCCTCAAAAATGGCTCAAATGTTTGAAATTCTTATCACGTCTAAAAAAGATAAATTTAAGTTTTCTGTCGAAATTTCATGTTTCTACGAATATTATTAATTGAATTACATTAAAAAAAAGACAGACATATTTTGCAAGGGGTTGGGTGCAATCACTGTTGTAGGTGGGAAGTTGGAAATATAGGATACAGACGGAAATCTATTTTTTATCTGTACGCAACGATTAACCATTGCTAAGGAAAAAAATGATTCTGAGTGGAGTTAAGTTGATAGTGTTGCCTTGTCAACATGTCATATTACGGTAAAATGATTACAACAATATGTGTTTCTATGACAACTATGATTGTTTGAAAAATATTAAAATAATAAAAACTTAATAGTAATAAAAAATAAATGAAAACGGTTGCCAATGACAATCTTATTTTTAATCTTTCAATTTTTTTAACCTAAAGAACCACCAGGTATTCCTCATTATCTCGAATATTAATGAAATTACAACAAATGACCTCTCTAAAGTACCCAAAGAACATTTCCTTTCAGAAAAGGTGCTATACTTGATAATCGGAGTTTGCTTTCTGGTAGAAAATGTTCGCATAAAAATAAATAAATAAATAAAAAACATCTTTGTAAAACCAATACATACTTCAATAAATTCAGAATCAATTTTGAAAAAATGTTATACTTCGTTTTTTCTTGGTTTTTCCTAATTATTATGAAAATTACTTTAGATATAAAAAAATAATTTTCTTTATCAATAGCTATATGTTAAAAAGAACAAAATTAATCTTTTTTAATTTTTCGATGAGACTATAAGAGTAATATTTCTGGGATAAAACATAAGTTACAAAAATTTAAATCAATAAATTCGATAACATCACGGCACTCTGTAAATATTTGTCATTTTACCTACAATTTTTTTCCGGTTTTTCCTAATTATTTTTAAAACCCCTTAGAAATTTAAAAAATGACCAAAGAGTTCAATTAGAAAGAATTGTGCCAATTAGACAAAATTTTCGTTCAGAAAGTTGTTCATAGACAGAAAAAAAAATAAAATAAAATACACATCATTGTAAAACCGATCCCTCACTACGCTTCGAATCTAAAATAGATTTGTCTGGCCGCATATTTAACAGTAATTGTATGAATATAAATATTATATTAAAGACATACCAGTCACATAGAATTCTTGTCGTTTCTTGGATTACATCTCCAAAATTATCCAACTGAATATCCGTTAAATCATCGGTTCCCGGTTCTATACCCAATATGCCTCTGCATGCTTCATGGAATGCGTCCGTAACATTAGTGTACGTAATACATTTCTCGCCATAACCAGATGGTCTGTAATCAGAATAGTTTATATATTATAATATTAATCCGTATGCTTATAGATTGTATTAAACAATAATCGACTGCATTTTTGTATAGTCAATATTATGTAGTCAATAAACACACATTTGTTTAAACATTTCGAATAATTAAATTTTATAAATTAAAGAATACTATATAATTTTATATTTGAATATTTTATGATATATTAAAGGAATACAATTTGTACTAGCTAATAGATGTTTTTAAAAATAATAATTATTATAAAGGTATTATAGTTTTTATTTTGAAATCGATAATAGGTATTTCAATAACATGCGAGAGAAAAAGAGATACTGAATAAGGAGAGAGAGAGAGAGAGAAGGAGGGAATGAAATAAATGACAAGTATTTTTTTTTCTTGTTAGAGTTGATATATCGATGAAAAACTATTTGATAAGTAATCCGCTTTAGGTTTCGAAATATTTGAATGCACTTTCTCCTTCCCTTCCCAAGTTCGAAAGGAAATTTCTAACTTTCCTTGCTCGTATTTATACACTCTTATATATATATATGATCACTCGATATTATAATATATTATTATATATGCATGCGGAAATCTCCAAAAAAAATCTCTATTGTATTTTAAATAGTACAATATATCTACGAAAACAGTATCGATACGTTTTTGTATTATTGTTTATAGTTTAATTGTTGTTAATCGATTTTGTTTTGAATTAAACGGGATGAGTAAGCATTTTTTTTTCTTAAATACATCTAGCGAAGTCATATATAATAGACCAATGTGTCGCAAGGAGTTTCCGCGCAATAAGTGAAATGCTCTCTTATATACTTTCTCTTGATTGATATTTTTTTCTTTAATATTTGAACTTTAAAAAATTCTATATACATAAAACTATTATATGTACATATAGATATACCACGATATATGTACATAGTATTCAAATTGATATTTTCTTTTTTGCCGTAAATTATGGCCAAATAATAACTTTATCACGTTGTGTGCAGTTAGAAGTTATTAGTAAAGAATATTAAAAAAATTGATACTGCTTACGGATTAGGCCTTCTGTTATTGGTGAGTAATTCAGAAGGTAAGATATACAGGATAATTAAGTTTATAAACTGTATGCAATAATAAATTATTGAAAACGAAAAAGCGATTCTAAGCGGAGTAGTATATTTAGTATTGAAGTATTAGTCGTGTTTTTGGTATCGTAGACAAGGTGAATCAACAAAAATATAATTTTTGTCGGCAATTGTTCTTAGTGTTTTTTTAATTGCAAAGAAAAAATATTTGAGAATTTAGACATTTTTTTTGAAATAAAGTACTACCGGGTGAAAAACGGCATTATTCACTATACTTAGAATCTAAACTCTAAGATAAAAGCAAACACACACACACATACACATGCACACACAAACGTATATTTTTTAATGTCAGTAGATCTTATTATTAATATAGGTACTTTATCACCTAGGTACTAAAATAAATAGTGAATATATTATTTTATGATATTGCAATCGTTTCGAGAATGTCAATTGAATATGAATAAAGCGCAGAAATAGCACAAATAATATTACGATTTCAATTACATTTAGGTATATGTTTATTATATAATATAGGAAATATTTAAAAATATTATGTGAAACGAAATTCTTAAATTAATTTTTTTTTTAATCATGTTTTGTAAACGTTAACAAGTTCTTAATTGCTTAAAAAAAAACGAATAAAAAACACGACTTTAAAGCATTCTGGGGGAGAGGGGCTTAGCTCTCTCGATTATCGTTAATATCCGCCTTCTATGTTAAATCATCGTCATGACAAAATTTGAGGATACAGCATTTTCTTTATTCTAAATTAATAAGATATACTTATATAAAATATCGAGTAGATAAATTGTTATATGCTTTACATAATATAAGTATATTTAAATATTATAAACTTTTATGAATTGTAAAATAATCTGAACTACATTGTTTTATATAAATTATTTTACAATGTAAATAAAAATATATTTATACAAAGGTAACTATTATTTATAGAGACAAATATGATTTAAAAAAAAAAAAAATAAAATAGAAACAAGTAATATTGTATATATAACTATTATATCAGCCGTTTTATTAATTTTTAGATTTTTTTACAAGAAGAGGCTCGATGTACAATAATGGTGTATAATCGTATTGATTACGAAATATCGATATTTGGGTCGTAAAGGGTATAGAATAGATATAGATGTAGACGTACGAGTTGCCAGTAATAATAATGGGACGGTTTTTGTTAGAATTACGAAAAGTCAGGTTTTAATATTTTACACTTTCTAATAAATATTTTCCACGAGAAGAAATATAACAAACCAATATTTAATTGTTATAAACACTATAAGCCATGTGATTATTCATATGGCAAATATTAAAACCTAATGGTCCTAATAAGTCCTATAATAAGATACATAAGATAAGTCTAAACAAATTGTTTAGTGATATATATATGATAAATCAACAAAACCTTACTTAAAATAATTGGTTTATAAAAAAAAAAGATTGCAAAAAATATTGATCTTAATTAATTATAATTAAAAATATAGAAAACAAAATGTTTTTTAAGGAAATACACGTTTGTATCGTACGATGTTTCTCACAAAACCTATTCAATTACAATATAATATAAGTAATTCATTTAAACGTTTGAAAAAATATATAAAATACTATTACTATACTTACGATATGTATTTAAAGTGTTTCAGGGGTAGAGCACATTCTTCGTGGTCCGATCTCCAAGCGTCCAATCCTTGAGCCAACACGGCAGATAAAACAAAGACGCGCCACATCAAAGGGGTTCTAAAAACGCAAACAATAAAAAAAAATAAAACAAAAATTACTGCAAATTTGTTTGTCGTTTAAAATATAGTCAACAATTACACGCATGCACTCGTATTATAGGTGTATACGGGAAGCACGCGTTAAACTCTGCGGTTTTAACGTAACTTACTTCATTTTGCAAGGGTTACAACACGTGCAATGAACCGGTAGTGTCGGGTTGCCGTCTTTTATAAAAGGTTTCGTCGGTGCCGCGGGACGCCATACGGAGAGGCGGCCCGAACGAAAGTCGATTTCGTTTTTAGTGCGTGTAGTCGAAATAAAATTATTCACGAATTACTCGTATTATATGCACCAATCGGCGGCCAGAACTCGGATAAAATAATAATATAATAGTATATCTAACATTATATTATGCTATGACGTTTCAATATCGGCAGCGGTTTGGAAAATGTGTTAGATTTAAATATTATATTACTGATTCTATATATCTATATAATTATATGCACGTTGTGTATAGGTATACTTTTGCCAAAGTGTTTTTGGACATCGTGGTGAAATCTTATATTTTATAGAAATCGAACATTTTCGATTAATATTATACTATTATTTAATAAAATAGCAGTTCTTAAACGTATAATACTAAAACATACTAAAGAGTGTATATATGGATAAAGGATGATAATATCACTTAAAAATATGAAATTAAGAGTAATGTGAAATTACGAATTTACGATAGTTAAATGGAACCGAATATAGGAGCAGTCCTAAAATGAAGAAGAATTACATAACCTGGTCAAGTATGGACATCGAATAGTATAATGAAACAGTTTCTAAAATAAAAACCTAATAGAAAGACAGGGACAAATTGGGCCATCGAAAAATATGAAATTCCCAATGGGTCACTGACGAGTTAAAATGGGCCGCAACAACCATGGGGGAGCAGCAATAATTTTATATATAACTATGTTATGTATAGACGGTTTTTTTTTAGGTTCCTCGAAATGTTTTTCATAAAAAAGCGTCGCAAAACAATATGACAATAGGCAATTTAATATACAGTGTCCCACGAAGATATACCTATTGTAATATCTCGGGAAATAATAAAAATAATCAAATTCTAAATTTTCATATTACTTGCAAGGATGAAGACTACAAATATTTATATTTTAATCAATTTTTATGTTTTGGTAAAAAAATAAATTATTATTTTTGAAAAATTTGAAGATTGCAATTTTATAAAGTTTATTCTTCTAAAAATGTTGACGTATTAACTTCAACTTTGTGGGACCCCCTGTATAAAAATTAATATTTATTTATAATCTATAAACTCTAAAACTACCAAACTAATTAGCACAATTTTACACAAAAATTCCCTGAAACTAGGGGAAGGTTTGTAGCATAAGCACAAAATTAAGGAGGCTATTATACTTATACGTTCTAAAATGTTATATTGATTTTTAATTTTGAGTTATAAAATGTTTTTTGCACACATAAAAGTAATTATTACATGCAATCAAATCAATGATTGAATAGTTTTTAATTTATACCGCTTAGAACTATAAAAATGATTTATTTTTTTGCGCGATTTATTATGTTATTTATGGATTTGGTTTTTTTAAATTTTGTTAATACCTATGAGCAAAGGTTAAGTTAGGTTAGGTTAGGTCAGGTCAAAATAAAGCTCCATCAATATTCAAGTTTTACACCAGTCGACTTGTTGTGGTTACAAAATTTAATTCTTTGTTTTTATATAATTGAAATAGTTCTGAATACCAGAGTTCCCTAATGATGTTAGTAATATTATGTAATATACTAAGATAAAGACAATTTTTAATTAGGTATTTGTGATTTGTATTTATTATATAACACCCATAAACTACGTATAGCCTCTTCTGCACTATTTTACAGTTTTTACTTCTCTTCTCCTATTCCATGTATAAAAATTATTCTACAATATTTTCTGGTAATGATAAAGAATCGAACAAAATATGTTTCATCAAAATATTAAAGGTAATTCTTAAGATTTGTCCAACTAGATATACAAACAGACAGTGGGGACGAGGTTGGAAGTTGCAACCCTCTAAAGGCATCCTCAGAAACAATTATACCAATTATAACCCCGTTACACACTTTGATGAGTCTGTATTAAGGTATTTAAAACCCGGTATTTCCTATGAAATCATAAAATTTGAGTATACAAATGATTGGGAATGGGGTTAAAAGTTGAAACCAAATGAACTTGGGTGAACCCTAAGTACAAATTTTCTACTTGAAATCTTATTCCGATTATCAACTTCATAGATGATTTGTAATAGTAAATATTGTCTCGTTATTATTGGTAAATTGGTGAGGTCATTTTTTTTCGCTTTGAATAACTAAAATTAATCTTAGAAGCCTGAAATGTTCACCAAATACAATGCATTTATATTAACTAGCATTATAACTCATAAGTCTTTTACATAAAGATTTTCTAAACATAGTCAAATGTTTTAAACATTTTCATATTTTTGAGTTATTTATAGCCATCTGATATTTTCGGGTTTTAAGTTTTTATTTGGTTATATATGGATTACCATAAGTAATTCTTCGATAGTGGTAAAAAGTTAAATATAAAAAAAGTTGTTTTTTCATAATCGTTTAAAGTTCAAATTATGATTTAAATCTTTAAAAAAAGAAGCTGATGGTGGGGACGGGTGCAGTTACAGTTGTAGGTAGGTATTTGGGAAGGTAGAATACCTAAAGTTATTTAATGTATACCTAAACCATCGATAAACAATTGCTAACGAAAAACGATTCGGAATAATAAGTCTGACAAATTCGCTAAGGTTCTGAATAATAATACAAATAATGTAAAAATAACTTTTAAGACTAATATAATTGTAATAATAATTTAATCAAACATATAAATAATAGAGCTAAAAACTTTACAAAATATCCCCCTTCTTTTAAAAATGCTCGTATATATAAACTTAAATATAATTATAATTAAATTTTATATAGGTAAGACAAATAGAAATTTTAAAATATGATAAAAAAATCACATTTCTGAAATAAAATTAAAAAAGAATGTCCCTAATTCAAATTTCGCTAACTATGTTTCAAAAAATAACCATAGCTTAAGTTTTGATATCAATACATTTTAGGTAATAAATAATAATGATTTATATTTCTAAACATATCTATATCTAATAATAACTCATTTTAAATAATCCCGCCTATTAAAATTAATTAATTCTATGTAAAACAACCAATTTGTAAAATTTTTTCTTTATGTATTCCTTCATTTATTTTTTCATATTCAGTCGCGTTTCACTTTTTGACTTTGTGATTTACCTGATGAAGAATTTTTAATTTAAAGCCGATCGTATAATACACATTTTTTAATACTCCAGGCGACGCATTAATTTATTCATTTATTTATTTCTACGTATAAATTATTTATTTATATATTTAAATTATTAATTTCAAAAAATTCGTATCCACCTAAAGAAAACTTATTATAGAAAATAACATTTCTGTTTTACTTTTTTAGTATGATTTTAGTTCTCGTATTCTCTAAAAATGTTTATAGGTAATAACTAGGCTGCTGATTTGTATGTATTTACATATTTGTTGTGAATAATAACAATCGAATGAGTCTATTATAGAAATGTATAGCCGGATAGTTTGATTGTTTTAAACTACTTTTGATAGTGGTGTATAGCCGTTATCATTGAAGATGTGATTTTTAAACTTGAAACAGATACCATTACAGTAGAAAATGGCAAAAATTGAATTAAAAGTAATTTAATGAAAAATAATTTAGTGTATATATTCTCCAATATTATATTCCTTGCTAATTCTAATATGAAACTTGAATCTTAAAACGTGTCCCTGTTAGATAGATTGTGTATTATCTATGATACTGTGAACAAATTGAAAGAAGCCTCTTAGAGGAAGGTAAAAAATCAAGAAAAAAGTTGATAAAGTAGGTATTTAGTAAAAACCCCGGTTTAAAGACAATTGAACCTATTGCAAACATTCACAATGGTAGCAATAGGTACACAAACTTGTCTTCAATAATTGAATAATTCAATCTTAATGAATTAGGAACTTTTAAATTTTCTCCAATAACTTTTGTCGACGTGAAAAGGTTCTTTAGCCGATATAAGAAGTATTGCGTTCCCATCGACTTCGATTTACCTTTGAAAATGCATGATTGCCCATTGTTTTGTTAACGACGAGGAATCGTATAATCAAATAAATTAATATTTAATTTGAATGTATAATTTAAATATAATAAACTGATATGTATTATTTAATTTTATTTTATAAATATATATTATATATATTTATATGTACGAATGTACCTACTTATTTTAAAATTAATATCAAGAATTGATACATTATTTTTATATATATCTCGTATTTTTAATTGCATTGTTGGTTAAAAATAAATACATATAGGTACATGTACATATTTTTTAATTTTAAATACATATAAATCTGTACCCTAGTAATAACCCAACAATTTGTAACTTGTTGAAATTTGTTTAAGTTATATTTTAATTTCTGAGTTTTGCAGTACCTAAAAATTGAAATATGTAGTAAATATGTTATAATATTATTACATTGAAGACGTGCTCGGACGTAAAATTTTCTCGCGTAAAATGTGACATCAAACGTTATTTAATTTCACAAACCATTTTGCATTTTTCATACTTATATAGAAATAGATATACAATTTTCTCACAAATCAACATCTAATACTAAAGTGCACGGAAAAAAAATTGAAATTAAATTAAAACCGTATCAGTAAAACAGTTTACTTTCGCTGACACTACAGAAATGATTCGATCGTGAAATTTACCAAGGGCGATTTAAATAAAAACTATACGAATCCGTATTATTTTTTAATAACAGTAATTTGACTTTAACCAACTGCAGGCGCATTGTTTTTCATTAAACCTTTCCAATTCATAAACATTTATCATACATATATGTGTATATTTAGACCTGTTTTTGTGATCAGCTAACGGTTTAAATTATCCGATTATACGGTTGACGGTGAAATTTTCATTCGAAAATTATTGCTGTATGAAATAGACATATAATAATATTCTAACTATATCCTCTAACTGTTCGAGGGAAGTATCACAGAATCTATCAATATATACATGCATATAATGATAGGTACCGAATATCAAAAACAAAGATTATCTATAAAAACTTACAAACATCTAAACATCATTGGTATGATTTAACTGCTTATGCCTGATAATTCAATTTTTTAATAAATTGATATAATATTATTTTATTTATTTATAGTTTTTCGTTTTTAGAAATACATAAGAAGAAATATTATTAATTAACAGCATAATAAAGAGTGAGCTTGGTACGAATAAAACTAATTACCATTGACTGAAGACATCATTCTAATTATAGGAGCGTGTATCGTAAAATTAGACCGATTCATAGACAAGTAAAAGGACCTCTGAAGCCCGATGTTACTGTGTGATTTCACACAAAATCTGATGTGACGTTTAGATATAATCTCTAGTCTGAGCATATCGCTAACTAGATTATAATTATGCGATTGATAACCAATATTTACTGGGTACCTGGAAAAGCCGAGAAAACGATTCTGGTCACGTCACCACATGTTACTTTTGGTATGATGGGACCAAAGCACCATATTCAAGTAATAATTTTACTATAGCGTTAAATAATGATGAAAGACACATTACACATATGGGAGTCAAGAAATTTTAGAAGCGTCACCTAATAAAGCCAATAATTCTCAGCGTCTTGTCTGTGATAAGATCAATATGTGGTCAAAAATCGAGTAAGGAAATATGGAAAAGCCAAAATCTTTAACTCGATCAATGTGTGCCCATTCAGATGATAACCATATTTTAAAAATTTGTGGGTTCGATAAAATATGGTTACCAGCGCGGTAACCATCAAATGCCCGTGATCTTATCCATGTCGGTCGACTGAGATAGTCAACAGCAGAAGCCCTTCAATTTGTTTGAATACAATTAACTCAAATCTTTTATTTATAATTGAAAGTCCAGAAACAGACCGAGAGAGAGAAAACAATTTTTATTTAAAATAAAATATATAAAGCGGACTGTCTATCTAACAGGTTGCACTTTTCAAACATTCTTAGTGATATCACCTAGGATTGCCCGATATCAAAATCGACATTTTGTATTCATTTGAGTGCTGAAATTATATAGGTGTTATGAATAATATTTTCTCAGTAACTCTGTGATGTTTACCTAAATTAAAAAAAAAAAAAAAACAAGTATATACTGCAATAAATATTATTTTAAATACAATAATACTTATGCATAATACGTACAAGTGTATTTTTAATATATAAATAACATATTATACTGGTTTAAATAAAATTTGTTAAATAGCAAACACTATTTTATGAATTTGTCTGTCTGTCCATCCATTTGTTCGTATGCACTCTATCTCTTATTACGATTGCGAATTATGAAATGCAGTTTCACTAAACCATTATTTTAAATAAAGTCCCCGTTAATTTTCAGGCCAATTGATGAATAACACCAAGTTCTTTTACTCATTGGGAACTTACTTTACTTCGGTTCGTATCAATGTATCATTCTATTCAATTACAATTAGTAGGTATGCGAATTAAATATCATTTTTTCAGGTGTACATAAGATTTATAAGATTTTGATTTATTAATAAACCACCCTATAATAGCTAGGTACACGGGTACCTAGCTATTTAAATCAGAACCAGAATGAACAATAAACATAAATATTTATATCAAAATGAATAATTTTATTTTAAATTGAACGTCAACTTTACCGTATATATGAAAAACCTCTTAAAAGGTAAACACGCGTTTTTACACTCTATAAACATAAAAAATAATAAAATGTATTTTAAAATACAATTTTACCGAAACAATAATATTCAACATTTAAAATAGGTAACTCATGAAAACTGTACGGTATAAGTATAATGCGATTTTTAAAGTAAATTATAACTATACATATTATATAGTTACATAGTACCTATAGACAATTATTAACCAATAAATTCATTTTAAAATTCATATTTGAGATAATTAGGCACACCTGCAAGAGTTATCTACATTTTATATATACATTATATTTATAGGTGGAAATAGAGGAGCTGGAAGTTTAACCCCTCCCCCTAAAACTAATGATTTCCGTTATGATGTGAAAGCATCATAAGGTGATCCAGTACAGACCTGAGCTTCAGCGTCCGAAATTTTAAACACTATGTGCACCTATGACTGTACTTCATTGGCGTATTGGTGGGTATACCCGAATTTCTTTGCTTTTCAACCAGAATAAAATTAATTTATATATATATATATTCATCAAAGCAATTTTCTCACTCGATAACCATTAAAATGGTAATTTTTATCAGTCTAGGTGTTAATTGATCATTTGGCCGTGGCGTTCAAGTATAAATATTAGTTTTTTTGGAATTTTGTGCAGCCGCATTACATTTCAACAATTGTTTTTAATAATAATTGGCTTTGGAAAGGGAGAGGGAATTGGTCCCACAAAATATTGGGCTTATGAGAAACAGAAATGACGCTCCTGTTTTTAATAAACATTTTATATAAATTTCTTTTTCAATAGGTACTTAAATATTTAAAAATATACGTTTGTCTATACCGTCAAATTTTTTCACCACTGTACTTATATATATAATATAACCAACTAGAGCAATACTTGTACCTATTAAATATTCAATACAAAAATTTTAAAAAAAAAAACTGATAATTATTATATATAATATACAAATACGAAACTACCCCTACGCAATTTAGCATACGTTGTGATTGACAATAAAACATTTTCACGTTATTTTTTTGTTACGTCGGAGAGACTCGTTTTCGGCATCACTTGTTTGTATACCTAAACAAATAAAAGTACGCTGAGTAAAACGTCTAAGTGTACATGTAGCATTAGTTAAACTCTACAAACTCACCCCAAATGTAGTTATTGAATCTGAGATTACTAACCAAGTAAACAATAGGTACAATGTAACTAAGGAATGAAAACACGACGACCAACTTCGGAATCGTGTCTAGATAAATATCGATCAATAGGTAAACCCATCTACCATAATCAATTTTCAATTTGATCATCCTGTTAAAACAACAACATAACAATAGTATCATAATGTTTTAAATACAAAATCATTATTAAAAACCTATCAATACAATAGAATTACAGTTTAAGTTGGACACGTTGAGTACATAAAATCACAATACATTTACTATAAATTAGATACTTATTAATACAAATTTAAGAATTATTATGAGTCATTATTGGTAATATTGTTTAAATAAACCATAATCGCACGTGTACCGTCAGCTGTTATAAACTTACGTTGCTAAATAAATGGTTTCGGCGACAACCAAACTAATGATGGCCGGTTTTATCCTCGGCGATGTATGGTAACAGAAAATCAGTTCAATGTAAACGACGAAAATAGGAGTCGTGTGCGACACGTGATTAATAAATACTGGTACGATATTGTTCATTTCGGTAGGGTAAATAAGATCGTTAAACAATACCCACGCAGCCCAAAAACCTCCGCAAACGCACTGAAACATACAACAAAAATATCGGTTGATGGAATTAATTATTATTCATTAGGTACCCTATACCTTAGCTGAAATCTAACAAATCGTAATTCAATACAGAAATGTCGTAATTTGTTGACTGCGTTTGTATGTTCTACAGTTTTAGTTTGATTGATCGAATTTAATAATATAATATACTTTATTATATAGACGAAAAAGGATGGATACAAATTATAATTTGTAAAAAAATAAATATGGTATTAATCATGATGAGATAATGGCAGACATATCATAGAACTGTAATTACAGGCATTTTTAGCAAAATGTATTTTTTAACGTGGATTATTATAATTTAAATTTTTTTTACTGATTACTTTACTTTACTGATTTACTTTAATGATGAATCGTTAAGTTTCTACAATTTTTTGAAGTTAAACAAATTATTAATAGAAATATATTTTATGTGTTTTTGTGTTTGTGTGAATCGATTACGAATATTAGTTTAGCAGTGATTATAAAACCAGTTTATATTATCGTTAATTTCAAAATTTTTAGAAAATTAACGCTCATTATAAGCAAATTTTTGGACCACCAAAATTTTGTTTCAAAATCTATAACTATAAAATGGCTATTTATGGCTACTAATCTTTGTAAAAATAATTATTTATTTTTGATTTTAAAAAAAAAAATTTAATAGAGCAATCAAAGTGCATGGCTTTAGTTGTTATTCAAGAAAAATATTATGTATAACAAAAATTATTATATTTGTTAGGTCTCCATGAAACGTTTACACAATACATCATTGAAAACGAAAAACATATCTTTGTAAAACTAATGGCTCTTTCGTTCTACTCAGGTTCTAAAAATCGAATTATCACAAAGTGAAACGCGAACTAAAATAAAATATAATATGTTCGTATAAATCGTTATCAGATTATAATATTCCACGATCATAATACATCGATGATTATGCAAAACGGTACACAAAAAGCACTTCTACAATAGAATATAATACGCAACAAGTGATTATTTAACATGACGTAGGTACCTAATCATTATGGTTGAAAAAGTAATCGATTCTATAAAAATTATAAAACAAAAAAAAACTTAAAAATGTATCCTGATTAAAATAAAATATTTTCTAAACGCGCATAGATATTAGTATATATTCGAGATGATTTTGACGACCAAATAACTCATTATATCTTTATGTACTATTTAATAATAATATGTAGACTTATTAAATTTAAACTTTTTAACTAAGAATTGTTATAATTGAGTTTTTTGTAAGAATAGGTTTGTAAATAACAATCAATTTAACCCTCATTTGGACTATTCGTCAGAGTCTTAACTGATTTCTTAATATTTATTTGATTGCCTATATATATTCCTTAAATATTTGTTACTTTAATAATTATAGCTATAATAAACACATACATATTTTAAGAAATATGTAAATTTAGAAAAATAAAACACAACTAATCGAAATTTAAAAGCACGAACTAATTGTATATCAGAAATCTTATTTCGGTCTATGAGTGTAACAACTACTAAAAGCAAATACTATTGAATTATTGGTACACTAGGGAAATCATGTTTTGATTTTAATTTTCCTTGTCCATTTCTTAATAATTATATAAAAAAAAACGAAGAAAAGGCGGGAAAATGTACGCAATGACGATGTCTGTTACTGTTTATTGTTTTGTTGTAATTCAGTCAATCGTAGAAACGGTTTTCACAAAGTATTTAAATTAGTATTTTCTAGATGTGGTAGCATTTTCATTTTTAATATATAGCATCATTCACAAAACGTGCTCACCCCACAGTTTTTGTTAAATTTTGCATGTATTTAAATTCTGATTTTGAAATTTTTAATTGTAGTTAAAGCCAATATTTTGAATTCTCAGATTTGTTTAAGACATTTAAGGAGTATCCGGTGGCGATATCAACTTTAGTTTTTCAAATGAGAACCTATATTAAAAGTTCTATAAATAAATGGGATATTAATTTAAATACATTTTAGTATTAAAATTTTTGTTTTCAGTTATCCCATTGACGAGATATTTCAATTTTAAATTTAGGTAGGGGGAAAGCAATGGAATATCATTTGTTTGGCAGCACGGCGCGGCGTGGCGTTTTATAAGTAGCATAAATAAGAGGGAAAAGAGGGTGCGGTCATACTCAGGCCCGTTTGCTTAAGAAACCCTAAATAATACAATGTTTCTCTTTTAATAATATAACTATAAAACTGTTAATTTTATAAATAATTAATAATTCAAAATAATTATATTTTATTATTAGTATATAATCTTTCTTGTTTTAGTGTGAATATTATGTTGTCAGCATCGTAATGTTCATGAGTACGATAAAAACTACGCCAAAAACTCTATGAGTTTTAGTTTTGTACTTAAGAAGACAATTAAGAGGAGTGAGAATGCTAGAAGTTATACTTACATGTGTTTTCTCCTTCTTACAATCGCTTGAAAAAAAAAAAAAATGTATATAAAATAATTTCAATAAAATCACTCATCTCAGACCTTCTTATACCTGAATATGCCTGAATGAAGAGGGCTCGTTGAAAGTTTTGCTCCCAGGCTAAAATTTTAAAGTTACGGTTTATTAATGCTCCACTAACATTTCTTCCTCTATCTAAACTTAAAAGTGAAATATCTCGTCAATGGGTTGACAGAAATCAAAAATGTATTTAAGCTAATATTCCATCTATTTATGGAATTTTTAATATAGATTCTCATTTGAAAATACAAACTTGGTATTGCTACAGGATACTTCTTAAATGTTATGGAAAATCTAAGTATTCGAAAATATCGACTTTAATTTATTAATTACACTTAAAAATGTTAAAAAACAGAATTTTAATATGCCTATGCAATATTTAATCAAAAAAATGGGGTGAACACCCTTATTGAATAATATACTGTACACTATAATAAATATGAAATAATACAAATAATTAAATAAAATACTTTCATGATAGGACAATCATTTGGAAATACTTTCTAGAATCTAGGAGTTGAAGATACAATAATACTGTTTACGTATTATACTCTTGATTTTAAAAAAATATTTTTTTTCTACAATTTAAAAATAATAATACAAATTATTTCATTTAAAATTTTGTTTTCTACTACCTATAATTGCAATAATACTTAATCGTACAGGTTTCCACTTACAAATATTGTGTTTCTATTGATAAATTTAATATTTAAAAAACAAAATATCATTTACTACTGATATCGGCAGCATTACGGTCATGAATAAGAAATCATTTATTTCTCTGACTTTGTTGAGCAATTTACCAACATTGGCGGACTGTGGTAGTAACTCAAAGAAATCCAATACAGCGGCTAACAGGAAAAATGCTAAATGCATGTTCTAAAACAAAAAAAAAAACAAAAATCAATATCCCTGTTACATATAAAATATATATATTTATTTTTTTTAAACTATCAAGTTTGACTTAAACGTTCAATGTATCTCCATATCTTATATACGTGTTATTATTCTTTATTAAATGTCAATTAGTGAGACAATGGATATTTAACTTGGTCTTAGAAACATCGCAATCGACGCAAACTTTGATTTCGTATCGTTTGACAGTATTTCGATATCTGTACACAGAAATACATATGGAACAATAATTATTATTTGTACATCAAGTAGATCAGGAATCGGACGGTCCATAATCAGAGCCACATTTAAGATTCGAGCCCGATACATATTAAATCTTATTCTACTCCAAAGGCGTATTTCTAGGAGGTTGAAGAGGGAATTAGCCCTCAATTCCACATGAGTTACGAACGTAAGATCTATTTTAAAAATATTATATTATATATTTTTTTAGGACAGCAGATATAATGAGTATAAAAATAATTTATTGTTAATCAATAGCGGTAAACTGAGTACCTGCACATATAAATTAGTAGAAATGTACAATATGCATTAGATTCTATATTTTCATCAAATATATGGGTTGAATTTTTGGCTACATTAAATCGTAAAACAGTGTTAATAATTGTGAGTCGTTTTCGACGAAGATTCAATTTCGATTTATACAAGGTGCTCCACGAAGATATACCTAATGTATTATCTCCAGAGATGATAAGGATAATCAGATTCTATTTTTTATATATATATATATATATATATATTACTCATAAGGATAAAGAATAAACATATAGACATACTTCGAACGTGGATGAGCCACTGTTGTAGGTGAGAAGTTGGAAAGGTATAAAAGGGAAATTTAATTTATATCTGTATGCAACGATTATGATAAAATAATAACATAATATGCAATATATATTTTTGTTAATAATATTTATTTAATATTGTATTTATTTTACCGTTATATTTTTTCGGTTTTTTCATGTTTTACCCATTTATTGGGAAAACTGGTGGGAAAATCAAAAAATGACCGGCCTATAAAGTACCAATCCAGTCAGATATCCTTTGAGAATTGTATATTGGAGCAAAATTGCTGGAAAAAAAGGTATTCACAAGAAAAAGAAAGGCCATATTTTTTTACTAATAGTACCTACATTTCGTACATTTTCCGTTTTTTCTCGGTTTTTTCTAATTATTGGGAAAAATCTAGAGAAAGTGAAAATATGATTTCCTTAGAGTACCATAAAGATAAAATTTCCTTAAAATAAATCTTAAAATAACTTTTTATTTTATTATTTTTAACAATTATCGAAGTACAAGATATTAAGACTACTAGACTTGACATTTTATAATTAATTTCAAAAAAATTCAATTTGACTCTTTATTACAGATTCAGTTTATCACATTGTTTCAGATTCAGAGTGTAGGGAAGGAGAAATGTTGTCTAATTGATATATTAGAGAGGACATGTTTTGATTTTCCGAGCAGTTTTAAAAATAATTGGCAAAATCTGGAAAAAAAATTATAGATTAAACGGTACTCTGTAGCGTTACCGATTTCATTATTTTTAATTTTTCGCAAATTATGTTTTCTACCAGAAATATTGTTCCAATCGATAAATGACAAGAGATCGATTGTATTCCTTATAATTATTATTCATTGTTAAGAGAGTTTTATTTTGATATATAAGTAGTTTTCATAATAATAAAAAAATTGAAAAAAAAAAGAACATTACTTTTTTTTTCAAATTACGATACAACGTTTTTATTATTTTTAATTTGTACGGCTTATGTTTTTACCAGAAATTTTTGTCTAAATTTCAAGAATAGCGTCGTTTCTGAGAGAAAACTTTGTCTAGTTTATGAATATAAAATTCGTTTGATTTTCCGTAAAATTTTCTGAAATTATGGAAAACCGGGAAAAAATGTAGGAAGTACAGCAAAGTGTACGGCATTTGGATGTTTTGTTGTTATTCAGTTTAAAAATTATTGTATAGGTCTGTAGTTTTCACAAAATATTGTTATCGCCATTTTGTAGACGTGATCAAATTTTCAAAACATTTTTACTTTTTTTAGGCTATTTATAGGTATAATATATTTTCGTGTTTATGTACTATTTGTTTAGGTATCTGTTTTAGTGGTTTAAAAAACAAAATTGATTTTAATGCAATTTTTTTTTTTTTATAAGTGTTTTAAGATCAAATTTTGACGAAAATCGTAAAAATTATAGTATTTCAAAACATTTTTACCGAACTTCGCTCCGAATCGTTTTTATTAGCAATCATTTATTGTTGCGTACAGATATAAATTAAATATTTTATGAATCTTACCTTCCCAATTTCCCATCTACAACAGTGGCTGCACCCGTCTCCAGTATCTGTTCTTTTCTTATTTATATGTGACTGTTTACCTACAAATGCTGAAATTGGACTGAATTCATCAAGAGATATGATAAAATTCTGGACAGTTGAAATGCCTGCTTTATTTCATTCTCTATCGGTTATAAAAACAAATAATATTATAGTTATAAAAATCGTGTTTTTTTTTACAGATTTACGAATCTCTTTAACATTTTTGTAAGCGTCAAAAAATTTCGAGAGTTTGGAGGTATTTATGATAAAATCAACAATCAAATAAACGCGGGCTAATTTTTGAATTTTAAAACCGTTAATGAATAATTATTTTACCGGAAATAAAATAGATTTGAACAAGCAGAGTTGTGTTCAGTAATTTTTATTTTCCAATAGGAGGGGTTGCAGTATCCAGTAAGGAATAACTATGATTCATGAATAAATTATAAAATCTTATTTTGTTAACTCATCAATGAGAATAATGTTTAAAAGCTGGATTCAACAAAATCAACTTTTATTCAATTAATCAAACTTTTTTCTTGTAACTTAACTGAAATATGTAAATTCAAGATTAAATTATTAAATAAATACTATTATTTATTTTTTTTTTTTAAGCAAATGGAAAGAAGGATATAACCTCTAATTTCCCCCATGCAGCGCACGCCACAGTGAATATGAATCTGGTGTACCTTTGTTTTTTGTCTTTTTTTTTTTTACTTTGACTTTGACTCTAACATTGAACATAAACTTGAATAAATTATTAATTGTTCAGTGAACATTTTAGACACTGACCATAATAGATACGAAATATGATTATTAAGCGCACTCTCATTATTGCAAACTATAGTTATTATCTGTCAATATTCATGAATCACAAGTGTTTTATGTAGATTGCTAACTTTGTATACATAAACTTTAGACTTTGAGTTAAACCAAAAAAATTTACATTAATTATTATTAAAATTGGACGTATTACCTAAATTTACTATTATTTATAATATAAATAACTAATTTGAATATATATTTTTCTACTTAATTTTTTTTTTATCACTTATTTAATATTATATATCATCAGTCTATTAATTTTGGTCGTGTCATTAAGATATTCACCCCGTGCGTTAAAATTCTATATAAGCATATATAAAGTCACAGTATGTACTTAAATAATAATAAAAAAAAATCATATTTTTTAATACATTTTATGGACTGATCTCGGACAATTTTTGAGATAGAAAAATTTACATTAGTTAAAGTTGATTGAAAAAATAGGACTATTCGAATCTGGTACTAAAAACAAATATTTCCATTTTATAAAATGTAAGTTTCATTACGCATTCGTGAACCGCAAGAGATTTAAAAAAAAATTTCTTTTTGAAATTTTTTAACTATTTAACCTTTATTGGCTAGTCTATACTAATACCATAAGTATTATTAACAAATAATAATTATTACAGGTTAGGTTAGGTTAGCTTAGGTACTCTTGAGAGTGAAAACTAATTTCATAATAATTACTGATTTTGATATAATCAGTAGGTATAGTTGTAATCATGATCTATATCCCAAAATGTACAAACTATTCTTTAAATGTTACTCGTAACATCTTGCAAAGCTGAAAGATCATATTTAACTTTTAAAAGACTCAAAATATACCTCAAAAATTCAATATCAGAGTATGGAATCATTGGATCAGTAGCTTTAAATATTTACCGTAAAATTATAATTACCACTGATGACGTTATTATAAATTATAAGACGGTTCACGCAGAAAAAATACTATTTAATTTTGTAATATGAAATTTTTAATTAACTGATTCCAGTAAAATGTTTATTTATTTTGATTGTAATCTTTTATTTAAGTGTAGTATTATATTTTATTTATTAATAATATTGAATCAATTTAAATCTTTTTAATTGTATCTATTAAAAAAAAAAATTATATATATATATATTATACATATTTTTAAGTATATACAAAAATAATTATGCTTTAAAATTTGACTGTAATTGCATTTATAATCAATGTATAATAAGTATCAATGATTATAAGTCAGGTTAGGTATATATTGTAATGTGCGTGTTTTGATCGTAAAACACCAATGGTATATTCAAAAAAAGGTTACAGGGGGAGGGGATGGATTATGCGGACATTCCTAACGAAAACTCCTAGTTTTACCTATATATATAAATTCAAATATAACTCATGAATGGTATTGGTATATCCAATATTATGCATATTTTTTAAAGTTTTTAGAAAAATATTTTCTTTTCGAATATAGTTTGAATACGGGAATTTCTATTTTAAAATCAAGTCTTGTATGTGTTTATTGTGTACGGAATAAGGGTAACATTTTAAAAATATTGTTAATAAAATCGTTCAATGGTTCTAAAATAATGACAAAAAAAAAACCAAAATCATTTAAACTCAAAATCTTCGTAATAGATAATAATTTTTGGATCGTACAAAATCAAAAAAAATACTTTGTACACAGAATCGAAATTAATTTTACATTCAGACATAAATATTGATAATTTGGATCATGTAAACTCGCTAATGTACACGTTTTCTTAAATAGATAAAGGACGTTGTGTGTACGTAATAAATATAAATGAATATATTCTTATCGCAAAATGAAATAATGTAAAAAAACGGGTTAACGTATAATTATTTATAAATCAATGTCAATATTCGGAAATTAGAAAACAGAAGCAGACCGTGTTGCGATATATAAATCTTCGAAAAAGGTTATCAATTCTCAGCGATCAGATTTTTTTAATTGTATATGCATAATGAGGTACGTCAATCTTTATAAATGTAAAATGTGTATTTCGAGAATATAGGTGTAAGTACTTGTACTCCGAGTACAATATTTGATTGTGTATTGAATCCAAATGAATAAAGGACGAACATACTTCGCTTAAAGTTGGGAAGGTAGATTACAGACGAGAATTTAATGTATATCTGTAAGCTACTATAAACCATTACTAACGAAAGTACAGTTCTGAGCCGAGTTCAATTGATAATGTTGCTTTTTCAATAATACATTATATGGCATTAAGTCATATTAAGGTAAAATGATTAAAACAATGTGCGTTTCCATAACAACAATGATTGTTAAAAAAATGTAAATAATTAAAACTTTATAACAAAAAATAAATAATAACGGTTGCCAATAACAACCTTATGTTTAATTTTTCAATCTTTTTTAACCTAAAAACCAAAATTTTCCTCATTATCTAGAATATTAATAAGAATTTCAAAAAATGATCTCTCTAAAGTACCACTATGAGAAAATTATAAAAAAAAAAATTAAATAAACATCATTGTAAAACCAATATATCCCTCGTTCCACTCAAAATTTAAAACAACGAATGATCTCTACATTTAATTTATAGAATAAATTATAATATAGTACACCTGTGGATTAATCAGGTTTTTGATGATTATCGATTATACGAGTATTTGCGCAAACTTCTTCAGTCTTTAAAAAAAATTACCTGTGTATTCTTCCAGTTTTAACACTTCTACCGAAACCGTTGTCACATTTAGATAAATTTAGTTATATTATTTGCCACGATCAAATCATATCAAATCAAAAAAACACCCATCTCTTAACTCCTCCTACGATCATTTTAGCCGAAAAGCAATATAACTGTAAACCTCTACTATACTGTAGTCAAGGAGTCAATTTGATCTGTTTATCTCTTGCTATTTTTTAGATTCTGAGTGAAACGTAATATGTATTTGTTTTACAATAGTATTTTTATTATTTTTTTATTTTTATTTTTATATAACAACTCTTCTACCAGAAATTTTGCTCCGATTTAAAATAATAGTACTTTTTCTAAAAGTTGACTGGGGTGGTACTTAAAGAGGTTATTTTTTAATTTTTCCTGTTTTCATAATAAATGGGAAAAATCAAGTAAAAACGTAAGAAAAACGGGAAATAAGTGCAATGTTAAAAAAAATATATTGTTAAAGAAAATATATAAGGCATTAGTTTACCATAAAATGACATATATATTATTGAAAAAGCAACACTTTTAAACGAACTTCGCTCAGAATCGTTTTTCGTTAGCTATGGTTAATCGTTGCGTACAGATATGCATTAAATTTTCCTTTTACATTCCCAACTACAGTAACCCACTCATCGTGCGAAGTATGTCTATCTTTTTTTGAATTTTACGTTATTAAAAATATTTTATGGCTTTTTTTAATGAATTTCTGTTTCCGACGTAGAATTTCTCTGTCTCAATTTTTAATAAAACAAAACGATTGGACAGTAGCGGTCGTATATTAAAAGCGGAAATTTTAAAGCTGTTTTCCAGATCCAGGCACGATGGTGACATTCAGACAAACACCAATGCATAGACTCATATGTGATCCTAAGTTCTCTACGGCCCATCTTAGGTTAGGTTATTGTCAACAACGATTAAACACATTTTTTAATGTGTAGTAAATTTATAAGACAAAAACGTTACGGATAAAAACTGATTTATCATGTAACTACAAGGCTGTGGAAAAAAATCAAGGACCCCAAAGAAAAACTAATCCCTCCTAATGTTAAATATAAAATTTTAAATCGTATTAAACTTATCATTGACGCTTAGGGTCGTTCTTTCAAATGTATATAACAAAAAGAAGGTTTAGAATTGAGAAACAAGCTACGGTATTTAAAAACAATTATTATGAAAACTACAAAAAAAAAAAAACAGAAAATAACAAATTACTTTTAGAAAAGATGTTTGCTAATAAAAAAATTGAGTAATTTCAGGTAAAGCAATTGTTAACAGACACAAACAAAAACTATTTCATATCTACGATTTGTAGGTTTGTTTATTTATAATTAACATAACATATCCTTAAAAAATACGCGTGTAGGTATCAGATTTTAATTATATTATGTATTATAATTTATTATTTAAGGCTTTGTTAAAAAGCGTACTATAAAAGTAGAAAATCACACTCGGCAGGTTACCAATTATTATGGTTTAAGATAAATTATTATAATCGCAATTACCTTTTAAAAGGATAAACAATAATAATAAAAGTCAATATAAAAAAAATTACTAGTTACTACTAAATTACTACTAGTACTTACTAATAACTGTATTGTTCCTGAATCAAACTTCCTAAATGTCATTTTCCCTGAATGAAATACTTCCTAAATAGTATTTTCCCCGAAACCACATTTCCCGAACTCTTTTGCTGGAATGGTGTATTTCCCGAATATGGGGAAAAATGAATGAAGAACAAATATTTAAGTCAGTTTCGGATGTTTATTTGGATATCACGTTTAATACTAGGCCACCATTACCACGTTTGTTTTGATGTGAACTATTATAAGTAATACCAAGCATATTTGTCTCTCTCAAAACGAATGTGTTCAAACAGTAGTATAATCGTTTTCACTCATTATTGGACATCATCTAGATCTATATTATACTCTCAAAGAGTTTCAAAAGGAACAATCTGAAGTGGAAATAATATTCACAGAGTTAAGGTTTGGACAAAAAGTCAGAGATCAGAAAAAAAGAAAATGGTTAGACTTTCAAAGGCGATTAAGGCCTATTACTGATAATTACACAATTTTCAATGCATTGAATTTCGTGCAGAATATAGTGCATAATATAGTCTTGTCACCTTTTTGTAATTTAAAATATTTGAAACTTGTGTAATTTTAATCTGTTTTTGAAACTTTAAAATTTGTGTTTACTAAATAATAATAAGTTATCTATACTAAAAACATTTTTTATTTTTACTGCTTTAAATACGTTATTCGGGATAAAACCATATTTGGGTAAAATTAATTAATAATATTTAGGAAAAACTCAGGAACCGTACGCGTACTTACAATAAATTTGATTCAGGAAATGAATAGACTACTATGTATATAGGCAATAAATGTTATTATTGATTTTCGGTGAACACTAGTTTAAATGTTATATTTATAAAAAACAAATTTTATTTAGATTCCAGTATAAACAAAAGTTTCATTCTTTGTAAAGTTTTCAACACTTGTCTATCGTTCCTAATGTTCCGAAAAACAGACTTAAGTTTTTAGATTATAAGCGCAATGAGATTGGTTTTATTATGATTTGCAGTAATTTTTTTTGCCTGTGGACATCTTTTCTACCAAAAATATTACTCTAATCAAAAAATGATTAAAAAAAGCATTTTCGTAAAATTTTGAATTTAGTTGATGCGTTAAGGGGGTAATTTATTATTTTCCAAGTGGTAGTTTTTACAATAACTAAAAAATTGAAAAAAAAAATTACGGTAATAAAAATTATTTTTGAATTTTTCGATTTTATTTTTCTAATACAAATTTTGCTCTGAAAATTCAAAAGCAGTATATTTTCTTGAATTTTATCTAGCTGGAACGCAAGTAATTCATTGATTGCAGTTTTCCTAATACTGAGAAAAAACCGCACAAAAAAAATAGTTAGTGGAAATAACAGTTTCATTATTTTTAATTTTGTTTTATTGTTGTAATTTACTTTCAAAAAATCGTAAGGCCCTGACATTTTCACAGAATACTTATATTAGCTGTTTTTAGACGTGGTAAAATTTTGGCTTCTTAATATTTTGAGCATTTAACATTATCGAGATTATAGTTTTTAGTTTTATGTGGATAAAATTGCTTTGAACAAACAAAAATATTTAAATATATTACATGGGGAACATCATAAGTTGTACAATGTACACAGTGGTTAAAAATAAATGTTGAGCATATAAAATAATTTTTTTATTTATAATACACGCGTGTTTTGAGTTCAAATTTTAATTTAAATCGTAAAAATCAAGTCATTTTTTGATTTTCGTGAAGATAATTTTTGGCCGAGCCAAAATGTTTGGAAGTTTAATACAGGGTTCATTGTAAGTTGAATTTGGTGTTTTAAAAAAATAAAATTTAGTGTGTTGTATTCATTTCTTTTATCAGGATTTTAAATAAAAAATGTTATCGAAATCGTAAAAATCGTATTTCAACCGAACTTCGCTCAGAATTTTATTTCATCAACAATGATTTATCATTGTGTACAGAAATAATTTATGTATCCTATCTTCAAAATTGACCACCTTTAACAGTAACACATACATCTACAGCAAGAACTCTTCTTGATACTTATTATTTATTTATCGAGTAAAAATATTGAATAAGTTTTTAAAAACAAATATAAATTATTTCATAGTTAAAAATATAATGTTCATTAATGTTCAAAATTTAATTTCAATTTTCAATATAAATTTTAACCAAAATAAAAAATTGTTAACCGTTCTCCACTCGCAATCGTTTTTTAAGTTATCGTGAGTTCAGGATTTGAACGTAATTGCAGATTATTTTTTAAAACTTATTTTAAAATTATACTGAAGATGGACCACAGAGTAACAATTATTAGTACCACAAAATCTCAGTGATTTACTTATTTATTTTTATTACTTTTTTTTTTTTTTGCACTTCAATCGTTTGAAGAAGGCGGGTGTGGAGAAATGTTTTTATAAACTCGAAAACAAATAGAAACTATTATTATTGGAGGGAGAGTCTGCGACGGTGGTACTCACCAACGTCCACAGGGTGAGCATGTAGACCATGAATTTGCCCACTTCAGTGACGGTCGGGAAATCGATTGAATCCCAGTCAACGAACTTGGCCATCCACATAGTATGATAGTACATCCATCCGAGCGCTGCGTGCACCACGAGCCGGACGATAGCCGCGGGCGGCCGACGGCCGGTGCTGACCGACGACGAACGCATGACGGACCGAAATGATCGCCGGTACGCAGTACGGCCGCTTCGTGCGGTTCATGGATTTCGATCATTGCGAGGCCGCCCGCGCGCACACGGACATACGTCGACCGCGGTACACGTAAAATTTTTGTGAATTTATCGTGCATGTGCGCGTGAATGTATATGTGTAAAAAAGAAAGATTATAGTAATAAATTGTAGAAATGTATCATGATTAATTATCGCGTCCGAACTAATATGAATACATTGGACTATACCAATCACGTGATTGGTTCGTTTACCAACCGCCCCCCTCCTGTCGTGTGAAGACCGGTCCGCCGTTCGTTTGAAAATCCGTGTGCTGGCCTACCGGGAATTATAATCTAAAAATATGTTACCACTAGCTGTCTTCTAATCTCCCCACTCAAAAAAAAAAAGTTTGCCAATAATAATAATTAATTCTGCAAAATCGCAGGGAATTCTTGAGATATACCCATAGTACATTTGTTAAATTAATCTCATTTATTGGAATTTGTTATTAGAATATATAAGATAATTAGGGGAAACCACCTAAAATATATTCTGATACCAAATTTTAGCCCCACTCATAAAAAAAAATTGTTTCATAGTTCTACCTTTCAGTGACATATGGGGGATCGTAAATAGATCACCCCTTGATATTTCCCGCCCAAAAATAAATATTTCCATTGATAAAATTTGTGCAAGTGGTAACTTGGCCGAGTTAAGAACATATAAATCAATTCAACAATTGATCACAAGTTTAGGGTTATCGATGGTGTGTAATGATTTATGAACGATGTACATCTAAAAACGACGGCTCAATAAAATCAAGCAAAGTCCGAAGTATGTCGATTTTTTTTCTTCGTTAAGTACTGTTTACTTAACCACGTTTATCTGTGTAGACATTTGCATTTACACAACACATTATATATTGAGATGATCGTAAAATTGGCATTAATCAATAATAATCTTAGTTATATTGCTAAAGAAGGTAATAATTTATATATAATATTTTTGATTTGATGTTTTGTTGCAACGCCTTATTATTATTTTTTCCCTTTACACAAGTACCGATGATAATTGGCTTTCTCAAAAATTTGGTTAAAATAAATCTGTTTCAAATACCGGTTAACACCCTGAATTTTAATTTCGTTAATCATCTACATTATTTTCGTTTTCCAAAAATACGATTTATACGATTTGAATTTATAGCCGATAAAGTTAGCGTGTGCACGACTTATTCCGGAAATTAATACCCCTCGCTCGTTAAAAAAGTAAAAAAACCTTTTATTTATTTTATTATTATTATTATTATAAATTTACACCCACGGTGGAACAAGAGTACAATATAACTGTACATATAATATTTGATATATACATAGTATATACATATGAAACAAGATTAAATAAATACTTTATGCTGCATTAAAGGTACATTGTTTTAATTTAAAGAAACAGTCAGTTAAAAAATCAAATTTTTTAAACCGTCACAAGAATTTATGGTCCGATACATACATTTTGGTAACTTTTCGTGGATGCAAAGGGAGATTTTGATTATAAATTGCAGTAATTATTTCAAAATTATTAATATATCTATAGGAGGGACATGTCCCCCTTGCCCTCGTAATGAATGCCCATGGTAAAACACACTTAGAATTTTGATAAAATTGACATTTTAATAACACGTAAAAAAGTTTTTGTTGGTTCATCGTAGTTCAAAGGATAATTAAGAAACATTTGATCCGTAAGGGTCATGATAATGTTCTGATATGTTGTATTGATTAAATTTGCGAAAGATAATATTAATGTGAAATACAACCTACCAATAATAATTTGACTTTAGAAAAACCTTAATAATCCTTACTAGTTTAACAATATTTTATTTAAATGTACATCTCACATACATTGTTTGTACATAAGACATAAGTACTTATCGTTTTTAATAAAAACTAATAAGTCGCATTTTTTCAATGTTACCAACATTACAAATATTAAATTTTACCACTATTATCGTATTTATGTTTTGATTTTACATTTATGTGTTAGTTTTAATTATGTACAATAATATTTTTGGTGTTTTAACAACAAAAAGATAAACAACATTTTTTGTTATAATTTGGTTAAAAATAATCTTAGAAACCTGAAATTTTCACAGAATACTTACATTTTTAAAACTTTCTTTTGATTTTAAACAATTTAGATAGAAATTGTCGAGTTATTTTGTAGTTTTTTGTTTGGTTCTACGTGGCTAAAGCAGGAAATTTATCATGAGGTTTATTATAAGTTGTACTTATGTAATAAGATATTAGATAGCGCATTTTAAGTTCAAAGTTGGAATAAAACCGTACAAACATATTTAACTGAACTTGAATCAGAAATGATTCATTATTGAATAGAAGGTACGCAAAAACCTGGAATCTGAAAATCTGGACTTAACAAACCAGAACAGTGAAAACCTAAATTCTAAAATTCACAAAAATCTGAACAGAACAAAACAATATTTACAATTTTTCCCTGATTTTTACGGATTTAAAATGTTTGAATTCCAAATTTATACTATCCAGGGTTGTCTAGTCAAGTTTTGTCTGGTTTAGACTTTTATTGTTTTGATTTGGAAATCTAGATATTTAAATCTAAAATTTACACCGATTATAGACTGGTTTTCTTCTTTTCATAAAATATTAATTCTAAATCAAATTTTCAACTTTGGTACAGTTTAAATTTTTAAAGTTACAATATCATCTCCCTGCCCTCTTTAGTTTATAATCGTTCTAAAACTATTGGTAATAATATGTTATAGGTGGGGTGCATTGTGCATATACGCCAGAAAATGCGCAATAAAGGTATTATGTAATAATTGTATAACGATGTAATGAGGTACGCTAATATAATAATATTATTGTAATATTTTAATTATTTTCTTAACTGATATTAGATTATAGGTACTAGATACATATTTATTACACATGCATAAAAGTTACAATGATAATTTTTTTATTAATTAGATACGATACGGTGTGATTGTCCGTAACATATTTGATGGCATTGAGTTAATAGCACATAAATTAAAAAATATATAATATTTTTACAAATAAAATCAAGTATAAGAACATATATTAATATATTTATTATTCCTATGTAATTATTTATTTATTATATTTATTTAGTTATTATTATTAAAATTATTATTATAAAAAGTTTTCGGGGATAATTATATTTTTTCAGTTCACAAATTGCACAAAGTTCAAAATGACAAAACATGCATATACAATTGTGGTATATCTTTTGTTAGACTCTCACATTTCTAAGGCAAGTTCTAAAAAAATGATATGTGATACGAACAAAATCTTTTTATTCGTTAGAAGTGTCATGACGGTACATTTAATAAAGTTTTTTTTTATTGGGTTTTAAAAACTATAACATCTAAGGTGACTTTGGTGAGTGGTACAAACATGAATCCGTTCCTGAAAGTTTTCCATTACTTTCGTTTCTCTTCAGGACATCTTGAAAAATTCTGACAATTTATTCAGGTCTTCCTGAATAACCTTGAGTTTTTCAAAGGCTAGAGCAGTGGTGACCAACTATGGCCGGCGATCATTTATTAATCAGTCTATCAAAGTATTAAATCATAATTCGAAAAAAAAATGACTTCAAATTTCAAAAATTAAAAAAAAAGATATGTTTATACTTGTTATTTTTTTCAAAATGTATAACAATCAATCTATGTCTTCTTAATATATAAATGTGAAAATGAAAACCTTAGAGTCCTATGTTCTCGGAAACTACTGAACCGATCGTTATGATTTTTTTTTTTTAATTGAAGGGCTTATCGTGGAGAAGATTTATAAGTACTGTCATCCATCCCCTATTGAAAACCATCCCCCAAAAATTGGTTTTAAGGTATTATTATTATTATTTATTTATTTGGATTACTCTAGTAATACGGATGAAATGAAAAGGTTAAAACGTATCTATGGTATCTATGGTAACTAATATTAATAAAAAGAATTATACTTATATTATTATAAGTATAATTATATAAATATAAGATATATAGGAATATATAAGATTATATTATGCAATAAAACTATGAACTATCTTTAAAATTTGTTTGCGTTTTAGACATACCTTAACAAAGATTTAATATAGGACGCAACACGGCAAATGCTAAAAGAGTACGCTTAGTACGTAGTAATGAAAATTCTGCTGATCGAGACTGTAGACTTTATGTTTAAAATTGAAACATATATGTCATAACAGAATACTTTTAGTTCACCGAAGGTGGACTCCCAATTTTCCACCTAGTTGTTTTTATTCATTACTGACACGGTCAAAACCAAAAAGGAATATGGTAAAAAAAAAATTGACATGGGCAATGCCGGGCAAGACGGCTAGTTATATATATATATATATATATATATATATATATAAATTAATTGTCTATCTGTCTGTATGTCCTCTATAAACTCAACAATTATTGTTTGGCCGATTGACCGATTTTAACGGAATTTTCGGAAAATGTTCCACGTGGTCCAAAAAAGGTTTATAGCTGTTGAAATTCCTAAAATTCAACCCCTAAAGGATAGCTGACACAGGGATTTAGGTATTTTAAGGTATAATTTTTGTTGATTGGGTTACCTTAAGTATTTAGGTATTTTTGGTACAAATACATAATTGTTTATTTATTTATTTTTGTTTATTCGTGGCTTACCTCAGTTACATGGATGCCCTCCCCGAATATTTTTGGCATTAAAAAAACATACCAGTTGCTCTCAACGTATAAAAAAGCTTAATAAGTGCATACGTTAATATGTGGTTGTGTAAACGAAAAAAGAAATCACCAATCGCGCATATCTAAACTAAAAATAAAAAATCGAAAATTGTTTCGAAAATATTCGTATCAACTCGATGAACTTAAAATTTAGAAAAAACTTATATTTGCCTTTTCTAAACATGGTAAAATTTTCAAAAAATTAAAAATTAAGCCATTTTTGAGGTATTTATGGACATTTTAGTTTTGAGAGTTTTGTACGTAATATTTATTTGGAAATACTTGAAAATTTAACATGATGGTGAAGTCAGAATTAAGCGGATTAAATTACAAAATTATAACTTTTATAATTCTGATATTATGCAAATATTAAATGGTATGTTAAATAACTCTATATTGTCACTCTTAAAATATAATTGTCATGATCTAATGGTCATTTATGCCTGTTGTAATCCTAAGGGTTTTGAGTTCAAACCAGTTTGCCAATAAAAATTGTTGAATTTTTTTCCCTTTTACTTAAACAAGGAAAAAACAAATACATATTGTATGTACCTAGAGATTCAAGTCATCGCACCCTTGGACTATTTTAATCGCAAAATACCCCTCGATTTGTTGTGCAAATTTTTCTACCAGAAATCTTGCTCCGATATATCAAATGTAGTTTATTTTCTTATTTTCTTATTTTCTGGAAATTTTATCTCCATGATACTTTAGAAAAGTCGTTTATTGACTTTTCAACATAATATCTGGGAAAAACCGGGATAAAATGTCGGAAAAACGGAAAATATACGAAACATAGGTATTAGTAAAAAAATATTATGGCCTTTATTTCTATGTACAACTTTCCTACCAACAATTTTGCTCCAATTTAAAAATGATAGCACTTTTTCCGAAAGGAAATCTGACTGGGAAGGTAATTTTTCAATTTTCCCAGGTGTTTTCCCAATAAATGGAAAAAATTGGAAAAAAAAATGATAAAATTTGTTCAATATAAACAAATATTGTTATAGAAAATATTTAATTATTTTACCATAATATGCCGTATGTATTGTTAACAAAGCATCACTGTCAACTGAACTTCGTTCAGAATCGTTTTTTCGTTAATAGTGTTTTATCGTGCTTTCAGATATACATTTAATTACCTATAACAGTGGCTGAAGCCTTCTCTTTTATCCTAGGACATCTTAAGGTTGGTCACCACTGGGTTAAAGTATAATGTTTAACAACCTCAGCTTTGAGATACCATCATAGGAATAAGTTAAAACAGGGCAGCGAAAATATCCAGGAACAGCTCTATATTTTGTAAATCACTTGTCTAGGCCTAAATTTAGCAGAAATAATTCTTATTGTATGTACTTACAATAAATAAAAGTTTTTTTCCTATCTTGTGCCGTTATACTATAATTCACCTCGGAAATGTAGAATTTCATTAAGCTGCACCCTGTTTAATCACTAGTGTGTAATAAGTATACACTTTTTATAAATGTAACTGTTGAAAATCAAAATTAATTATAATTAAATTTCAATAAAAATGATTTAATTAAAAAACAATAAATTGTGTATAGGTACAATAATCAATTGTGATAACTCGTGAATATTGGCCATGAACTAAACATAAAAACATTTCACTACATTTTTATCTCTTTGTCCATTATCGAAAATTTTGAAAAAATTAAAAAAAACGAAATAAAATGAACTTTATTTTTATAGATAATGTGTAATGAGTATATCTACTCATATAATATCTACTCACAAGTACCTACTCAATAAAATAATTTCTGGTTTTAAAGTTAATATTAATTAGCATAATAATAATATTTTATTATGACGCGTAGTTAAATAGTTCATGCAAATTATTAAAGACACTGTCTATAATAATATTCTATTATACAATCAATGGTAGAGATAATCAAATTATAATTAAAAAGTTGTAAGTATATATTTTAAAAAAAACAGACATACTTCGCACGTGGGTGAAGTTACTGTTGTAGGTGGGAAGTTGGAAAGTAGGATATAGAAGGGAATTTAATGTATATCGTAAACAACGATAAACCATTGCTAACAAAAAAAACCTATTCTGAATGGAGTTCAATTAATAGTGATGCTTAAGTATAGAATAAAGAAATATAATATTAAAATTAATAGTGTTAAGAATCTATTAAAACCGAAATTTATTTTATTTTAATATAGCTCAAACTATATAGTATTACTTTTTCAACAATGTGAGTTTCCATGACAACAATGATGGTTTAAAAAATATTAAAATCTACCTATATATATAAAAGTGAAAATGGAAATCTTTTTACGGGTTGGATTCAAAACTACTTATTCAATCATTATGCAGTTTTTTTTAAATTAAAGAGGACAACACAGAGCAGATTTTATGCATATATTCAAATAATTAGTTATTAATTAAAATAAACATGTACATTTTATACCAATATACCGTAGTAACGAATAAAATGAAAAAAATAACTATGTGCTGTACTGGGTTGCTATCTATGGTATCTATGGGTAAGTGAAATTCATGTCATCTATGAATCTTTGTATTTTTGGTACAGTAACAACACTACACAGTACATAGTACTATTATGTCCTCATATTTTTAGGGTTAATATTAGCCATTGACTTTATACTAATAGACTAGTGATCTGTATACCGGTATCATTACGAGTTTTGTGGAAACAACGCAGTAATGTAGCCCGTCTTGACAGCAAGTGTAACATATTTACAATTATTATTGTAGACAGTATCGAACTCGCTACGGCTAGGACGGTCATTCACGTCTTCATAGACAATGCTATGTAGAGTATTTACCCACAATAAATGTTTAGGCTTATCAATGTAAACAATATATACATATTATTATTGTAGTACGTAATACGAGTATTATACGTATTTATCAATCTTGAAGCATTCTTCAATATTAATTGTCTGTTTTTATTTTTATTTATTATTAATTTTAATTCAATTTCATATATGCTGATATTATATTAAGTAAAATAAATTAAAGCAATCCAGTAGGTACATATCGTTATAATGTAATTTTATTAAAACAATACTTTTAACAGATACTGCCAGTGAAAAGTCCAACAAAAGATTTGTATACAGTACGCGTGGTACCGTAGACTAGTAAACGAGTAAAGAACGAGAGCCATCTATCTATCCACGCGCCAACTGTATACAGTTCTAGTCTATTAGTATAGTCAATGTTTTAGTGGATATATATAGTTTAATCTCTGTATCGTATAGATATCTATGGTAACACGAATGAAAAAATATATGATGGAATATTATTTTACAAACATTTTGATGTCAATAAACCCGTTGATGAGATATTCCATTTTTAAGTTTAGGTAGGAGGAGAGTAGTAAAATATCATTTGTATGGTAGTACGGCGCGCGGCGTTTTATTAGTGCTCTACTACTCACCTACGTAAACTTAAAAGTGAGATATCTCGTCAACGGTTCGACGGAAATTAACAATTTTGACACCTTAATTTATTTAATATAATACCAGGTGTATTCATATAAGTGGGTACATTCATTATCTCGGAAAGTATCTACTTTTTCCGGGATTTGTTTCCCAGAAAATTTAAGAAACAAGCAGCTTTACAATTTTATATTTATTTAATTTTTTGTCACTCTTATTTTTGGGAGTAAAACTACTACCTACTTTTACTTTTTAAATGGTAACCTATATTAAAATATCCATAAATAGCTGAAGTATTCGTTAAATATGAGTGTTAAAATTTTTGATTTCTGTCAATATACATATTTATTTTAACTAATACTCCATACATTTATGGATATTTTAATATAGGTTGCCATTTGAAAATCAAAAGTAGGTAGTGGTTTTCCCACAAAAAATAACATAAATATAAAACTGTAAAGCAGCTTGTTTCTTAAATGTTCACGAAAATAAATTCGGGAAAAAGGTAATACTTTCCGAGATAATTGGTGTACCCACTTAAGTGAACCACATGGTACTCCATCTATTTATAGAATTTCTAATATAGGTTCTCATTTGAAAAACCAAAGTTCATGTCACCAAAAGATCCTTCATAAATGGTGTGAAAAATCTAAATATTCGAAAATTTAGGCTTTAACTACACTTAAAATTCCAAAAATCAGAATTTTAATACATGCAAAATTTAACCGAAAAAAATGAAGGAACACGCTTAATGACCTTGTATATATTTATATGACCCCCCCTCACTTTTGATTTTACAACCACAAAATATATAGGAGTGGAGAAGGAGATTTAAGTGAATGGAATTGTGTGAAAGAAATATTTGCATTTGGACCGATTAAATCTATTCAAGTTTTAGTTTTATAATTTATTTATTAACGAGATTCGTGTAGTAAAGATAGCTAATTTTAATTTCGCTTATGAAAATCTTAGTATTAATGTTAAGTAAATATTTTGAAAAATATGTAAGTTATAATTTAAATATTAATAACAAACAACATTAAATCTTATAATCGTCTAAATATAATTTATCGACCAATGAAGTACACGGCCGGGTGGAATAGTTACAAATAGGAGGCAAGTGTGTGTTCGTAAACACTCACATTTTTACAATCACCAACGCACTGACTCTCGGTTGTGGTGATAGATTAGTATATAGCCCTTTGATTGATGCTTAATGGTAACAGTGAGTTAATAGCAAACATTTATTTCTAACAATTAAACTTCCAACTTTGCAAGTAAATGGGATATTAGTGATGGTCAGAAAAGGGTTAGGGGAGACAGAAAGAATTGTGTGGTAAGTAGCTGGGCACAGATAAGGGCGGTAGTAAGGGTTAACTGAAATATTAGTGAGAATAGGGGTGGAGGTGTAAAACTGTAGTGATATTAAATGAATTAGAAACATAAAGTTATTTAATTTATAAATATACTTAACGAAAAATCATCAAATTATAAAATACATAAAATGCCAATATATTTTTTAAAAATGGATTTAATCCGTGTTTACATTCATTTACAAGAAGACTTGAACAATTTTAATAATTGGTATAATTTAAATGGGTTATATCTTAACATCAACAAATGCAAAATATTAACTTTCAGTATCAAGAAAACTAGTATTGTTTATGATTATAAACTAAATAATATCTCTATAGAGTTAGTTAAATCATTTGTCGACTTAAGTATTATTTTTGACTCTAAGCTATGTTTCAAGGTTTCAACAGTCATATTGAGAAAATAACAAATAAAGCCTTCTTATATTTAAGTTTTATTGCACGTGCATGTTCTAATTTTAATAAATATTTTTTTTTATGAAATTTATATTTTTCATTTCTGAGATAACAGAATATGGCTTTCTTATTTGGTTCTCAGATAAAATGTGTAAGACTCAAAATCTCGAAGCAGTTGAAAATTGTTTTCTCGGTTTTCTATCATTTAAATTTAAAGTTGAACGCCCACGACATACTGAGTATAATGGTATTTTATCATATTTTAATTTAAAATCATTAAACAAAAGAAGAGATTACCTTCACTACACATTTTTATAAAAATTATTAAATAATTTCATAGATTGTCCTTATTTGTTGTTACAATTAAATTTTCGAATAAATATTAAATCTACTAGAAATAATGACTATTTTTTAATTAATAATATTTTTAAGAATTTTTTACGATCATCACCAGCTAATATACTGATTGCCATAGGAAATATTACTGAAGTAAATTTTAGTTGTTTGTATATTACGTGTTATAAAAATATGTTACTTTATACTTTGTTTAAATTTTGTTATATTTATGCAAATTGAATTTTTAATATTAATTTTTACTAGCTATTGGATTTTAATGTTATCTTTTTACTACATTTATTTATATAGAGATTATTTTTTAAATGGAGTTTTTTCCGTCAGTAAATAAAATACGGTTCATACAATATAGTATACAAATAAGTATACATATTTTTCCGAAAAAATACAGTTCCGACAAAATATTGTCCAATATTTTACGCACCCCCATTCACAGACACAAAAACAAAAATAAAAACATACATCATAGTAAACTCTAATAAATTCCTTGCTCCACTTAAAATCAAAAAAATAAATAAATATGTATACTTATAACAACTTTTTATGACTTAAGAATATCTAGGAGACATTAAAAACTCTTTACCTATTAGTAGTTTAAAAAATTATATAATTTGAATAACAAGTGTAAACATAATTTTTTTAGTGTTTGTTTCTTGAACAATTACTATAACAAATTCATACAAGTATTCATAAACAACAAAATACTGAATATAAAAATAATATTAAATATAGTACAGTTTAGTAAGTAACTACTATAGATACACAAACAACATACAAATATATAATACATAATAATATTAATATCAATATTTATCATACCCTATGTAATATTATCATACTCTTATAATAATACATATTTGATACATAATTAATTTTGATTTTAATATTTTTGAAAATTGGAAAAATGTAGACATTAGTTTGATTTCTTGACCGCGGGTTTTCTGTATCGTTTTGTTTCTTCTTTTCCTGTATACAAAAATATGTAGTATAATTAATAAATTTATTTGATTAAAATTAATTTTTTAAATTTTGTTCGTATATATACCTATACATCATAAAATATTCAATAATCATATAATATTTATAATTTATTACTGTATTTCTAAATAGTTTTTGATTTTACTGTAAAATGTGATGTATAATTTTAAAATATTGTCTATAAACAGTTAGAACCAACCTTTAAAGTTAATTTATATTTATAAGATCATGGCTTGGCAGAAAAATAATTGTACGCACATTGCAAAGTATATAATTTTTTAATTTTGGTCGTTTGATTTAGTTCCATTTTATTATTGTTAATTATTTCAAACGATCTCATAAAATACTTCATCTCGCTTTAATTATTGTAAAATATTTAAATTACTTTTTTTTTTTAATATTCGAAAATACATCAATAAACATCAATGCATAATAGATATGAGAGAAAATATTTTAATTTTGGAATTTAAAAATTATTTATTTATAACCTAGCTATCAAAAAACACTTATCAATAACCATGGCTATCCGTTCAAATTCAATTAAAAATTAAATTTGTTCATTAATAAAAATAATGTATCTAATGTAGTTAAATGTATAATAAAATGATTAGTTGATTATACGAATATATATAAAATTATTAGCATATTATAGAATTGTAACACGAAATTAATAAATTATTATTTATAAATATCGTTATTAATCGAGATAATAATATTACACTCACCCCAATAAATGTTTTGAATGGCTATACCAACAAATAAAAATATAACTTGTTTTACAATTAAAGCTAACATAATTCCAAGTGCAACTGGTACACTGTGCATTCCAAACAAAGGGTACACCCAACGTCCTTTTTCTACGTATGTTTCCAAGAAACTAGAATCAAAAATACAATCAATACACAAAGTGATTCATTCATCACGAATTAGCGATATTCTCGGAGGATTTTAAGTGAATTTGTTTTCTGTTTTAATTAATCGTTATGAAATCGTTTTGGTTTTATTATGGTATTAAAATAAAACCAAAACGATTTCATTTAATTTTTTTTATCCCAACTCCAAAATAATCTCAATTCTTTATTGTTTAAAAAGCTGAAGTGGTTTTTGAACTATTTGAAAATAGTATTAAAATATACTTTAACGATTCCTTAATGATTAATAAATACATAAATCATATCCACTTAAAATTATCCGAGAAAATCCGGTTCATTATAAATAGAGTATACATAAGATTTACATAAGTTTTTTTTTAAATCTCTGACAGTAAAACTTACACGATTCCGTAACAAATCACAAACGCCATAAATAATGAAAGCGAAGCCAATATCGATGGGAATTTATGTCTGGTGGTGAACAATTCACCCAATATAAGTGGCAAAATAACCGTGTGCATTCCATGATTGAGCCAATACGGCACATATGTATCGACAATTTTCGGGTAAACGATTTCACGATCATATGCGTACATCAACCAAAATGCTACACACACAAACTAAAAAAAATGTATTCACGTAGGTATATTAATAATAATAATAACTAATAGAGCAGATATTTATACGCATTTGCAAACTTTTATTTGTTTTTTAGCGCATATATATAAAGGTTTTTAGGTATATAAATATCTGCCTTAATAATTACTAATATTAAATATAATATGTTATTATTAAAAACTTATATTAATAATTATTTGTTGCAAATTATAATATATGACTTTACAGAACATCGAAATCTTCATTTTATGGGTGAAAATATAATGTCATGATATATTTGAAAATAATCGTATATTCAGATTCTAAACTCCACTTCTTATATCATCAAAGCTTTACAAACATATGTATTTTGGAGATATACTTTCCCGAAACTCTACACACTGTTTTGTCTTCATATTGAATATTTTATGCCTTTCAGATAATAATAATAATTACATAATTTATTTTTGAGTCTTTAATTCTAGCAACTTTTCAATTACAACCATTTGAAATTTTCGAGTTATTTAGGATTTATTTGGTTTTATGAGATTAAAATTGTTTTGATAAAATACAATTAATGGAACAAAAGAGTTCAACCTAATATCGCAAATAAATATATAAATAAAAAATGTATACATAAAAATTTTAAATAAATAAATTAATAAATGCGTCGCCTAGAGTATTATGATAAGTGTACTTTACGACCGGTTTCAAATTAAAAATTCATCAGGTATATCACAGTCAAAATGTAAAATGCCACTCAAAAAAGCGAAAATGTAAGTCACGTTTTAAATTTTGACTGTGATATACCTGATGATGACTTTTTTGTTTGTATACTCTTATATGGTTGCGAATTTGTGAATGCGGTTTTCACAGATTAGTTATACTCTAAAGAAGGTTCTCATTAATTTTCAGTGTAATCGGTGAAAATCGGGAGTTTACTGTTGTTTAAATGGGTTTATTTTGATATTCTTTATTCTTTGAATAAGGCTCGTTTTGATCAAAACTAAAATAATAAATTTAAAGTAATCATTGGTCCTCGTCGGTATGTAATGTATACTAAACATAGTTTTTATATTATTTGTTTACCATTTTCCATCTCATTCGGTAGTAATATTTTCCCAACACAATTATTCTCTCACAGACATAATAATATTTTGCCTACTTTAAACTAGAAACTATTGTTTTCAAAATCCATCTTCCTCTTTATTTTTAAAAAGGTAATTCGGCTGGATTTATTCTACTGTATTTTAAATAATTATTACATTAATTTGTTGTATTAAATTTTCCTATTGGTTTATTTAATTTCGCTTAACAATTTTACTTAACTAGACTATCGAAGTGATGATATCTCCGATATTGTGAAATACCTGTTTACTTACCTAATTACTTAATAATCAAAATTTAATTAATCAACCCAAAATATTATAAGAGGTACTTACAATGCTGGTAGGCAATAATACCGATGAAAAATGTAATGATAGCAAATTTTGAAATTTTGAACCTAATTTCAACCAATTAGGTCCGTTCAACATTTTCATTATATCGTGTAATAAGCAACCAACAAAAAAAATCGTCTGCATGAACTATAAATAAAAAATAAATTCATAATATTATTATGATCAAAATTTTTTTTTTTTTCATTTATTATTACTAGGTTTTATAATATATAAGTCGAGGGGACATATTTTTAGTTATTGGTTAAATTAGTAATGAGGTATTTTTAATAAAGCTTTAAAACCTCAAATTAGTTCTATTAAAACTCAATTCTTTAATATCGGCTTATACATAATATCAAACTGTTTTACTTTAATTTATTGAGCAAGTATATGGTCTATGTAGGCCATAGGGTAATGTTTTGGGGATGCAGTTTATTTTTAATCCCTAGTAGCACTACTACGCATGTGTATGAGAGAACCGGATAAATATATTTTGAAAGTCTTAAATCATCGGGTTTCCAAAAATTTGGTTAGGAATAGTTTGTTCTCAGAAATACCCCTCAATTTTTGATAAATATAGTTCCCCCTCGAAGTTGTTTTCACTTTAACGACTGTTAGTACTATTTTGCCCCTGTATCATAACAAAATGGTACTTTTCGGCTATAGTTCTTGAGATTTTTAATCCTTTCGTAAATATTTAAGAAAACTTTATAAATAGATTTACCAGATTCCAATTGGTCAGATACCTATATCCCATATCGTGAATGTTCTTGTACTGAGGATCCCATTCTTCTTCTGGAATGGCACGTTCGGCTAAATAGTGGTTCCAAAAGACCATATACCACAAGCACGCAACCATGTGCAACAGTATAGGAAGAGCAGACATTTCCAAACCTAAAGCGACAAAATTATAATATATTAATAATATTATAATAGATGTATGTTTTTCCCCTTAGCTTTGTCGTGTTTCAATATGATAATATAATTAGATATAGTTTTAACAGATTAATAATATTGTTTTCTAAACCATTAAACGAAAATAGAAACCAATTAAATTATTAGATCGCATGATGTTTCTTCGATAATATTTTACATATTTTACTATAAAATAGCACAATGACAGAGCTGTTGATATAACTTTTATTGCCGATTATAATCAATCTTGACAAAATGCATAAGCTTAAAGTTTAAAGAAGAACCCAAACATTTGGATTTAAATATATTTATAGACTTGAGAAAGAAAGAGTTAGCTCCTGAAATTTATTCAAGCCCTCTAAATAAAGTACTAACCAATAGGAAATACTAAGTAGGTATACATAAAAAATATTACAACGTTTCGCGAAATAAGGCAAGAACCCTCGACAATGTTTTTTTTGGTATATAATGTGATTTATGATAACGGTGGATCGAATGCTCAATAACGAACTTTGGTACCTTTTAAAAAAAATTAATCTAAGACATTGTTTAATTATTATATTGTCGATAAGACAATCACGTTTTCTTTATATTTATAATAATCGTGGAAATTGGTATTTTAAAATTATAAATTATAATACAAACATTTCAAACATACCAATGTACATTGTACAAAGATGTACCTTCCTATAGTATAGGTGGTTATTATTTTTAATCAACTATAGTATATTATTATAATGCACTCGACGAACGATAAATAAATATATTTATGTATAGGTTTGTATACAGATTTATGATAAAAAAGACGGACATACTTCAACACTATTATAAGTGAGAAAATGGGTTGGTAATAGAGGGGAAATTTAATGTTTATCTGCAATTTGTACACAACGATTAACCATTGTTAACGAAAAACGATTCTGAGAAGAGTTCGGTTAATAGTGTTGCTTTGTCAACAATATACATGTCATATTATGGTAAAATAATTCCATGTGCATAATATATTTTCTTTAATAATATTTGTTTATTATTGTACCTATTTTGCTATTTTCCTATTTATTGGGAAAACTCCTGAGAAAATCAAAAAATGACATCTTTAAAGTACAACTCCAGTCAGATTTCCTGTCAGAAAAAGTGCTATCATTGTAAATCGGAGTAAAATTGCTGGTAGAAAAACTGTCCACAGAAAAAAAAAATATAAATAAACATCATTGTAAAAACAATATGTTCCTCGCTCCACTCAGAATCCTAAATGAATTATAAAATGATGAAAGTTGAATACATTGGCCTAATAAAATATGCACTTTGTATTACGGTTTATGCTGTATAATATACTACTATCACCTATCACAATTTCACAGATTATATATTATTTTTTATTTATATATTTGAATATTATAATATTAAAAATAACTTATTCATCAAAACAAATAAATAAATCAAAAAAATCACTAAATTAATGTCAAGTTCCACGTCTAATTTTTGCACTTGAAATTATATAATTTATAGATAGGTATTTATAGATATACCTATGTCCTATATTTTAATATCAAAATATCATATAGATACATAGTATACAATAGTTATTTGTAGTTGAAAAAATCACGTATTAACTAAAAAAATAAAAAACAAAAAATAATACACATTTACGCACAAGGTCATGTGTATGCAGGTTAAACTTGCTAACGACATGAAAAATGTTACATCAAAACATATTATCGCAAAAAACAAAACAAATTAATTAATTTAATTGTTGTTGTAAATAAATGGAAAATAGGAAATTTTGATTTTTCAAAGCTATTTAAATTTGATATTAATAATATATGAACATTGTTCATATACTAACTAATGCGAATAACATCGTAATAAATAATACATTGACTGTTGTATACGAACGTCGAAATGGCTTCAAATCGATTTATAATAATACCTTGGTAATAATATAAATAATAAGAACAACCATGCTATACTACTAACCTAACCAAATACATATAATATTATAATTTAACGACTTATTGATATATTTTACATTTATACCTATAACACGAAACAATTTAATTTTGTATAATATTCTAATGCAGTGACGTGAAGAACATTTTTGTTTTTTTGCAATAAAGTCCAACTATTTTTCATATTTATCACCATCACTATACCGCCTGCACTAGTCTACTAATACTTTTATTTTATGAATAAATCAGTAATAAATTATTATTATACTTCAAACTTATAAGGGCCTCCACTGAACTATACATAACCCACTAACCAAAATTTGGTTAAAGCACAGACCTCAAAAACAGCATTCGCTAATCGGGCGTACATGTTTTCACTCAAAATCGACCTTTTGGTTTTTGCTCAAATGACCTTTTTTACCCAAACTCAAAAAAAAATGATATGGTTTTCGCCCAAAGTAATATTATTCGTCATAAACAAAAATAACATTTTGTTTAGGTACTATTGTATTTTTTTTTATTAAAAGTGTTATTTATACCTGTATAAAATCGAGCACATCATTTAAATGTTCTATCGACGTAGATTTAATCAACCAAACACAACATTTTTAAATTTGTATCACATAAAAAAATAAAAATATTTTTTATTTTATCATTAAGAACTAAAAACTGTTCGCCTCAATAAGTTATAATTACACCTATATTTTCTAAAGCTAAATAAGCTTATTTAAGCTTTTTTAAGCTTATTTAGCTTATTTATTTGCGTGAATTATTTAATTCACGCAATTTTCAATTATAGCTTATCTGATTCATCGTCGAAATTACGGTATATAATTTAATTTAGAATCTGGAGTTTCCTATTTAAGCTTAAAGCATTTTATTGTTTACGACTCAAAAATGTATTTTTCGTTTACGATGTATAATATTACTTTGGACGAAAACAAAAAGGTCGATTTTGGTCAAAAATAGGTCTGCCCACGGAATTATCCTACATGCTTTTTACCTGTAAAAAATATATCGATTGCACCGGTTATCGACTCCGTTAAACTTTTTTAAATGAAGATTCCGTCGATTGCTTAAATAATAATAATTGATATATACAAATGACGGACACATTTTTTTGGTAGAAGTCTACTAAGAATATATTTTTTCTTTAAGAACCTTATTTACAACTAAATATATAGTTAAATAATGTTAATCATTATACTTTTAGTAAGACTCTAATATCAAATTGTAAATTAAATATACCAGAAATACAACTGGCAGCATAAAAACTGTTGAATTGTATTACTTTATACATTGATATCAAATGATCTAATGAGATAAAAATTATCGGCAATTGTGATCTATTTACTAATTGTATAAAAATAAATTTTAACAAACAAAGATCGACATTGTAATCATTTGCGATCTACCAGTCGATTGTCATCCACCGTTTGGCTGCCCTTAATATATAATAGTATAACATATATCACAGCATTTTTGTAGCATCTATAAATATTTTATCATTTGAGACAAAGCAATTTTAAATTTAAAGTTGTAGAGTAGAATAGAACATTATTTACCAAGTCGAAATTAAATAGAAAATCTACGTTTTCAATAGTTTTAATTTTCCGATGTTTAATTACTTCGATTATTCAGATATAGTTTTTAGTATCGCTGAATGTGAAGATCGGCGAGACCGATACAAACATTGGTGTATATTGAAAAAAAACTCAAAAATAATTTAGATTGTTATTTGAATATCAATTAACTGAAAAGGGAATGTGATTACATTAGGCTTCTCCCCTAAATCTAGTGGATCTTTCTGCTTCTTTAGAACTTAAAGACAAAACAATATTATTACAATAACAATATCCAAATTATTTCTCTGAACCGTTACTAATTCAATTAATTATTATGTTATTTAAAAACATTAAGAAGTGAAAAATATATATGAAAATTTGTCGAATTATTAAAAATAAAATACTATGATAATATGAGCAATAGTTTTCCATAAGTAGGTATGTTCGTTATTTATTATTTCTTTAACAATTCCTAGTTGTAACCATAGGCCCCGATTGCATGGGTGCATGGAAACCGCAGCCCCCATTGAAAAGTTTAAGTTTGAGATTGAGTTTCCCAAATCGTGTTTACGAAATAATATATCTGAGATTCCAGAACATTGTTAATAATGAAATTATAATGAGTAAAGTTAGATAGAATACATTTTCTTTAAATTAATGTGATATTATTAAAATTAAATAAAAATTAAATGAATATTTTACATATTTGATCTAGTTTAAACTAGGACTTTAAGTTACAAAACATCTGAGGGGGAACCGTTATCAATGGACAATTTTGAGCGTTCCCCTGTCATATAATTGTTTATTGCAAAACAAATTTAAGAGGAGACACTTAAAAATGTGTACATAAGTAATCCCCTTCCTGCGTCTCTCTACTCTTTAACTACATATTTAAATTATTTGGAAGGGTAAAACTTAAGGCTGAAATGTAGTAAGTTTGGCCCCCATTGATATTTTCAAAACCTGGCACCTATGGTTGTAACTGTAGCTACAATTGAATTTTGAAAATTAAACATTTTTTAAGAGTACCTATTCTGTTCTACTCCAAAGAATGACTATATCAGACACCGCGTTCTTAAACATTGAAGCTGGAGAAATAGAATCAACAGAGGCGTATTTATGATTTTATCGCCCTAGGTACTCAAATTTTGACGCCCAATTTCTATTTCAATTTAAAATGGGCATAATAACAAATAATACAATAATTAATTAAATATTAACAAATACCTACATTTCATATATTTTCTCGTTTTTTCCCTGCTTTTCCCAATGTTGATAAAAATCCTGAGAAAAACAAAATATGACCTACCTAAAGTACCTTTCAATCAGATTTCCTTTCAGAAGAAGTGCTATCATTGTAAATCGGAGCAAAATTCCTGATACAAATTTGTTTACAGAAAAAAAGAAGGCCGTAATATTTTTAATCAATATCTACATTTCCTAAATTTTCCAGTTTTTCCTTAGTTTTTTTTTTTTTTGATTTTTCACATTTGTTGAGATAACTCCTGGGAAAATCGAAAAACGACCTTCTTAAAGTATCTCTCCACGCCGATTTCCTTTCAGAAAATGTGCTACACTTAAAAATTGAAGCAAGATTTCTAGTATAAAAGTTGATTCATATAAGAAAAAAAAAACTTTGTAAAACTATAAGCTTCTTCGCTTCACCTAAAGTTTAAAAACTAATAAAATACCCACCTTAAATTTCTTTTTTATTAATGGTGAATATACTCTTCAATAGCATAGTAACAAATAACTAATTTACAAATTGTAATGTCGCATGTACAGATTAACACACAAACTTGACACATACAAATATTAAATAATTTTAGATAGATAATATTCATAGAAATACAGAATACATTTATAAAATTGAGGTTATCACTTATCACATTTCAATATTATTGTTCGTAGCATGATCTAACCGAGGTTAGTAGTGTTGTGAAAATAGAAAATGTTATAAATATATTATGCCTAGTTATAAATAATATATTATGGCAACCGGTAGATATCAATAAAATACGTGGTTAGGAACAAGGATGGGTAGAAAAATAAGTTATTTTAATAATAAAGAATTTCTGATTTATCGGTTATTACTATTTTTTTATAATATAATACCTCAATATAATATTATAAATCTAATAAAATAAAATATTAAAAATTAATTATTTTATTTTAGTTCACTTTAAAAACAATTTAATCTCTGGCGACGGCACCCCTTCTAGGGGTTCAGAATTTGGCGCCTGGGTTGATTGACCCCCGTTCTCTCTCCTTAAATGCGTTTCTGAGAATCATGAACTTTTCCAAGTTTATTGACAACTTTGCGAATTTAAAAGCTCATAAAGCAAAACTTTAACAGTTAATAAAATATATATTGATAAATATATATAACTAACTAAAAATAATGTTCATTTATACTTATTTAATACAATAAAAAAAAAAAGAGTAAAAAATATACTATTAGGTAAACATAACTATAGTTTTATTCTTTTACATTTAAACCCAATAAAAAGGGGTACTTTTTATTTTTCGCATTGGGGCCAAATTCGTATAATACTCACCACTTATTGTTATATATTCATTGTGGGATGGAAATATTATGTTGAAATTTGTATATTTGGGAACGGTTGTTCGAGGAATTAGGTATTCAAAATTTAAATTATTACTTAAGTATAAATTATTATGCTAGTCATATAATAAATTATAAATTCCATTGTTTTAAGAATAAACTATTTTTTTTCAACCTTAAATCTAGGTCGTAGAATACACAATCATACTTAGAAATCATTACTTAGAAAAGTACCTAAGTATCTTCATTTAAAATCATCAATTAAAATTAAACACGCATGCTAATATACTAATATACTCGTACAGGGCCTTGCACACAGGGGAGTTAGAGTATTATATCCGTTCCTTGGCATTTTTTTTAATGATTATTTTTTTTATGAATATTTTATTATTTTATTGTTTTTTTTTTATTTTTTATTTTTATTAAAATAATAATTTTTAAGACTTACTGTGCGTTAAATTAATTATATAGTTGATTTTCACACAATTGCATAACTACTTAATGATTTAGTTCAAATATACATTATATATGAACTCAAAAGATATTACAATTGCAGATTAGATTTTTTATTCAGATTGTCCTCTCCCCTTATTTAAACACTGAGAGCGCCACTGATGACGTGCAATTTATTATACCCATAACGAATATAAATTACCGGTTAAATCGTATATTTTGTGATTTTAATTTTACATATAAACATTTTTTGATATTTTTTTCAATATGAAATTTCATAAAAATAGATTTTATTAAACTCATAATATGAATTTTATGTTATACAATATTCATGCGTGTATTAATATAATTACGTTCATACGAATATAATAATTAATATACATTTTTAATGTTAAACAGTTATAAAAGTTTTAACCTTTAACCTAAATGGATTTTGGTTATTAATCTTAGATGTTGAAGCCAATAAATTCTTAAAAAAAAAAAAAATTAGAAATTACAATCAGTATACCTATTGGTTATTAAACTGTAATATATTTAATATTATATTGATCGAGATGAAAACTTGTACTTACTTACCTACTAAAAGCGTATTTTACAGTTTATTAGATACCTCTAATGCACATGCACTGACAACTACTATACATGGTAACTATACCACAGTGACAATCATACCTATGAATATATTATTTTAAAAAAAAATTAAGGAACAATAATTATTCAACTTAGGTTGGTATCTACTATATAAATTGTAAGTAAAATGTAAATCAATGACTGAACTAGACCGAAACGTTAAATTATTACTTATACATACCTTATTAGGTAGGTACATTTGTATATAGACAACCTGCACGTACAAAATTACGGTTTTATTGAAGTACTACTTAAGGTGTGTTGGAAACCGAAAATGTCATTCACTATATTATTATTATATTATGCTCATAAATATTATTATTACAATAAATTTACAAAACGGTAGGTTTTAGTTTTTTTATACTAGATATATTCAACAATCGATTCTGACATGAACAAAATCAACCTAGATATATATGAATATTCGTTATAGCATCAATATTAGAATATAAATCAATGGTTATAGTTACAGTCCGCGGGATATTCATTTGGAAATTTCAATATTTAAAATCTCAAAGTAAACCGAAAAAATGAATCTTGAATGAAAGATTTATTAAAACCTATTTATCTATATAGGTATATAACAGGTAGGATGTTCTTATGTTCAACGCGTTGCAGAAATATTACAATTGAGAACGCTAAGTTTTTATAATTCCATAAGTTGCCAAATATATAGTGATCTGAAAATCCAACCATCACAAATCATAATATAGTAATCAAAAATATATATATTTGAACTTATATATTTCTATCGTATAGTAATTACTGTTAAAATAAATCGTCGAAAGGATTAATAAAATATTTAACGTGTGTGGGAAATCTATATCGAGAAATTAAAATATAACTCATTTTTGACATCACATGAAATTTCGCAAAAGTTTTTTATAGTTATTTATTTATGAGTTTTGACTTGAATATAGTTCAGCAACGCTGCACATGATTTCGTTCTCAATAGTATTATTTTTTGGAGGTCAGCAGACCCGATTTTTAATCCATGCCTAAAACACGGTACAACCGGGTACCTTATATTAGCTAAGGGTAGCTATTTAAAAGACTCGGAGGCATCAGAGCAAGCCCCGGATGCATGATAACGCATCAGAACGTGGGCCCGCCAACCACTATCCAATTCACAAACCGCCTGCTTACGGGTTTAGTCGCCGTTGAGTGAACAATTTTTTTGGCGGTCAGTGGCTATATCATTGTTCCATTTCGATCGTTCTCAATCGTATTACTCGTATAACCCCAAACGTCACAGTCATTACTGCATAGTAATGTTTGCGCTGCATCACGCACATAGATGTACACTATTTGATATAAATATGAATAGGCCACTGCTATGCTGAATACATTGTAGAGCACGGATCAATGATCCTAATGTCCGAAAGACAGACATTAGGAGCACGATTAGCATAGGGTATAGGAAAGGAAATGGTAGGTCTTTTTTTTGTTGGTTTTATTACAGTGACTCGAGTAAACTGTAATATAAAATCCGTTGCGCACCAATATTCATAACCGCAAAAATATTAAAGATCCATCTTATCTATTATCTTAAATATATTTTTTCAATATTTTAAACAAATCAAATTATTTAATTTTTAATAAATAATAATTACGAAATGTAAAAATGTAATTAATGTTATCCGATAAAAATACAAATCGAATAATCGTACAAAGTAAATAATAATAATAACAATAACATACTTGCCGGTGTGCGATTATCGACGACGGAACTACGGGAGAGTGTTGGCGCAGAGATGATATTGCAGTTAGTTCGATGACGCGTGACACAGACCGGGTGTAGTGCGCGAGTGATCGTACGTCACTACCGCCGATGAACGACGTACGCGCGCAATGTACTCAGAAGCAGATCAGGTTCCGCCGCCACCGTCTCTTATATTAAATTTTTTTTTTTTAGTGGGGAGACGTATAAAACACGTTTGTTGTTTTGGATCGCGTATAATGAAATCACAAAATATAATAATACTCTGGTTTCGACGACGACGACGACGATTACCTTGGTCTTGTCATGCTGTCTTCGTCGCGCTTGGCTCATCTCGCGCGGTAGGTACGTGATTCGTTTTGTACATAATAATATTCGGTAGGTATATGAAAATATTTGAAGGTTGCGGGTAAACTTGCAGTAGATACTTGCTTATAATATTATACACAGACACCACACGCAATTTAAATAGGTACTATGTAATATAACGTTTTGTAGGGTTCATATTTTTATGTGAACACTTTTTCTACCAGAAAGCATACTCAGCATTATTAAGTATAACACCTTTCCTGGAAGGAAATTTTATCTGGATCGTATTTTAGAAAGGTCATTTTTTGAAATTCCTATTAATGTTTGAGGAAAACCCCGGTCTTTAGGTTAAAAAATATTGAAATATTAAAAATAAGGTTGTCATTAGCAACCGTTTTTATTTCTTTTTTGTTATTAGGTTTTATTATTTTAATCTTTTAAAACAATTATGGGTGACATGGAAAAACACATTGTTTTTATCATTTTACCATAATATGACATAATACCATATATTGAACTATTGACAAAGCAACATTGTCAACTGAAATCGGCTTAGAATCGTTTTTTTGTTAGCAATGATTTATCGTTACTTACAAATACATATTAAATTCCCGTCTGTAGCGTACCTTCCCAACTTTCCACATACAACAGTAGCTGTACCCATGTGCGAAGCATGTCCGTCCTTTTTTTTTTCTTCTTTTTTTACAATGGTATTTTTTTTTTTCTTAATACTATAGACCACTTTTATCCTTGAAAACTTGCTCCGAAGTGCAGCACTTTTTCTGAAAGTCAATTTTATCTACTTGGTAAATACATATGTCATTTATTAATTTTTGAAACGGTATTTAAAATAAAAAAGATTACCCGGGAAAAAAAAATACAATTTTTTCACAGTTTTGTTATTATAAAAAAGTACCTATCACGTTTTCTAGCACAAATATGGCTCTAATTGAAAAACAACAAGAGACCATAATTTTGTTTAATTTTTTTTTTAATAAGTGTTTTTAAATTGTGAATTGCAGAAAGTTTTTCAAATAAATCCTCACACATTGGATTACCCAACTGCACTCGGAATCGTCTTTCATCAGCAATGGTTTATCGTTGTTTAAAGGTATAAATGGAATAACCTTATGTATCCTACCTTTCATACTTTCTACCCAAAACAGTGGCTGCACCCGTCCCCAGTATCATCTCTTTTTTTTAAATTTTATTACTGATACTAATTTTACATCCGGGCACGAAACATTTGTTTAGCATTTTGTACTTAAAAAACAAAATTAAGTAATATAATTTTTATAATTTATACATTTATTTTCATGTATTATATTTAATATAACATATGAAATTAAATTGTACTATCATTTTTAGATTCAGAGCGTAGCGAGGAATTTATTAGTTTTACTATGATATATGTTTTTTATTCTGTCTGTAAACAACTTTTCGAAAAGAAATCTTGTTTTAATGTGTAAAGTATAACACTCATTCTAGTTGGTGTATTAAGGACGTGATTTTTTGATTTTTTAGGGGGTTTTCAAAATAATTTGGAAAAACCCTAAAATAAATTATTGGTAAAATGGTAAATATTTACGCCACACAGCGGCATCCGATATAATTATTTTAAATTTGTATATACGATGTTTTCTACTGGAAATATTGCTCAAAAAGGACAAGCATATACTTTGCACAGACCGGAATTTAATGCATCTGTAAGACTGTACGCAACGATGAACCATTAATAATGAAAAAACGATTCTGAGCGGAGTTCAGTTGATAGTATTGCTTTTTCAACAATATATATTATGTTATATTATGGTAAAATAATTAAATAGGCTTTTTTTTATAATATTTGTTTATGTTGTACCAATTTTCATACATTTTTCCCGGTTTTCCCATGTTTTTTCTCAGTTTTTCACATTTGCTAAGAAAACTCTTGAGAATATCGAAAAATGACCTCCATAAAGTACCCCTCAATACCGATTTCTTTTCGGAAAAGGTGCTACACGTAAAAATCCGAGGAAGTCTTCTGGTAGAAAAGTTACGCACAGATAAAAAAAAAACTGATATTCGGAACGGATGCAGCCACTATTTTAGGTGGGTACTGGGAAAGGTGGAATATATAAGGCTATTTCATTTATATCTGTAAGCAACGATAAACCATTGCTGAAGAAAGACGATTCCGAGCGCAGTTGGGTAAGACATAATTTGAAGTGCCGATATTTTTTTTAATCTAACCTTTCTACATTTTTTTCTGAATATTATGAAGACTTATTTAAAAATCACAAAAATAAACTGCATAATTGAAAACAAGATTAATAATTCAACAAAAAAGGTCTCTTGTCGTTTTTCAATTGGAGCCATATTTGTATTAGAAAACATAGTAAGTAATTTTTTAAAATAACATAATCGTGAAAAAATCAAAAAATGACCTATGTATTTACCAACTACATAAAATTGATTTTCAGAAAAAGTGCTACACTTATACATTGGAGCAAGTTTTCTAGGATAAAAGTGATCTACAGTATAAAAAAAAATAATAATGTACCATTGTAAAAAAATTAAAAAGTTGTCCGATAATTTTGAAAATTTTACCACGTCTATCTAAATCTAATATAAGTATTATTACTAAGTTTCAAGTCTCTGCGTGTATTTATAATCAAATTACAGCAAAAAAACTCTCAAAAATTACAATTTCGTAATATCCCAAAATTGGCTCAAATGTTTTGGGGATGATTCCATTAGAAAGTAAATTAAAAAGGTAACTTGTGATTTTTCGATTAAATCATTTTTTTTTGGTAAAAAATGTCGTCCTTGTTTTTATAAAATAACAAAATTGTAAAATTGTATGTTTTCCTACGTTTTATCCCACTTAAGTGCATTTATTAAAAAAAAATGATCCCCTTAAAGTACTATCTAGACTACTTGAGCTTTCAGAATTGCTACATGTAAAAATTGGAGCAAGTTTACTAAGAAAAAATGTCATAGCTTAGACGTAGTTAAAAATAATTTTTAAAACATTCTTTCAAGTTTTGAGTTATTTATAAGTATTTAAAATTATCAAGGTTTTTTTTGTTTTCATTTTTATTCTATGTAGAATGTAGATAAAATTGTTTTGGCTGAACAGAAATACTTGAAAATTTATATACGAGTTGCATGATGCAACTTGCATCATAAGTTGAACGCAGTGGTCTAAAAAAAAGTTGAGAGTTAAGAAGAAGTTTTTTTTTATAAACATTTTAAATTCATACTTTGACAAAATAGTAAAAATCACGAAATTTCAAAACACATTTAACCAGGCCTACGACAATTCCTATCTTTTTGTGTTAAATAAATAGATGAACTTAAGGGTAAAAAAGTGAAAATCATTAACTAATTTCTTTGTTCTGGGAAGTTTAAGCTTTCGAATTTAGATCATATATGTAAACAAAAACCAAATTGATCGAGAGTCATTTCTATATATTGTTCTATGATTTAACGGAACTTTGCTCAGAATCGTTTTTAATTTGTAATAATTTATCTTCACATACAGCTATAAACTTTTCATAAAGGAAATGTATTGACCTCAGCTTAGTGTTGTTAATTTATTTTCTTATTTCTAAAATAGTTATACATGCTTTGGTACATGAAAACATATATGTAGGATATAGTTGAGTTTATTATAATTCGAGTGAGAAAAAGTGCTAGATGAAAAGTCATCGAAAGTACAAATTAGAGAACTGTTTTGGAAATAATTTTAGCGGACCAATGAAGAATATAATATGAATAAAATGACAGAAGAACGTGCGTTTTTATTCATTGGAATTTTGAATTGTTAAATAAGAAATACTAATTTAGGAAAATCGATTATATCGTTTAGGAGATTAAATGACTATTAACCCATTTTGTACTGGTTAGATATTTTATGAAATTCGGTCAATTTGTATGTACGTTTTTTTTTTTAGAAGATTTATAATAATAATGTCATTTGTTATTGAAGATATGTATATCTCATATATAAAATGTTCGTGTCACGTGTTTGTGATCGCACTCCTCCGAAACAACTTGACCGAACCTAACCGATTTTCATGAAAATGTTTTCGTATATTTGGTAGGTCTGAGAATAAGTCATAAAGTATTTTTCACCCTCCTACCACCACCCACTATTTTTTAATCGCGATTTTAGTATTTTCATTTATATATATATACACGAGTAACACCAAATAATTTAAAATATAATAAATAAAATTTTTTTTGTTGATTTGCGGTACCCCGATAACAGGGATGAAAAACTATGGTGATTAATTATTATTAGAAATTAGTCGGAAAATATCATGTGATCATCAAAATCGGCCCAGCCTTTCTTGAATTATAAACGGTGTAACTAATCCGACTTTGTTTTATTTATATAAGATTTTTGTTTATTCAAGGGTTGCCACAGAAAATAAAACTATTATAATTATTATTATTACTATTTTTTACACTATTCAAATTTCACAATAGAACACATTTAGTCCGCCTAAAGTGGACTACCCACTTTCCACCTATTTGTGTATATTGAATATTTGTACCCATATTGAATATGGGTAAAAGTAAAAGGTATATTAAGTGTCTATATTAAGTTATATCTTAATTCGTGGTCGGAACGAATGTTTATGGAAGTAATGGTGAAATGTGGAACATAAGTCCGTCGGACAAACAATATTGTAGAACAAATATTTTGTTGAACAAACAGTAAACATCCGTTTTATTTTAGTTTAATAGTTTATTATATTTGTGAATAAGAGGTACTTGTGATAATTTAAATTTTTTACTGATAAGCACGAATTAAGATTTATATTTAATTATATAATGCATCTTAATTAATGCTGATAAGCTATACATTATTCGAAGCATAGCCTTATAGTATATAAGTTCTGTGATTTGAAGACGACATTTGGGCACCAGAGTAAATTCAATTCCGCGTGTCATGTACTCGTGGTACAAATTACGATTTAAATTTTCAAATTAATATATTTTAATATTCAATAAAGCTCCAACCTCGAATATTTGACATCATAGCTCATAGATTTATACAATTTTATATATCTATGCATGGTATTGATAACGTGCACTGGACCTATTTAATAATTGATGCACTCCATCCCGAACATAGAACATTTAAGGTTATGTTTATGTTACCCAGACGAAATAAAACAAGTCATAGTACCACAGAATATCTGTGATAATATAATGAAATATATACTTATACCATGATAATGAATTGGCACTTTTTTTTTAAAAAAATTTCAGGATTTTTATCTTAAGTTTGTCCATTTCGTTCGGTGGTTTAACAAATTGCAGTAGCCAGTTATAGCAGTAATATTAAAATTAATCAAAATGGTAATGTATTTCATGATATTTTAATCAAACAGTATTATTAAATATTAACTTAAATTTTAAACTGTTAAATCGTTTTAAAACGATTAAAGAAAAGTCGTTTAATTTAACATGCAGGTATATCTAGTCTAATTTTTTTTGTTTATATTTATAGAGTATCATGGATTACAATGGTGGCGCCTTAATTGGTATGAAAGGCAAGGACTGTGTTGCTATCGCAACAGATAAAAGATTTGGAATTCAAGCCCAAACAATATCCCTCGATTTCACTGTATGTTTTATTGATTTTATTAATTGTTATTGTTCTATATAACCCATATAAGTGTTTTTAAATTGTGAATTGCAGAAAGTTTTTCAAATAAATCCTCACACATATATTGGATTTCCTGGTTTAGCTACTGATATATTCACTGTGTACGAAAAAATAATGTTTAGGAAAAGATTATACGAATTAAAAGAGAACCGAAAAATATCTCCTAAAGCTTTGGCATCTGTGGTCTCCAATTTGTTGTATGAAAACAGGTAAAATTATTTTTTCATTAGGTACTCAAATATTAAACTTACCAACACATTTACAAACAAATTGTTTATTATAAAAAAAAAATAAGTTTGATTAATTTCATCTTATAAAATTTTTATGATTGTGTGCATATCAAACTACATAGTTTTAAAATAGAAAAAAAAAATTATAATATTGTTTCCTTATTAGATTCTGAGTGAAGTGAGGTATGTATTCGTTTTACAGTGATGTTTCTTTTTTTTTATATATCCTGTTTACAAAATTTCTCTTGCAAATATTGTTACTGTCAAAACATGACAAAAGACCTTTCATTGTTGTATTTTGGTTCAGGGGCGTAGAAAAGTAATTTTTTAGAGGGGTAACCATGTCCATTTGGCTGACTGACATTAAAAAGAAAAATGTACATACAAGTATAAAATATGTTTTATTTTTAACTGTACAATTTTCTCTATGTTTTTACGTTAATATTAAAATTTAAAACTGTTATTTACACAAAAATTAAATTACTTTTTAGAGAATGAACATACAAAAAATACAAAAGCAATAAGTACAAAAAGTTATTAAATACAAATTTTTCATTTTTTTTTTTAAATTGACTAATCTTTGACAATACTATCTAACTTAATATCATTTATTATATCTTTTTCCGAGGAAAGTAATAGTAAACCACTTAAATGGGTATCACTCTCAATTATTCTCAAGTAATTCTTTATTAATTTTAACTTGCTGAATGAACATTCATTTCCAGCAACAGTTACTGGAGTTGTACACAGTAAATGAGAAATTCTATTAGCTATGTGAAGCATTTTTTTTGTTTGTTCTGAAATAACAGCTAAAACAGTTTTTGTTTCCTTACATTGAAAACGCAATTTTTGTTGAAAAAGCAATACTATTGACTAAGCTTCACTCAGAATAGTTTTTCATTAGCAATAATGATTAGTCTTTGCGTTCAGATGTAAATTAAATTCTCCTTTTAGGTAGATATCTTCCTAACTTCTCACCTACAATAGTGATCCATCCATGGTGCAAAGCATGTCTGCCCATTTTTTCTATTTAGAATTATAAAGTTTAAATTATCAAAACTTAGTTCTACTCTATATTTATTTATTTTTATATTATTTGTCTAATATTTTATTCTGGTAAATTTTAAAAAAAAAAACTTACATATTATTATAGTTTATTTGTATAATTAGTGTACTATAGGAATTAGATTATAATATGTACTTAATATTATTTTTTAAAATAAAATAAATATACTTGAAACGGAACATGTAGTTAAATGAAAAAGTTCATTATAAAAACTTAATTTTTTTTGTAATCATGTATTTGATTATTTTAATTTAAATTGTTCAGCAACTGGAGACAAAATTACCTAAATGTAATTACTAATGATAATATTATGATGAATGGTATGTCACAATGCACACCATTTATCATATTCACTGTTTAAAAAAAAACTTTTAATATATATTAATAGCATACATATTTATTAATTATCACACTAAATACTAAGTTCTAAGAGTACCATTTTTTATCAAGGATTTGTCCTAAAAATTCAATAGTCTTTAAGAATTTCAATTTTTCTAATTTTACTTTTAAACCAGTATTATGAAGTTTATTGAAATACCAAAACTTAAACTGTTTCCGACCTATATAGTTTTACTGGTTATGGATTTATTATCGTGAACACAGATTCGTACTGACCCGTCAGGTAACTGGGCAGATGAGCAATGCTTCTTTTACACTTTTTAAAAGGGTTGTCACAAATCTGGAAAAATCAGGGAATTAATTTAAAAAGTAAAAAAAAAACCATGAAAAGTTTATGAATTTAACAAATATGGTTGAATAATTTTTACTTTGATTAATATTTGAATTTTATAAAAATAAAAATAATATATAACTTGATATTATAGCTGTAAATAAGAAATAAATTATTGATCACTATTTGGCACTAATTAGTTGAAGACCGTAGTTTATAGTTCACTGATTTTACAGTTGATTATCATGACTCCAAAGCAAAAAATAACAAGACTAATAAAACCAATATTACTCAGGTTAGAATCATTTTTTTTCGTTTTAAATGATTGGTTGTTGCATACAGTATGTAAACTTAATTACCTAATACTGCTTCTATTTTGAAAATATCTTTCAATAATAAAACTTGATACAATTTTATCTTACATTTCTTTAAAAGAGAAGAAATTAAATATTGTTATTTTACCTATACCAGATAAATTATTTTAGTCTGTGCCTCTGTGGGAAGAAAGTTAATAATAGATAACCCCCAAAAATTATCATAATTAATCTACTAGTTTAGGGGCCTTTTTAAATAATTTAGCAAGCAATTACCTGGATTACGAACCTCGACATCTGTTTATAAACCCACATCGCAAGAACGACTCACCTTTATTGTTATTTATGAATTTTGACTTATTATAATTCTATTGTAAGTTATACCGTTATAGTTTCATATCTATATCATGTTTTGTATTGTTTTAGTTAACATTTTAGTTAGAGTTTGATAGTTAAGTTGATTTGTGTTAAAAGCCATACAAAATAAATAAATAAATGATAATTGAAAACACCCTATAGAAGTAGCCAATACAAGTCTGCCATTAGTACACCATTTAAATCACTAATAGTGTTATAGGATTTACTGAAATGTGCTAGTACATAATTAATATCATACACTTCAATGAACCTAGTATATAACCTTAAATTTATATTTAAACTAATTAATACTTTTGCTTATTTATATTACATTATTGCTATTCAACACTGAAATATTTTAAATTAAATGTTTTATTTTGTATTTTCAGATTTTCACCATTTTTTGTTGAACCTATGATTGTTGCTTTAGATGAAGAAACACTAGAACCATATATGTGTGACATGGATTTGATTGGTTGTGTAAATAAATCAGATAACTTTGTAGTAGGTGGTACTAGTTCAAGTCAATTGTATGGTCTTTGTGAAGCTTTGTGGGAGCCAGATATGGGAGAGGATCAGCTATTTGAAACTATCTCGCAAGCTTTAGTCAGTGCTTGCAATCGTGACGCCATTTCCGGTTGGGGTGCAAAAGTTTACATTATGTAAGTATTTTGTTTAATCAATGCAACATATGTTCATTTATTGTGCCTTTTACTTTGATACTTAAATTATTATTTTTTTTAATTTCAGAAAAAAGGACAAGGTTATTGTACGTGATATCAAGACACGTATGGATTAGATGTTAAGAATTTAAATTTATATTAAATCATTTACACAGTATATTCAATTTTCTTTTGAACAGTTATTATTTTCATGAAAATTGTGTAAGGGATTCAAAACATTTATAAATAAAATGTATAATTACAAAATATAATTTTTTAATAATTCAGGTGTATTTAACTTGTTAAGTTACGCAAATATTTTCTCTTCACGTCTCTTTTTAGGCATCATTACGGTACCAGGTTTGTGTTGTGCTTCTGGATGATTAGCCAATTCCGGAGGACAAGTCGATGCAGGACTCGCTTGTATGACTTGTTTGAGATCATAAAACAATGGTGAATCGTCTTTAGTCAAGAATGAAATTGCTACTCCAGTTTTTCCTGCACGACCCGTACGTCCAATACGATGTGTATAATCTAGAAAAAAAAACAATAATTTGAAAACACAAAAAAAATTCAATTGACCATTGTTAATAACTGCAGCATTTAGTTAGAAGTATTAGTTTAGTATATTAAGAAAGTCTACCAAATAAATAAAATTACCTTCAATAGATTTGGCCATATCATAATTGATGACCATAGAAACATCCTTAATATCAATACCACGACCAACAACATCTGTTGCAACCAAAATATCTTTTTGGCCACCTTTAAGACTTGCAAGAGCAAACTCACGCTGTTCTTGTCCTTTGCCACCATGAAGCGTACAGGCGTTATACTAAAATTAAAATAATATTTACCAGGGTAACAGATATAGCACATCTATAAAAAATATATAATTTATTGTGTATTTGTAAATTTACTCCAAGTTTTTCCAGACCCTTAGCCAAAACATCTGCACCTTTTTTTTGATTGACAAATATAATAATTGGAGGTTCGACTCCACGACTGAGGATTTCAACGAGTCTTTTACGTTTATCATTTTCACTCATCATGTGTACTATTTGTTCAGTACGTTCTACAGGTTTACCAATGGAACCAATGTAAACAACAGCAGGTCGACGTAAATATGTTCGAGCCAAACGTTCTACAGCTGCAGGCATGGTAGCTGTAAACATCACAGTCTAAAAAGAAACAAATTGTTATAATTTAATTAATCAAGAAATTCAATTTAAAAATTAATAGTGTATTTACTTGTCTATATTTTTTCTTTGAATAATAATTAGCTAATAATTTAGATTCATCTTCAGCATCCTCATTATCTGGCTTTAAATTTGTTACAGGCATATATTCTAAAATCTTTTGCACATCTGGTTCAAAACCCATGTCTATCATTCTGTCTGCTTCATCCAACACTATGTATGTGCATTGATTCAGAACTAAATATCTGTTTTCCAGAACGTCGATCAAACGACCTGGTGTTGCAATGACAATCTACAGTTCAAAATTAAATTTGTATATAGTGCACCATTCAAATTTGGAAAAAAGAATAAAAATTACTTCACACCCCAATCGTAACCTGAACCCTTGTTCTTCCCTAGATAAACCTCCTACAACAACTACAGTTCTAATACCCAATGGCTGACCAAATTTTAAAGTCTCTTCTTCAATCTGTTGAGCCAACTCACGAGTCGGTGCCAATATAATTGAGTAAGGACCCTGAGAAATATTTGAAAAAAAAAAAAACAATGTTTAATTAATGATTTAAATTTAGTTAAATTAATCCTTACTTGGTCAACATCTTCCATTCGTTCCATTTTAGGTAAAGACTGAATCCATTCAATAAGTGGTATAAGGTAAGCTAATGTTTTTCCAGAACCAGTTTCAGCAACTCCAATAATATCACGATTCTAAAAATTATTAAAACATTAAGTGTTGTATAGTAAATACTCATGGAATTTGAGAGATAAAATATTATACTTGGAAACCAATAGGAATAGCTTGTCGTTGAATGGGCGTTGGATCCTTATAACCAACTTTTTCAATAATTTCCATAATTTCACTTTTTATAGTAGACTCCTTCCACTTGCGAATGGGTTCAGGTATTTTACCACCTTGAAAATTAAATAAATTGTTACACAGTAAAATAAAAAATGCATGCCTACATACTCCCAAAAATTAATTTTAGATTCCAAGTGTAGCAAGGGAGCTATTAGTTTTACAATGCTGTTTATTTATTATTTTTTCTTTATTCTTTGTTCTAGACTGTGGACACGTTTTTTCCTAGTAAACTCGCTCAGATTTTTATGTATAGCAAGTTTTCTAAAAGCTCAAGTTAACTAGATGGTACTTTAGAGAGGTTATTTTTTGATTTTTTATATCATTTTTTAAATAATAACACTTAAGTGGGAAAAAATGTAAGAAAACATACAATTTTACAATGTTATTATTTTAAAATAAAACTTTTTCTACTAGAAAATTAATTTAATAAAAAAATCACAGGGCACATTTTTGATTTTCTTTCTTACGGTATTATCGCCAAACGTTTAAGCTTTTAATCAATTTTAATTTTTGAGTTTTTTTGCTGTACTTTGGCTATAAGTAGACTTGAAACTGGGTAATAATACTTATATTGGGCTTACCTAGACGTGGTTAAATTTCAAAAATCATCGGTTTTATTTTTAAATAAGCGTTTTGAAATCAAATTAAATGAAAATCGCAAAAAAAATTATGGCATTTCAAATTATACATTATCAAATTGTGCTCGGAATCGTCTTTCTTCAGCAATGGTTTATCGTTGCTTACAGATATAAATGAAATAACCCTATGTATCCTACCTTCCCAACTTCCCATCTACAACAATGGCTGCACCCGTCCCCAGTATCAACTTTTATTTTTGAATTACCTTTAATAGTTATATTGTAGTCTTCTCTAAATATTCTCCAATCTCGCTCGGTCATCTCGTCCAAATCCTTTTCAGACCAATGCCGATCATCCCATTTCTGTTTATCTTCTTTTCTTTTCACTTTCTTTAATCTCACTTTCTCTTGTTCTTTTTCTGCTTCGGTTCTGCGTTTCTCCATAAGTTCGCCATAAAATTTGGATTGATCTTTTTTTTGAGCTTTAATATCAATACCTGCTACATTACCACGACCAAAAAACTGTACTTGATGACGTTCTTTGTACAAGGCATTGTAGTCAATGGACGTATCTTCCGATGCGTCCCAATCAAAAACAAATTTTCTATCGTTTAATCGTCGAACGCGTCTTTTTTTTTTAGTAAGACCTAAATACCGTTCTCGTATAGCTTCTTGTTCTTTCTCTTTATCTTTGTTCTGTTCCTTGTCTTCGGGTTCGTCCTTTTTTTCCCTTTTACGGTCTCGTTCCCGACGGTCATGTTCTCTATCTCTTTCGCGCTCACGATCTCGGTCACGATCCCTATCCCGATGATGATCTCTATCGCGGTCACTGGAAAATATCAATAAAAAATTACTGTACTCGCACGAAACTAATATTATAATTATTAGTTATAACACTGCAAACCCTACCGATCATCTCTGTGATTGTTATGTACCCCGCCGTCCACCTGATGTAAAAATTCCAATCGTTTCTTACGTTCTTCTTCTTGTTTTTTTTTTATCAGTTCGCCTTCTTCTTGTCTTTTGCGTAGAGCTTCAGCGGCACGTTGTTCTTTTGTCAAAAACACTGGCTGAAATCGAATTGAAAAAACTTTAAATAATACAGTAAAAAGCATATGTAACGGAAAAACTATACGTACTTTGCTTCTAGCCAATTCTTCGGCTTTTTTTTTTGCCAAAAGTTCTTCCAACGACAGAGGTTCCTTTTTATCCAATTTCGATATCGGAGTAGGGCTGGGACTGGCCGTTGATGAATTTTTATTCTTTTCCTTCTCTTTTTCCATTTTTGTTTCACACATAAACAATAATTTATGAAGACTTGCAACACCGGTTTTACATTTAAATTTCAAACATTATTGTTATTGTGGGTTTATCAGTAGTGTATAAGTATAACAGCGACAGCAGCACGGATATTCCGCAAGCAATATTTGATAAGAGAGCCCAGTGGTTCTCAAAATGCATAAAAATTGAATTAAAGGCGTTAATTAATGTGCAATAATCCACGATGTGAGATGCGAAAAATTGTTTTTTTTATTTAGTAACATAACGTCACAGTAACCAGCCGAAAGTCTTTTTTGGACCCCATTTAATAATAGACACTTATAGATTTGAAACAATTTTATTTTACCAAAATATAAGTCGTAAAGTCTACTTTCAGACAGTGTTCATTTACAATAAAATAAATAAGTTATGTTATAAAAACATTGTTGTTTTTATACTGTGAATATATTTATGTATATAGTCTTTATTGTGTTAGTAAAATATTGTACTAAAATATATTAATTATGTTGAAATTCAGTGTCTATTCAAAACACATTATTTCCCTTCTATTATTTTAAAGATGAGTGTACAAGTATTAAAAAACAAACTATTTAATTACGACATACTAATTATTATTACTTAATAATAAATAAACAAATAAAACAAAATTATAATATACGTTTCATTTATTTCAATATTAGTATTTATATAATATTCAATTTCAATTTCCCCTGAATATTATTGATATTAGTTTAACAAAAAATATATATATTAGGTAAATTCTATTAATATGTATTACATTAGATTCTCATAAAAATATAATATATTTTAGGTTCGAAATATTAGTATTATTATAATTCAAATACAATTATCAATATGGTTGACTAATTATTCTTGGTGCTATACTTTGAAATCGGAGTAAGCTTTCTGGTAGAAAAAGAGTCCACATAAAAAATAAAAATAAAAAAAAAATAATAATAATAAAGATCTTTGTAAAACCAATACATTTTTTGTAAATTCAGAATCTAAAAAATGAACAATACAAAATTTAATACACTTTTCTTTTTTAATAATTAATCAGTAATTTTTTGGTACAACAAATATATTTAAACTGTAATTGTAAATATAAACTATACGATGCGACAATGAATTTTCACATTCGTGACAAATTTATTTCCAAAAATCGGCCAATGAAGGGGGTTTAAACCCCATTAGTACGCTCATGTATATAATATATATGCTGCCCCTCTGTCAGCAAGGTCTGCGTACGCCTATGACAATAAGTTGGTAGGTATTGAAACTCACATTTTTTAAATAGGTACTGATTTTTCATAAGAATATTGTATATTAAAAGAATTTATCGTTATTTAAAACTTGTGTATTGTATGGTTATTGGATTAGTAGGTACCTACTATGTTAAAAAAATAATTTTATTTTCAAAGGTCAAACACTAAAACCTATCGATATACATTTTCGGCATAATTCTAGTCTAGCAATCAAGTTTATCGATATTTTCTTTTTTTTTCTAAAATGTGTGTTTTTGCGTAACCATTAAAAATGTAAAAAAAATGTCGGACGAACTTCGTTTGGAAGTTATAGGGGAAAACTTCATGAAATTCGGGTTTTCCATTTCGCGTATTTCATAGTTAGAATTTAACATTTAAAATTTTTTTTTTCCAAAATGTGTGCTTAATTTATTGGTATAATCAAAGCTTACCTATCATACTTACTTTTATAGTTTTTGTATAAAAACGTTGAAAAATAAAATGACCACATTAGGTCTTTAATTCCACCTATATTCTTTTTCACTTTTCCTTGTTACCCACCCGACGTGGTTTTGCACATCAAATCGAAAGTTATTTTCGATTGACATTGCTCGAGAGAGCACAGCGACCGAGTGACTACATTGGGTCTTTTATTCCACCTATAAAAACTATAAAAGTAAGTATGATAGATGAGTTTGATTATACCAATGGAATGAACATTAAAAACACATATTCTGGAAAAAAAAAGTCTTCTAATTAAATTCTAATTAAGAAATACGCGAAATGGAAAACCCGACACTTCATAAAGTTTTCCCCAAACGTTTCTAAACAAAATTCATCCGACTTTTTTTTTACATTCAGAATGTACATCCAAAAAAAAACACATTTTGAAAAAAAATCCCAAAATATCATTAGGTTGCTTAACTAGAATCGTTCCAAATTTTTAAAAAGTTGAAAATTATGAAAATTTTTAATTTCTCATATTCATTTTTTATCAAATAAATCCCTTGATATTATATATTTAACCTTCACAATTATATTTAAAACTATGTACTTGCATTATCATTTAATCATTTTAATATTATTTTGGTATTATTTTATTGAACATTTAATATAGGAAATCCAAAACCCACAAATAAATTTATCTCGATAATAAATGCATTTTTATTTATTACTAAAAATATTATATTTTTACTTTAATATAAATGTTGTCGTTACAATTATTGATTTTTCCATTGTTTGTTATTTACTCTTGGTTATTTCCACAATTTTACAATAAATATTTTTTATGAGTAGGTACCTACCTATATATTTTAATTTTAGTTTAGATTCACATTCGTTTAATTCATATTTAAATAATAAACATTTAACTTTAAAACAAATTTTAAAAAATAATAACAAGACATTGTGGTTACATTAACTACACTTTTCCATTTGCAGTAAAATGATCAATAGTCGATACCAGTACCAACATAATCAGTTATTATGTACTTATTATCATTAATATTAGATTCAAGCATTGGTAACCAACAATATATTAAATAGTTGTGAATTTGTGATGCAGTGAAAACAACCAACCTCAATAATTAATTGTGTTAAGAAAATTACATTAATACTAAAATTTTAAAAGTGATACATTTTCAGAAAATTACAATGACAAAAAAAAAATTCTCAAACCATATGATATTTCAATACTTTTTGATAAAACTTACAAATCTGAGACTGTTCTGTCAATTATGTTACAGGAAAATAAACACAAGAAAAAGGAAATTAAACATTTTAGGAAATTGAATTAAACATTGTTTAACATTTATTAAATATTTTTTAATTATACCAATAAAATATAATATTATTTAATTTGCACGGCATCATAATTAATAACTTAATTATGAAGAGTAACTAAAATATATTTTAATAGGTAGGTCTATTGCTTAAAATAAAGTTAATGAAAAATAAATATAAATAAATAAATATTATAAACATTAGTTAAAAAAATATTATTACCTATATAATATGAACATTTCATTTATACAAATGAAATACAAATTGATTACCTATTTTACATGTTAGGTATTTTTCGTAAACTTTATGCAATAAATAAATTCAATAATAATTTCTAAACTTTGAAATGTTATGAATATGTATGTACAGTGCAAACCTACAAGCAACATTAATTTAATTAAAACACTATAAATTGAGAAAGATTGTATTAATCTTGGAAGTCAATATATAAATAATGCTACAGAAGCAACATAATTATTTTTCAATTTATTGGCAGTAAACATAGAAACATACAGTTTTAATGAACTCTCAAAGTCTTAATAACTATGTGAAAGAATACATTAAAATATTAAGGGCCGTTTTTGAAATTAACTTATAGGGGCAAATTAAAAAAAAACCAAAAATAGGAAAAATTAAATTTTCTTTAATTGAAATAATAAAAAAATTAACCAAGGGAATCAAACTAAAATTATTGAATACAATTTAATTATCACGTAACGCATTAAATAGATGAATTTAAAATAACAAAATGTTAAACGAGTAGGTTGCATTTGATTAGTTTAAACCCGATATTTAACTCATGTTAAACAGATTCATAAAATATACCGGTGGAAGATCTATTTTAAAACATTATCACTAGTTAGTGGCTGGACTACTAGGATCTTTTGCATCAGACTTTGTATGTCGCTTTTGTAGGGCAGCAGTTAAGTCTTGTCTCAACGCCTCTTTATTTTCGTCATCAGCGTTGAGTGGTACAACACTTCGCAAACCGTTCATTATGTCGCACGTTTTTCCAAAATAAACTTCATTCAAAGTGTTACGCATTTTATTTTCCATATCTTCTACCATACGTCCAATATTAGCTATGTGTGGGGAAGCATCTGACACTTGACTGTCCATTTCTGTTTGTCTAGTTAAACTTCCAGCTAAGCTCATATTACCTGATACGGCTTTATTAGTTTGTAACCACAGCATAACAGTTGATGTAAGTTTATAATGTGCACTACGACCAGTAGTTTTCTCTTGCACTTCTACAACGTGTATGGAATCCCATGTACCACGAACTTTCTTTGATCCATCTCCGACTTTTTTAATCAAAATAACTCCTGAAAAAATAAATATACAAGCGTAAATGAAATATCTACACGCTTTTATACAAATAATTAAAAACTAAAGATTTATTAATTTTGAAATTATAAAACACTGATGGAAATAATCAATACATTTTTACTATGTAAAAACACATCAATATGACATTTAGAAAATATGAAATGACAATTGAAAACTAAATTATATAAGAATTGATAACACATTAGCAGGGATAGAATTGTATAACACTTAGAAGTATGAAAATCTGCACTATAATATGTCTAAAAAACATAAAAATTATTATTTTTTGATTATTAATAATATGATATGAAATGATAATGACAACTGATTGACTAAAATGGAATTACAAAAAGTTCATATAAAACAGTATGTAAGAAAAAGATTTTTGTTTAACTTTAAATGTTACATTGATGAATACTGTATATATCATATTATTAGACGTGAAACTCAAGGTTGCACAAAATAATATTTTTTTTAGGGAGACTTCAACATTATATATAAGTACAAATAATTATTAAATTTATAAGTTTTGTGGCTAATAACTTTGTCAATATTGATTTTCTTCTTATCAACTGTAGGACCTTATTTGTTCCTTATTACATTCTGATGATTTTACCAGGATGCTATTCATTATTCAATGATAATTTAAACTGTATAAAAAAATTAAAATAAATACAAATTGCGATATTAACATAAAATCACTGCTCACGAACTGGACATTTTTTTTTTGGTGAAATAAGATTCAATGGTATTGTTACACTTGTACATATAAAATATAAATATACACCCATAAAAAAGAAAATACATTTTCTTGGTCTACCATAATAAACAAAAGTATACAATAATAATTCAGAAAACATAATTTTTAATATTTTAAAATATCATTCAGGGAAAATAATTGTATAAAATCAATGAATTAAATTTAATAGTAGATACATATAATAATAATTACTATATTAGATCAAAATTTAAAAAAAATTGTATTTATTTTACCGGCAAAGCCTTGGTCTAAATCCCAAAGGTAAACTGAAGACACACCACCTTCGAAATACATCTCTCTATATTGATCAAATGCCATATTAGCATCTATTTCAAGTTTACGTAATTTTTCAGTTGGTACTGCACCATCATCCAGTGGTGGAAAATATGTATTACTCCAGGGTGATCTAAAATCCAATTTTAAATTATAATATTGTCGTAAAAATATTGTGTTATTATAAATTACCTATACGAATCTCCATCTCTGTTATAATCACAAAGTAAAAAGTCTTTACCGTATTGCTTGTCTTGTACAATTTTTAACGGCTGATCAACAGACGATAATAAATCTTCGCACAGACTGGGAACTAGGTCAATAAGATCACTCAAATGCTTTTCAATTTTTTGAGGTGGCAAACGCCTCATTAGATCCAATGCACAATCCATTTGAATATCAGACTATAAAAATAATTTCAAAATTATAAAGAACACGGTAAGTACATAGGTATGGTAAGGAAGTAATATTAATTATTAAGATGTAGATATTACACAGCACTTAAAAAAAATAAAATGTACGTTTCAAAATACGAATAAACGCTTACCATTTTTATATTTTAATAAATACTCGTATGAAAACAATAAGAAAAAAAATAAAAGTACAATAAATAACACCGAACAATCAAACAAAATTAATTAATACAATGTAAATAATAAATTAGTAATAATACAAAATTCTTAGCTTATCTTCCCATAGTGTGTTTTTTATCAATATTTCTATTTAACAGCAGTGTAGCCAAACTTATGATAGAGCAAACAGCCGATTTTTAAAAAGTATTTACTAATTATGATATATGAATCATGCAAATTCTTTATACACCATGGCATGACGTCAATACTACTTTTAACTGAATTCCAGTTTTGGGAATATTAAACAAATGTCAGTCACAGTGCTCCAATACTATTTCTATTTTTCAAAGTATTATTTTACATTTATAACATATATTATTTATTTATATTTTTACCGTAAAGTTTAAAAATCAAAAATATTTAATATAAAAGTAAAAGCCTTTAATTTAGTATAGATATTTAAATAAAAATAAAGTAAAAAAAGGAGCTAATACTGGGAACAGACGCGGCCACTGTTGTAGGTTGTTAGTTCGGAAGATTGCAGGGTCTAAAATACTATGTCCCCTGAAAATCATAATGTGTGCCCCAAGTTTTGTAACGTGTTTTAGTTTTAATTGTAGAAATAACAAACAATTTGGAATTTCAACACAAATAAATCTTGTTAATCTTAATATAAATTAATAACAACTTCCTCGTTATCAATATTATACCATAAACTTTAACCATGGTCGACGGTTATAAAGAACTTTTTTTGTTTTAGTTGTTACCGATGTTTTCTTAAAATATTTTTTTTGTATTTGGCGATTTTGTAATAAATCTAAAAGAAAAGCTTTGTCTGATGACCACTAATTTATAATTAGGGCTGTGAATTTGTAGGCAAGTACATTTTTTTAGCTGATTGTGAAACGTAGCTTTTTTAAGTACATAATTTGTGTAATTGAACAACAGATTCATTTATGAAACTTTTATTTTGAATTTTTTTACGTTTTTAATTTTGCTAAATATTTAAACTTTCTCATAAAAGAAAAATCAAACATGAATACAGACATATTCTCTAAAAAAAAAACACGTATGATTTTATAGATAAAATTAATAAAATTAATATTGACCCAGGTTACAAAATAATTTCTCTTGACGTCAAAAACATATACATCTATTCCTAAACATGAAACAGTAAATTTTTTAAAAAATTAACTTATATATATAGTAATAAATTTAATACAAACCAGGTACAAGAAATTATTCAATCAATAAATGTTATTATTAATCAGAACTATTTCCAACATAATAATAAATTATATTCGCAAAAAGGTTTAATTATGGGTGGTCCTTTAAGTGCTTCTTTTTATCTGAAATTCAAATGCAAAATTATGAAACCAATAATATTATTAGCAACAAATTATAAAATCCATATATAAAAGCATATTATAGATATGTTGATGACACATTCATTTTATTTAGAGGTTCAAATAGACTAGCAGAAAATTTAATTAACTACTTAAACAAAATAAATAAAAACATTCAATTTACACTTGAAATACAAACGAATAATAAATTTAATTTCTTAGATCTTAGTTTCCATAATAAACAATAAATTTGATTTTAGTATTTACAGGAAACCTACACAAACTGATGCTATAATACCACATGATTCTAATCACATTTATTCTCAAAAAATATCATTATTTAGTTCAATATTCTATAGGCTTGAACGTATTCCATTAAATAAACATAAAATTATCAACAAAAGCTCAATATTATCTATAATAAAGCCTACAGAAATAATTTCAATTTAAATACTATTAAAAAAATGTATAAACGTAGGTATTAAAGAAAAAATACACAACTCACCAAATAATGTTGTTAACTATTGTAGTATGAAATATTAAAATAATATATCTTAACTAATTATCTAAAATTCTGAACAATAATACAAATAATATAAGTATCACTTTTAAGACTAATAATAATTTAATTAAACATATAAAAAATAGAACTAAAAACTTCACAAAAATTTCTCTTCTTTTGAAAATGCTGGTATATATAAACTTAAATGTAACTGTAATACATTTTATATAGGTAAGACAAATAGAAATTTTGAAATAAAATCTAAAGAACACATTTCTGAAATAAAATAAAAAAAGATTGCTTCTTATTCAAATTTTGCTAAACATGACATAAACCCGTCCCCGTTATCCTAAGATATCTTTTTTTTCTCTCTATGCATTAATTAAATTTTTTATATTCAGTCACGTTTTACATTTTGACTGTGATATACCTGTAATGAATTTTTAATTTGAAACCGGTCGTATAGTACACTTATCATAATATGACACATTTATTAATTTTTGTTTTTTTTTTTAAATATATAAATTTTGTATTTATATACTTATTTACTAAATTGAAACTCCTTATGTTTTACAAGTAAAATCTATTGAATATAATAAATAACTTATAATCTTTGGCAAAACTGACATTACTACTAATCAAAGCGTATTCCAGCGATTTGCAATACTTTTAAACTACACTTTTTGCTCTGATTGCCTGTGTTCAGTGTCTTTTTTCTAGTGTTCACTAGACACGGTCTAAAATAAAAATTCAAATAGAAATTATGAAGACTATAATAAGGAGATCAAATTTCACTTTTGATAACATCCTGAAATGAGTCACAATTAAACTGCCACAGGCTACGCTGCATATGCTTGAGTTGCTACTTTAACCCACGAAGTATTGTTATTGTGATTATTTATGTTTTTTTGAAAATATGTGCATTACCTATTTCATTAAATCTTATACATATATATGCTTATGAACATATTTCATAAATGTTATTTAATGAACCCAAAAGCCGAAAGGTAAGGGTAATTTGTAATTCCTTAGACTTTGATTTTAATTATGATTTGGATTCTAAACTTTGACACTTATATATGGATTTTGAATAATATAAGGAGAGAAATAAGAATAAATTGTATTAAATATTTAGCAAGTATGATAATTAATCACATAAAATAATTATTGTTTATTATATATATATTGTTATAAATAGTTATGTGGATGGGAAATATTGAGCCTTTAATAGGAGAGCACATGGGAAAAGCATCTCTGAACTCTCTCTATCATAGCATAAGCATACACAGTAGAGTGAGGGTCCCAGAGGACAAATCCTAAGAGCTTAAAGGATTGGCAGCAGTTTCAATATGCTTGATTGGAGAAAGTAGAAGTAGCGTAAATCCAAGATCATATATTGAATCAACAGCTCGCTTGACTTTTTATATAATTTAAAATTTCTAGTATTTTAGTTTTTATTTGATTTTAAAAAAATAAAATTGTTTTAGCCTATCAAAAACAATGCTTTGGAATATTTAAAATGTGGTTGATCATAAGCTGTAATTGTCAGTTTTTTCTAAAACAAATTTTTGCATAAAATCTCTAGGTAATAGGTGCATGCATATATCAAAACAAATGTAATGTTTTTTTTAATGTCCCATTTGTTGTATTATATAACTAAATTACTGATTAAATTAATCAGTGACCAGTAATGACAAACATTGTAAAAATGTTCTAAAACCAGATGGCATTAAGACACATTATACTATTTTGAATTGGTTCTTTTGGCAGTTAATTTGTTAAAAAAATTGTTCTATTTTTGAAATATTTATTTTACATATGAATATGTATATTAAATTAAAGAATAATATGTACCAATATTTTATAAATAAGATATAATATATTGAAACTACAACAAAATATTTAAGATTGCTGTCAAAAAAAAATTATATAATAATTATAAAAATAATATATGGGTAGGTAAGGTAATAATGATGTACATATAAGTAGAAACAATAGTAATAAAATATATATTTATAACTTAAATTCAAATATTAAAGAATAGACTATTCCCACGCTTTAAATAATGCTCTTTTTTTTCCATTAATTTTTATATATACATAGGTACACACACATACGCGCACACACACACACACACATATATATATATAATAATTAATTATACTCTAGACAATAACATTGGGATACTTGCTAGAATCTTGGCCAAGGAGTATTTTAATAATAGACAGCGGTATTCCAGTGACTTCAATAGATTACTATTACTAGCAAGCACAATTATCACTACCAGAGGATCTATTTTCTGTAGAACCACTCAACTTAATTTGTTCTGGAAAATCATTATACAACTCTACATCTGTATCTTGAGCTAAAGCATTTCGCGCTATTGTTATGAACGCTTGATCAACATTGGTTGCTTCTTTAGCAGATGTCTCGAAGTACGGTAAACCATTCTTGTTCTGGCACCATTGCTGAGCTCTTTTAGTGGAAACCTACACATAATTATTTTCAATTAAATATTGTTCATAAGTATAATTTGATTATAATAAATGTACTCACTGTTCGGTTTTCTAGGTCAGCTTTGTTCCCAAGGACAACAAAAGGAAAGTGATCAGGATTAGATGGTGATGCTTGTATTAGAAATTCGTCTCGCCATCCGTCTAGAGATTTAAAAGATCCTGGAGATGCAACATCAAATACCAATACACAACAATCAGCACCACGATAAAATGCAACTCCCAAAGATTGAAAACGTTCTTGGCCAGCTGTATCCCATATCTGAATGAATAATTAGGTACTATTAAGTATAATATCAAAACAATACAATTTTTGTATAAAAGTAATCTGTAAATTTCTATATTTAATATAATTTTATAATAACATCAGGGCTAACCCTAAGGCAAAGAGAGCGGGGCCCAACACTTTTACCACTGTTGGACAAGCCATACATGCCATGGAAAAATTAAAAATAATTAAATTGATGATTAAAAGAAAAAGATGTATTAACTTTTTTTGTGAAACTATTAAATGAAACATAATATTGCATTATAATGCATTTGTTGATTTCAATGATATATAATTTTAGACCTTGCAATTTTTTTCTGCTTCGAGCCCCACAAATTGTCAGAAAAGCCCTCTAGAAGATAATCATTGATAATCACTAAATAAACCATGATTTAATTCATGTTGGTAAATTATATTTGTATTTAATAACATTACAGTTAGCTCTAGCCAACGAAAAGGCAATATCAGTCGCCACCTATTGGCTCAAACATAATATTTAAACATTTAAACATTTATTTTATATTCTATATTTTCATCCTACTTTTGTTCTTAGATTATTTTATTTATTAATTTAATAACATATAACATCTAGCACCGAACACAATAAGAAGATTTCAGAGCTTATAATATACATACAGAAAGCACATAATTTTAAGTACTGGAAAAATAAATCAGATCAAAATTTTTTTGGACTTGCAGCGTTTTTGCTTAGGAGGGCAGTAAATATAGGTACTTAAACAAATAATTTTTCTCAAAACAATGTTTATCATTTTAATATTTAATTATTATCAAATTAACAATAAATAAATTTTAAACTTACCTACTTAACAAAAATGTATACATTGTGCTATGAGTTTTGCTATTATTAAGTTAAAATTAAATAAATTATTTAATCATCAATAATAAATAATAGAATATTAAAATAGCAGCTCTCTTGTATTTGTATACAGGTAAGTACCTATATACATTATATTTTGTACCTAAAAAGGGAGTGTATATCTAAACATATTGTTGATTTGCATCATGGGATTTAAATTGGGTGGGTGTTATCTACATTACATAATTACTTGAAACTAGTTATCAATTTAAGTATATACAATTTTTGATTAATTTCAGGAAGTGAAAGTACAATAATTGTTTTCAAGGAAAACTAGAATTATTTCAAGGCCATAAACTTAAAATGGTTTTTAGTAACTGCCTAATAAAGTTATGAATAAAATTCCTAGAGCTGTTAAATTAAAAAAATGTATTGAAAAAAATTATGTTTATAAGATAGCATAAAAGCAATAATAAATAACCTAACAACTAACATTAACATGAGTTTAAAAAAAAATATTTCTAAATAATATTTTGATGACTGATATGAACAAGGATATATAAAATAAAAATGACCTGTGAACTATAGAATATTATTAGTAAAAACCAGAGCGCTTGAGTTTTCATTAAAAAGATAATTTGTTACCTAAGAGTTTTAATGATCTTAATTTGTGATAAAGTTGTATTAAATACTATTAAACAAATGAATGACCAATTAGGACTTACTTAAATTAACCAACCATTTGTTTTACTCAAGTATTTCTTATACCTAATATAGAAAAATTGTTACTATAATACCCAAGTATTTCATTGAAAAAACACAATATGGAGGTACCTACTATAATTACACTATATAACTACTGTTGCTAAATTACAATAGGTATCAAAAAAGTATTAAGACACCCACAGTGTATTATTGAAGTTTTAATAATTATTGTTGAATGCCATTTATAATCTCACAAAGATAACAAAACGATAATAGTAGGAATGCAGGTTCTATTATAATATATAGTTCAATGCAGAACAGATGTATTTGTAATAATATATAACATTGTGACAATAGTAATTTTACCATATGATAAATAAATGAAATATAAATTGTAGCATATTAAATATTTCTTTGTTCGGTACGAGGTACCTACCTAGTCAAGTATAAATCTACACATAAATACAATAGTTAATACAATATAATGCTATTGCCTATTGTTAATTAATGTGTATGTAATTAAGATTGTTTATAGAAAACTTGATGACATTAATTTTATTTAGTTACCTATTTATTAAAGTAAGATGATTGAAGACATATTTTTAACGTAATACTAAGGAAAAGTCGTAATTTTTGCAAACCAAAAACGATAAAAAAGATAATTATTACCTATGGGTACCTACGACTTACAAACAATTAGGTATCAAATCAAATGTAGAATAATCGACCTTACAGTAGCTAAAAAAGTCTATTGACCTTGACTGACACAATACACGAAAATAGGGACTACAAAATAAAACATCCAAGTAAAAATGAGCTTTACCTGCAATGTTACGATCCGATCGTCGACCATCACCTCTTTGGTCAGGAAGTCGGCACCGATCGTCGCTTTGTATTGGTTGGTGAACTTTTTGTTGATGTACTGGTTCATTAGCGACGTTTTACCAACACTCGAATCGCCCAATATAATCACTTTCAAAAGTACCTTTTTCCTAGTCGCCATGGTCTCTGGGTACACGTACTAAGGAATTTGACCGGACGATGTGTATTCTTTGTGTCACCTGCAGTAATTGTAGTACTGCTGTGCTCGTTGCGTGGCGATCAAACACGCACGTCTGTAAGCTGAGAAACTCCTCCTAAGACGGGTGTGGTATAATAAAATTGTCTTGTTTATGACTGTTTAGATAATAAATTCGTGAAATATACACTAGGAAACATAAGTCTGGGGACACTTACAAACGTAGGACGAGTGATCGGTGACGATATTGTTGACGACTAGAAAAAATTGGTCGGTAGACTCACAAACTAAAGAAAAACACAATATCAAAAGACGGGACAGAAACAAACGATAGAACAATAAATACGTCGTAATAAAATGTTTACGGCGCTAATAACGATTTAGCGAACTATGATTGACACAGAAAGTCGATTGGTAAGCGTAAAAAAAAATCGTAACGCACGGCGAACAATATTCGTTCGAGTTCGATACACGGACAACGGGTATTACGTACAAAGCTGCGCAGTGCGACGACTGTGGTCTGCGAATTACGACGTAGTAAGTAAAACACTCACCAGTTATCACTGTTACCAGTTACTTTACTGCTGATGAGAACAAAATAACGTCCTAATGCGTGAGCGAGGATGTCTTCTTTCTCTCTTACTTTCTTACAGTCTACAAAAGCTTCGTTTTCCTCGTTTCCTGACTCAGCCAAATGCGCATCGATGAGTGAATAGATGGGTCATGTGTAGAAAGTTGGAAGCCTGAACTCTGGAGGCCTTTTACCTTTATCCATCTATCTTTATCTTTTTATTCAATACTTTATTCCACGACGTATTTTAATTTATTATCACGGCAGTGTCAGCTGCAGCTGATCGTCAACAGTGTTACCCAGAATCGGGAACAAACAACGTCCACTTGTCGCTTATATAATATCTACCAATCAGAAATCATTTTTGAATTTCGGAGAATTATGCTATGTACGTACCTAAATGTGTTGCACCCATGCATACGTTCATAAATGTGTACGAAATTGATAATTACAATATCACCCATTTATACAAATCATACATAAGACGCAACAGTTATAGTAAAATAATTACGTAAGTAATAAGAAAAAGGTGAGGTATTGGGAATGGGTGCTGCCACTGGTGTGGATGGAAAGTTGGGAAGGTAGAATATTTTTTTATTTTTTTTTTTTTATTTTTATAATAAATACACAATTTGTACTGAATTAGCACAATAATAATATTTGATGACAGAACAAAAACACTTATGAAAGATTTGGAATAAGAAGCCACCCATTAGTGGCACTTGACTGGGTTTTTTTTTATCAGACGACGTCTGGGGTTACCAGGTAAGGTATGAGTGGACATATTTTTTATAAGTGGATTTTGGTGTGTTAGAAGACGACTGTGAAATTTCTTGTAGAAACGTGCAGCTTCTGACACGGTTTTCATTGAGAGATCATTATGTAGAGTGTAATTAGATACATAAGGAGGGGCATTCATTATCTTCCTAAGAGCAATGTTTTGGAATTGCCGTATTTTGTTGGTATTTGAAATTTTTGCGGTACCCCATGGGAAGGTAGAATATAAACGAGAATTTTATGTATATCTATAAACCATTACTAATCAAAAAACGATTCTGAGCAAAGTTCAATTGATAGTGATGCTTTGTCAACAATACATATGCCATATTATAGTAAAATAATTAAATAGGCTCTATACATTTTTTTTAATAACATTTGTTTAATCTTGTACCAACTTTGCCGGTTTTCCCACGATTTTTCCAGTTTTTCCCATTTGCTGAGAAAACGCCGAAGAAAATGGAAAAACTACCTCTTTTAAGTACCTCCCCAGTGAAATTTTCTTTTAAAAAAATTGTTATCATTATAAGTTGGAGCAAAATTGCTGGTAGAAAAGTTGTCCACAGAAAAAAAAAATCGTAATAATATATTAATACATTTCGTTTATTTTTCCATTTTTCCTCAGTTTATTTATCGTTTATTTATATAATAAAAATTATCGTAGAGAGCTACAATTTTCACTGAATATATTTATTCCAATATAATAACATACCATTTTATAAACATAGTAAAATGTTCAAAACATTTACGCAATTTATAAACTATTTAAAGGAAGTTTTCATTTTCAAGTGTTTTTTTATGTGGTTTTTCTTTGGTACTTATAGGTACTATTTTATGCATTAAATTACAAAAAGCGAAGGGAGAAATATATTGGTTTTACAATAAAGTTTTTTTTTTTCTGTAAACAACTTTTCTACCAGAAATTTTTCTCCGATTTTTAAGTGTAAAGCATTTTTTCTGAAAGGAAATCTAACTGGTGTGATACTAATGACGTCATTTTCCAAGCAGTTTAAATATAATTGCGATTAACCAGGAAAACGTAGAAAAAACTGGAAAATTTACGAAATAGAGTTTTTATTATTTGTAATTTAATTTTTTGATTATTAATAAGTTTAAAATGTTCATACAGACTTGAAATTTAAACAGAAAACTTATATTTGTCTTTATAAACGTGATAAATATTTGAGCCTTTTTTGAGCTATTTATAGACATTATAATTTTGCGAGTTTTTTACGGAATTTTTATTAAGTGGGTATTCAGTGAATAAAATTGTTAGACTTAACATAAATGCTTGAAATAAGTGGTCAATAAAAAAAAGTAATGTAGTATTCCGTTTTTTTATTTGTTAAAATATTTTAACATTAAATTTTGTTCTAAATATTAGAGTATTTATTTTTTATCATAGTATTTAAAGAATTTCGCTCAGAATCGTATTTCGTTTGCAATTTATCATTGCTTCCAAATATAACCACCTCAATATATAGACACACGCTAGGCCCATAATACAAATATGTCTACAAAAAGCTCTCTTATTATTTCTTGTTTGATTGTTTGAAGCCAGATTTTTAGCAGAAAAATTGTTTACAGATATCAGTAAACTCAATGCATTCTTCGCTATGTTCAGAACCTTCATTGTTTTGTTGAATTTGTTTTATAAAATGTATAACATAGTAACGAAAAAATAATAAAACGCGCTGATACTGCTTATGGGTATTTTAGGATATACATTAAAAGTGAGTATATATAAATTAATAATTTATATCTGTACAAAACGATGAACCAATTCTAACAAAGACTTATTCTAAACAGAATATTATTAATCGTATTTTTCCCCTAAATTCCATTGTAACCCAAAATTCAACAAAAATTATACAAATATTTTACTATTCAGTAAAAAAACTATAATTTAAAATTATAATAAAACATTACTTCTCTAATAATGTTCCTATAACATTTATGATTGGAACATACTAAAATCTAATATATTTCTATACATTTAAAATAACCGTGATACGTATAGACATAAATACATAATAAAAAGCTATATTTGTGAAATATATCTATGGTCCATGCCTCTATGGAATATTAATACATTACTTTTAAGTACACCTTATCGTATTCCGTAGTGACACGTAATCGCATTGTAGCGATGTGACGGTTGTATCAAAATTTTAAGCCATAACATAAATATTAACTATATTATTATTTAAATTTATATAAAATAATATTAGCTAATCATACTAATTTTATCATATAAATTATTTATTGTAAGTATAAATAAATATAAAATTGTTTTTGTTTGTGATTACAGTGAATCAAAAACCAAATTACAAAAACTGAAATCAAATGAAAACGTCCTCGTTCTTCTGCCAGTTCAATAGAAAAAAAGAAAACCCCGTTTTAGTCAATACGAACAGATTTAATATTCTTAACTCAAACAATAATGATAATGAAAATGACACCGAAATGTGTGACACATCTGAAAATAACCTCGCTAGCGATACAGAAAAAACTATTTTGTTACCTCCGTCAATTTCTGTATGTGATGTCGGTAACTTTATAGAATTACGTAATAAGTTATTAAACCTCGTCGGTTCAGAAAACTTCAACTTTAGATCATCTGCAAATAATTTAAAAAGAATAACGAATTATAATCATTAAAAGAAAATTTTAAAATTATCATTGATTTTAAGAAAATGTAATCAATTCTCTAAAATTAATATTTATTAAATAAATAATTAAACTAAAAATATGTACTAAATAATACATGAATGACAGATAATATTTTGTGTATTTTTATAACAAGCCGATAGCGCCTACAATGTAATAATTAACACTATAAGTAATACTTGAAAGTATACATAATTGCCATAATTTTTCATCAGCAGTTTAATAAGAAACTTTTCAGCTACTTTTATTTTTTCTCTTTACAGTTCACACCTCCCTATATTATATCCATCTCCGTTACTCCATCTAGATTATATAGGTATGCCCTAATTTTATTTCCCCTACCCTAACTTCTAATAATACTTTTTCTTAGATCTACTCCAGCTTTTGTCTACATTACATAATTCACTTTTTTTTGCTGACTGTCTACTTGGATAATGTGTTATTTTCAAATATCATTGGCATTACATTTTCTATAAAATAGATACCTAATGACTAACGTCTAAATACTTTAACAAACTCCCTTCGTCATACAGACATTTGACACTAGACTGACAGTATATCTCTTTTTAATAAAATCTGTCACATATTAAAATAAATAAAAATGAGTTTAAAAGTATTACTGTTTTTATTTAGAACATATCAAATATAAATCCATATTACCTAATAATTAATATTGTTTTATATTAGGTTTTATTTGTATTGAACAATTTTTAACGAAAAACAAAAAATTGATCCTTTATATACATTATAATATAAGGTAATATAAATTTGTAATTTGAAGAAAATTATTATGTTATTAGGATCCCTATATTTAACAAATAAGTATTTATTGAAGTTGTAAAATAGGTAGGTATGTTTTAAGTCAGTATTTTAGGTCAGAATTGATAGTATATTGCTATGGATGAATAGTATTTAAATAGTATGTTATTTTTTTTAGGCTGTATGTGTCTGAATGATAAACCTGTATACCGTTTATATATAATACTTCTGGCAAACCAGTTATACCAGAAACTACAGTGATCACTGGATTTTAGTAGTAACTACAAATTCCAATATAATATACAGGTGATCAATTCTCGATAAGACACTCGTCTTAGAAAGTATTAACTTTCTTTGGAATTTATATTTTAAACAAGTAGCTCAAAAATGTTATATTTGCGTTATTTTTTATCACACTTATTTTTTGTGGTGAAACCACTTTTTGATTTCTAATTAACAACCTATATTCCAAATTTCAAAAAAAAAATTGAGTTTAATGTAGTATTTTTTATTATAAAATAATTTTAATTTTAATATAAAAATTGTTTTTAAAAATATGGATATTGCCGATTTATGAACGTGAAGTCAGAATTGAGCGGACTAACTAAGTTTCAAAATAATAACTTTTTAGAGGTCTGATATTATTTGTTATGTTAAGTAACTACTAACTATATATAATTGTCAATTTTAAAGGACGTTTCGTGATTTAATGATTATACATACCTGTTATCATCCTAGAGCCCCGAATTAAAACCTGGGTTTCGAACAACAGTATTTGCATTTTTTTTCCCGTTTACCTAAATAAGGAAAAACAAATGAATTTTGGATGTACCGAAACCCTGTTTCAAAAGAGAACTTACCGCTTTTGTGATGAAGGTTTCCCAGCAAATGGTCAATAATGGTTTATCGTTGTTTACAGATATAAATGAAATAATCTTTGGTATTCTACCTTCCTAGCTCCTCACCTACAACAGTGGCCGCTCCTATTCCCAGTATTAGCTCTTTTTTTTTTCTTTTTTACTACAAAACACGACTTATAATAAACTAACTGATTAATTTACAACTATTTCTGTTTGGTTTAACAATTTTATCCACAGAGTACCTACTGAATAAAAATTAGGTAAAAATAATCTAATAAAATTTAAATGTCTATAAATAGCTCAAAAAAAGCTCAAATATTTTGAAAATTCTACCATGTCTAAAAAAGGAAAATATGAGTTTTTTTTATCCAAAATTCATGTCTCTACGAATAATTTTTAATGAATCATAACAAAAAAACAAAATTGAAAATAATATAAGTATTTCGTAAATTTTCCCATTTTTCCTACTTTTCCCGGGTTTTCCCATTTAGTATGGAAATCGTTTGAAAAATAAAAAAATTACCTTTAGTACCCAGATAAAATTTAATTTCAGAAAAAGTAATACACTTGAAAATTCGAACAAAATTCTTGGTAGAAAAGTTGTTCGCAGAAAAAAAAATCATTGTGAAACAAAATACATTTCTTGCTCCACTCAGAGCCAAATATAAATATTAAATAGGTATATTGAATGTATATGAATTAATAAAATACTTAATGATATTAGCTGAGTAGGTATACAAAAATGAAATTAACTGTGTTTTTAATAATGTTTAATTGTTTAATAATATATTTTATGAAAAATATCTCCAATAAAAGTCGTTCTTAAGATATTTGAAAAAAAAAGTCAATCTTACAAAATATAAATTATGTTTACTTATAAATAGGTACCTATAGATATAAGTAGCTGCAGATACCTACAGATACATTAAACATCAAAAAATACTATGCATACAAGAAAAAGGACTGCAACAACGTAACTGTGATTTGTGTTCATTCAAAACTTCAATATCGTCTAAAATCTTTTGTTTATTATAATTCAATGCATTATTTACTATTTTCTGAAAAGCTTTTTTTACGTTTATTGAATATTTTGCTGACGTCTCAAAGTACGAATACGGCATCACATTCGTATCTCTGATCCATAGCCTTGGTCGTTCTTGGTCAACCTGTACACAATATATTATAAATAAAATAATTACATAATAATAAATTGATAAAGTTGGAAATGTTTAAACTACATATTTATTTTTTCATACAAAATATATATTTTTACATTTATTATTATTGATTGATTTATAGGAGACTATATCCGAATTTATTGTTTCAGACTAATTATAACGGCCGGTAACATAGAAAAATATTATACAATGTGTTTCAAGGGGAAGTGATTGGCTGACATCATTTTAAAGTATACCAAAAATGATGGGGATAAACCTCTTTTAAAGGGGGGGGGGGTCTAACATCTTTATTTTTGTTATAGGCAATTTAATTTTTTTTTTATTGATACTCTAGCCTATCACGCATTTTTTTTGTGTATTTTCAAAACTTAGATACGGTCTTAACTTTTTTGTTAGAAAATATTTTATAAAAATAACGTATTATCAGTAACCCATTATCATTGAATATATTATTCTCTTTAAATTTTAATATATTATTCTGCTTAAATCTGTGCATCTAAACTATAATTTTAACGTTAACACCACCATTTATGTCCTAACAGTAACATAAACCCACCTAATTTGGTTGCCATTTGCGACCATTGCGACCAAACACTATTTTGTTGTTATCTCCCTGGATCTTTACACGCTATTTTTTATAATTCAGAGTTTAATATGAAAATTATTTGGGTCAAATAGTTTTCATATTGTATTGTATATATTGGTAATATATTGATATGATATTACATTTAAAATTGTTGTTTTAAATTGCTGTACATTATTGCTTAGTAGGTATTTGGTATAGGTATTATTTTACTGTGGTTATTACTTTGTATATTATTATATAAAGCCAATTTTAATCACTTTAATGTTAGGTATTTGACAAAAATTACTTTTCGATATGGTGGTGCAGCTATTATAATATTAGTACCTACCACACGTTTATCATATTCATTAGCTATTATTAATCAATTAAGTGAGCCATCGTTGTTTATATCATTATAATATTATTATTGCCAGTTTTGAACTAGTAAATAATCAAAATATTTGTAAGAAAGTACGCTTAGAGGGTTAGGTCAGCTAATATGATTTGAATTATTTAGTTTTTAATTTATCAGCAGATGTAGGTATATTTTAATGTAATATGTGTAACTTCCGGAAGCCTTTTATATAACATCTTTATTTTAAAGATTATGTTAATTGTAATGAATTCTATCGTTTTCTAAACAGTTTTTAATAATTCTCTTATTGACTCCTTATAGATGGATTTATGTTGTATTAATATTCAAGACTCGTCCGATTTGTACGGCCTCTCGGGAAGCCAGATCTACAGTTTGGGAAGTACTGGTGTGTCTATATTATTATAACGAGTTATCTGATATGGTATTTAAATAATTGGTTATGTAATCACATATAAAAATTTAAACCATCAGGTTAGAAAAATGGAATCAGCAGTGTCTAATTAAAATTCTAAGATGAACTATATATATACATGGTTTTATTACGTAATCGTGTCTATACATTTTACATTTTTATTACCCCCCGTTTTATTTAACCTCCCTCCCTACCTATATTTATAATATAGATACCGTTATTTCAAATATTGTACATTTTTTATCAACGAAAAATATTAAGAACTTGTTTACCCGCATTCGTCTAGAAAAGTTGAATTTAATTAATATAGAGCTATACAAATTATAGAAATCCATTAGATTTATGTATTTATAAATTCGTGGAAATTTAAAAATCGTCGTTCAAGAACAAGTTTTTTTAAAAATTAGAATATTAATTAGTCTCCTAGATTGTTTGATCATGGCACTTTGCAGTTTATTTTAACATTTAGGAAAACGAAATACTTGTATACCTACACAAAAAATTGTTAATTTTCGATAATTATTTGCTAACTATAAGTACTGTAGAAGCGTTTGAATACTTTCGATATTTTTAATGATTGAAACTAACATGAACTAATATTTAAATAAAATAATTTTAAAAGTTAGAAATAACATATTTATGAACTCTTTATTCATATTTAGATGACATTATCAACAGATCAATATTTTATAATAGGTATTAGACGTTTTCTATTTAATTAATATTATATTCGTGTAGTACTGTTAATTTGCTTTTGTAATTATTACATTAAGCATGTTAGTTTTTCTGTACTTCTGTGCCCGTTTTGTAAAATGAAATAAAAATAAAAAATACAATTTTCTGTAGTAGGTATATACCTACTATATTAACTACTATACATATAATTGACATTAAACATTTTTTAATATAGATAGTGTAGTGTTAATAGTGTCAAGAGTAATAATATAATAATTTTATCTATTTTGGTTAACGAAAAATGGGCAATTGTACACTATGCCTGGACAATTGAGAAAATGTTGACTTTAACCAATTGTATAGGACATTGTATACATTGGCAGGGCAATTTCTCTTTGACTGATTTTTCCATTTTAACAGGAACTTAATTCAATCAATAGTATTAGTACATTGTGCATAGTTAAAAGTGTAAAATTATATTTTTTGTAAATATCTAATTATAAATGTTTAATTTATATGTATCATTATATTGTTTCCATTTTCCACTGAACTCCTACAAACGTTTGGTTCTAAAGATTAACCTAATTTAATGTTTTTTTTTTTTTGAACTTTGCACTATATACGGTATTCATTTCCTAAAACATATTAATATTATTGTATATAGGCATTATCGACAAGCACACTTATTAATTTCACTTCGCATGTCATAATAATCATCGATAACATTGATTTTTAAAATAGTTTTTCTTGGTACATTTTATTATATCATCCGATAAATAGTTTCTAATACAATATTATAGACTATAGTACGACGGTGATGACACGATGACTTTACCGTTCTGTTGTCCAGGTCAATTTTGTTTCCGATAACAACAAACGGATAGTAGTGTTCGTCTCTTATTGAGATTTCGGCAAGAAATTCGTTTCGCCAACCGTCCAAAGACTCGAACGATTCCAATGACGTGACGTCGTAAACTAATACGCAACAGTCGGCGCCTCGGTAATAAGGTATCCTGCGAGACCGCAGTGACGGTAATCCCGGCATGTCCCAAAACTGCATCTCGAAAATCGTCGGACAAAAAAATGTGTATTATTATATAAATAATGTTTGAGGTTCCTAAAACACAAGGGGTATAAGTGACATTGTTAAAAAATCTAAGTTAAGGGCACGGCTGAACTAAAATTATTCCATTTTATTGTTTGGTAAAGAAATATAAGAAAATTATTTGATATGCTGCAATTTAGTAAAAAATACTGAATCTCACTAAAATAGACGAAAACGAAAATGTAACACATTAGAAGTAAATAGGTACAAGGATCCAAAACAGTTATTAACACACTTCTGTATTTATACTGCCAAATGTTTAAAATTTGTTTTTATCATTCGAACACAAGAACAGTGGTATTATGACAATATACTATAATAATTGTATTAAATACAAATAAATTTAAAATTATACCCAAATAAAATGTATTTTTCATACGTTTTTTTATTTTTTGAAAATATTGACGGTAGATCTACAAGATGTAATAAGATCAGAGGCGGCGAAACATTTTTGGATTGAATGTTAAAATTTTGCAGTAAAAGTTTTCAAAATTGTTTGCGTGTGTGAAAAGAAAAATTGTCTACTTACTAAGGTTAGAAAAAAACTTAAAATTCAAATGTATCGAAAATAATCCATTTAAAATAATTTAAATTTAGTTCATGTTTTGAAAGGCCGTAATATTTACGATTTGAAAATAATACATTTTGTCAATTTTCAATACAAAATTACAAATGTGTTCCTATTAAAATTTACAACATTAGAAAAACTATTTGATTCAGAACCCGAAATTAATAAAAACAAATGATTGTCATTATATTTTAAATCCAATACACAGTAAATCCTAATATCATATATCATAAAAATAAAACATATTATTTATAGTATTATTATTAAGAAATAATACTATTTATGCCTATTTCAAAAATATGTGTTATTATTGTTTATTAGAAATTAATCATTATTGGACAACAGTTTATACATTTGAATTTTTAAATTCTTAAATATAATCATTTTTAATGAAATAATAATTATATGCTTAAACGTAAACTCGAATAATTTTTTAAAAGCAATAAAGTACATTTATTATTATACAAATGTTAAAATACTTTTATAACTATAAGATGTTTTATGTAATTGTGTACCTAATAATTAAATTTGTAATTTGTATTTATACCTGAACGGATAAAACATTATCATCAATTATAACTTCTTTTGTAATAAAATTTGTTCCGAGGTTAGGTTCAATACTCCCGGAGTAATATTTATTCGCCAACAACGATGATTTTCCCACTGACGAATCTCCTAGAATCACTATTTTCAAATAGGATTCCATGTCAGATTTTTAATGTATAGGTATGTATATTATATTATTATTTAAGAACAATGAACATTTTAGGCATAAAACTATTATAACAGAGTACCAAACGTCAATGAAATGTAATAGGTATGTGCATTTATTGTTATTAGGTACCTATAAAGTATTATCAATAATATTTAATATACAATGTTCACTATTTATAGTAATTATCATCATTAGTATTTGCATAATATGATAAAAAACTAATAAAAGTTTAAGACAATATTCAGTATTACGAAATCAAATCAATTAGATTTAATGATTTTAATGTATATATTTAAATATAGGTACACAATTTTATTAACGAACATTTTTAATTTACATTTCATAATATTATATGGGTGGATTTGTGCAAATAGTAAATCTGCTCAGAGGCATCTCAACGAGACCGAACAAAATCTTAGTACTATTGAGAGATCCTACCTATAAAATGTAATAAAGTACTAGCATAAATATTTGTATAGGTAGGTCCGTAAGCTGTATAATTTTTTAGCAAAGTGATTTTTTTCTACAAACCCATTTGAAAGAAGTACAGGTGCCTAGTAAGAATAATCCTTCACATGTTTTTAGAGATTTTTAATTTTACAGCCTTTGTTTACATGTTATATATACAATACGTCAATACACGCTAATTGGGCGGCTTAAAATGTTATTATAATATACGTTTTCTAAGTATTAATACTTATTTTATAGGTTCATATAGGTATTATAGGTATTGTAGTTAATGGTGCTTGGAAAAAATACTCATCGTAACTCAGAAAGAAAATTTAATCCTCGATATTCCCCGAATCGTAATTATACTAAGTTATATTGCTTGCTTTGTTTTAATATTGCGTTCTAAATTTACAATTAAGTACCTATACCGATCAACATATTGAAGATCTACCAGCTGGGCTATAACTACTTATCATGAAAGATAAAAAACGTATTGACATGATAAGTCTACATTATTGACTTATTAAATATTTTCTTTAGAGGAGTGAACAAATGTTATGTAACTAAATGCGTTTGTGGCACATCTCCGCTATAAATCTATTACCTACTAGTTTCTATGAGTGAATTAAAATGGTTTCATAAGTATTTCAAAGTACTAGTATCTAGTATGCTAATATGTAATAACCTATAATAATATGGTTTATATAGTTTAACACAAATATTTTATCTATAGGTACCTTTATAACTACATCTACTTCATATTATATAGGTAGCCAGCATTTGGTAAACGATAAAAATATTATACATTATATTATTATCATGTAAGCGTTTAGTATTACAATAATTTACAAGTGTAAATACTTGTAAGCCCTCCCAAATATAAAAATTCTATAGGTTAGATACGTCATTAACTATTTTAGTATTGTATCATAATATAAATGCGCACACTTATGTACACGTAATGAATATTATGTTTATATAATACATATGTGTATATAATATATATTGCAGATACACCTAGATAGTATATTAGGTACATAATATGTGCAATGGCGGTACGGATGTAGTATTTTGAGTTCCTAGGTGCAAATCATTTACTGGGTCGGCGAATGGGTATTGGTAACGAAGTAGTTTAAGGCGAAGTAGTAGACTGTGGATGGGTAAGCTAGTCTAAATTGGGTCATATACTCAAATGTCTATGTTATTCTTATTCTTGATGGTTAACATGACAGAATCTAGAATTATTATAAAGTATTTGATTATATTAATAGTTATAATAATACATTTTGTAACAATAACTTTTTAGAACTTAGAATGCCCCATTTGAGCTTTGTGGGACTTTTGCTGAATTTACATACGTCTTATGGAGAGACTGCGAGAGTACTTGGGTAACTATAAGTGAAGATTATTCGTAACTGTATTTCAATGATATGGTCATTCATTAAAAAAGTTGAGCTATAATGTTAAACTGAAAGGTATAGGTACAGGGATGACAACGGAAATCGATGTTGACAAAAAGCACGCTTAGTGTTTGTCTGGGTTCCTATAGATTGAGTTTCTTAATTTTATTTTGGGGGTGGACAAATCTGTTTAGGAGTTGCGAAACTCGAGTTAAAAGTGATTGCTGACTATCTACCCTTCCCCGGTAGATTTCCATTTGGTAAGAAGGTTCCTTGTACTTATAGTATCATACTTATATAATTAGAAATAAAAACAACAAACATACTTTTAAACATATTAGTTTTAGTTAAATAAAGTCATATCTTTGGAAATGATTGTATGTATTTTAAAAAAAAAAAAACGCTCAATCGATTTAAAATTTAAGGTATTTCGTGTAATAAAATAATAAAAATAATATTTTAATATTTATATTACATACGAAGATACATTATGCATGTAAAGTATATTGCCGATGTTTTCCTCCTAAAAAAAATTTCTGTTTTCACGATGCCATTTTAATAAATGGTTGAGTACACTTATCCAATTAAAACAAAAATCGGATAGGGCAATGATATGCACCTCAAATACCGTTAATTTTGACCCCCAGTGACCTCGACTTCAACATAATTATTGTTATTATAGGATTGAACCATTCGAGCCCTTTGGTTTAGATTAGTCAGTTTGGCTACTTATGACAAGTGTTCAAGGCTAGCGCCGCGCTCTATTGGTATAGTTATGTAAGAAAACGTACAATTAAAATTAGTTAAATGCATGATTTAATTATATTTATCTCCTTCAAACATTTTTCTAACCGAGAAAGTGTTCAAGTGACAAAAACCATACTTTTTGTACTTGCACTCCACTTGTATTCATATACACACTACACGTCCTGACTTCGGATAAAAATGGCACACATTTTACCTATAGATAGTCAATACATTTATAAATAATAATAATAAAAATATATTTAATTATTATTTATGAGTTTTTCCACAATAATATCACATTTTATACAGTCACAGCTGATTTTACCACAGCCTTATGAGAGGAGAATCTCCATTTAATGCACGAGTCGAGGCATTTAAGGCTTACCGCGGTAGATATCGGAAATACCGGACTGCGGCCACACTGTTACGGTATTAATCGTTTGCGGCCGCAGCAACAACTATCGCGGCACTCTCTACCGGCGCCAGGACCAGCCACCGCCTATTGTGGCAATAGTGTGAAAACTGCTCATGTGCGGTTGTGCGCAAACGTAAAAATTGACCACCCGCCCCCGCCGAGTAGATATCTGATAATTTTGACGTCGTCGTAGTATCGACTTGTCCGAGTTTGTAGGTATCGTCAACTACCTACTGTCGTTTCCGTTTTCGTTCGAGATCTCGTTCTCGCGTTCGTGATAATACAAATTTCTATTGTTAACGCATATTATAAAACGGTCTATATTTTATTTTACACAAGTACATGATGGACTGTTGTGTGTAAAGCGGTCTCGCCCCAGAAAAACACAAACGTGGAGTACGTTTTTATTGCAGTTCGCCCGCCGCGCCGTTGACACCGCCTTCACACACACGGACGCACACGGTACCCGAGACGCCGTTAATCTATAGATTCTTCCCGACAATCTGAGATAAGGCGTTGTTTTGGTTTTGGATTAGTTTTTTATTGTATACAAGTAGACTACAGCCACTGCCTTTGAAATGGATAAGAGGAAGTTGTCGTAAGTATATTATAGTAATATAGGTACAATATGCGCACGCGTTGGAATTATAATAAAAAGATATTGACCGATGCCTTTTTTCGTGGGTGTCACCCATAGTGTGGCTTAATCGCCGTCGTATGTCATTTATGAACACAATTGTTAGTGTGTGAGTAGGTTGTTACTATAACTTTACCGGATAAATCCAAATGCTTATTGTAATATTGTTTAAATTTCTGTGGTTATGGATTACAATTATATTAAGTGCCTTGACGTCATATTTAAACTATAAATATATGTAATATTTATATCGGATATTGGGGGTGGACTGGGAATACAACTGTTTATAATATGTGGAATACCTTGTCAAAAAACAACATTATTATAATAGAAACAATTATTTGGTATTTTAAACGAAAAGTATTATTTCTTTATCTAAATATAAAAACTTATAGGTATGTTTATTCAATTAAAGTTCATTGAGCCTACCAGTACGTACCCTTAATTGGAAAGAAAGCCCCAAAAGGCAAATAACTGGTAATTAGGTATTTGCATTTTGTTAATTGTATTGGTACACAATTATATTATACACATTACTTTTGCCTAAGTGTTTGATATTACAACATGATGCGATCAAACTATTAATTATTACATTTATAGTTTCAAGATTGAGATAAAATTTGAATGGTACCTCCAGTCATTATTATTTTTTGCTGTTTCTCTTGACATATGGTGGTCCAGATGTTAAATATAATCCGTTATATATAGTGTCTTAAATTTACCTTTTATATGGTTTAAAAATAAAAAAAATACTAATAGGTAGGTCATTTATAGGTAATAGTTAATAATATATTTAATATTTATTAATTTATCCTAAGATAATAGTATTATTATAATTTATAATCTACTTATATTTTATATTTAGCCATATCACATGAACATGAACAATTATCTAATAAGAAACCGTTTATTATAATAATATTGTAATAGTGTTTTACAAAATGTCTTCATACTACCTATGTTAATTGTGAATAGTTGAATATATTATTCAGCTTATAGATGTACTCAGAGGTACATTCACTATGATTATTTTTTTGTCCTTTAAGCTAAAAAATGTCAAATTAGGTAGATAGGTACTTTATTTGGGTAAGTAATAACTTTTTATAATAAATGCCAAATACCTATAAAATTAAATATAAATATCACATTAGTACAAAATTGTCATCATAATGCACATTTTAAGTTCTACTTACATTTTTTTTTTTTTATGAAAACCTAAGTACTTGGTTAATTTACTCATGAATTTCATACCCATATTTATGAGGATCACTGTATCATTTTCAAAATAAGAACACATCACGCTGCATATCCAGACAGTTCCAGACGTTATGTGATTGATTATTAATTATTAGTAAAGACATGCGCGCACATGAACAAATTTTAGTCCTCCGCTCAGTGCATTCTTATTCTGAAAATAGTATACAGACCTATAGGTATTTTGCTAAATATGATGTTCAATACTATAAGAATATCTCTGGAAATATCTATTAAAAATATTTTTATTTATTATTGTCGACTTTAATATTTATAATCTAGTTAGCACTAGTTTCATGATGAAAACTTTTGATTAGAAGTGTTTTTGACACTAAATATGATGGTATAATCAGAATTTAGTGGTTGGACTTACTTTTTAAGTTATAGAACTTTGAAGTTGGATATATAATATAATGTGATAGTGGAAAACATTAGTTACCATAAAGTTCTTTTACTTTTTTTTTTGAAACCTAACTATATAAAATTATTAGTCAAAAACAACATTGTAAATGTGTTATGTTAGATTTGGTGGTTATATTTAGTTTTTGAGTTATTATTATTTTAAATTGCCCAATATTGAGTACAGTGTGCTCGGTTTTGTTTTGCGACATTTACATTTAGAACCCTATCCTATTTGAAGCAGTATTTAGTTGGAAATACTAGGGTAGGAAAGTTAGTGATTTTAAGTTTGTTGTTCCACTATGGTTTTACAATCTTGACATGAGTTCGTGAAGCGATCTCATGGTGTCCATTGGATTTTTTGTTGTTACTTATCTAATGTTATCAATATGTGTAAAAATGTAAAATTGTAAACTTAAAAAGGGTATAATTTCGAAATAAATTTAGCCGATACCACTTATTAACTGGTTTATAGTGGCATTCTGGTTGGTGAGTGAAGCCAGTAGGCATAGCAAACTGTTCATAATTGTTTTGAGTATTATGTTTAGTGACATACCTACAGTGTTTAATTTACTATAACTTCTAATATAATAGTTTCCAACAAATTCGGTTTGCACTTTATCTTCAAAATTGAAAACTCCCTGTCTTTTCAAAAATAATTTGGCTTTTGGCAAGTTCTGAAGTGTTTGAAGTTTTTTGCTACAACTTTCTTTAATACAAATTTCAATTATTTTTAGAATCAAATGTTGTCTTCTCAAAAAGATTTTGAAAATTGTATTGAGGAGTTTAATAAGATTTGTTTCTTATAAACAATAGAAATAAGTCTAGTTTACAGTTCAAGACATATTTTTATTATTTGAAAATTGTTGTTTATAATTAGTAAATTATAGTAAAAAAAACAGGGAGAAAACCCTCAAAATTTAAAATTTTTCCAAAATCACTGTTTTTTTTTTTTTAATTAGTCAAAAAAGACTTTTAATTTATGATTTTTTTTATGTTAAATCGATCAGTGTAACCATAATCCAAATTATATGCTTACTTATTGAGTAAATAATAATAAACTTTTTAAAAAACGCAATTTTGTCTTAGCAGTGTCTGCTTACACTTCATATTATTTGTGTATACTCTGTTTTGGGGGCTTATAAATTTAAAACCCTTTTTCTTTAAGTCTGTTGTTTGAAAAATTGTGCCGATGATGTATTTTAGTAAAAACAAATAAACTAAATTTACAGGTACTCAGACTTATATCAAACTGCTATATTTTATTGAATTGTACACAACTTAGTTTAAATACTATTTTACTAAAAATAGTTTATTAATGAGTCATAAGATATTGTTTAATCTATCTTATGTTTTATTTGTTTATGTATTTATTTGTTTACTAAACAAAATGTACGCCTAGCTGCATTATTAAATTAAATTGTACTTACTATTAATGTAAACATAACAAAAATGTAAAATAAAAATAGAATAAATGAAAATACAAGATAGGTACAAAGTTATTGTTACATTTGGGTAGATATTTATTGATTACAATTTTTTTAAATTATTACTATCTAGTTAATTCAATTAAATAATTTGTTATGCACATAAAACATAAATAAACTACATACATACTGTTTAAAAAATAGTAATATCATAGAATTTATCTAATAAAAATGTATAATTATTAATTATCATTACCTTTTTAGATAGGTTTTTTAATGTGATAAATATATGGATATGGACATATTTAAAACAGATAATTCTAATAGAATATCATATACTTACAATTACCTAACTACACACCTAATATTTTATTAGGTATTAGTGTTTTACCTAGGTGTATTTTTTTTTTACATAAAGTTGCTTTTGTTTTTGTTTATATTAATATTGATATAATGTTTTCATCAGCTTTGGTCTTGGTTTTGAGTTAAATGAAATTAAAAAAAAAAATAAAAAGAATTTGAACAAATACATAGGTATTTTTTCTGTAACTACTAGTACTCATTATATTTTATAATTAAATTAATTTTGTAAAAAAAAAAAATGGATTCTTGGAATTCAGCTGGAATCTGCCGTTAGGATAAGTACCTATTAGTCATAGACATATTAATAATATTAATATGTCCTATTTTATTAGTAGGTACTTATATAAACTTTTATCAAAGTATTATATTATTATAATATTGAGTATGGAATATATTTATTTATATTTTATTTCCACTTAACTATTATAGCTTCTTATAGAACCAAAAGAAGTAATATTCCAGTGACTATTATTAAAGTATATATAATTGTAGTTACCTTTGGTAACTACTTATATTGGTATATTTAATAAATAACAAATAATTTGTTTCACATTTTTATAAATTTGTTTTATTTTAAATATAGATAGATAGTTCATAAATAACCATAATGATAGGTACATATTAAATATTTTAACATAATTAGGTCAAGTTTTATCTTTACTGATAAAATTTACAATAGAGAATGTTCATGATTAATCTAAGGAATTATTCAAACGAATAAATGATACATTAAGAGTATACATAGATTACTGCTTGTAATAAAAATAACAAATAAATGGTAATTTAGTTTTAATGTTAATGTTATAAAAGTAAGAATTAAAAATAGGTTTCCACTGTTAATATTATTTTACAAATGTGTTAAGAATAAAATAAACGGTTACCTATATTAAAATAACAACCTTTATTTATTTATGTATTAATTTGATTTCTTTATACAATTCAAGCTTTTTTTTACATTTGTATTGTTCCATTGACAGCTTTACATATTTGGTCTATTTGATTATTATTAATAAAATCATGAATAACACTATGGTTTATACGATGTTTTACACTCTCTGTTAGTGGACCTTTAAAAAACACCTCTACTATGTATAACGCTCCATTAAAAATAAAATTTGGTACAAATTTAGGTAATTCTGATACACTCACTTCCATTGTGCCAACTGAATTTAAATTGACATTATACGACACCTGACAATTAATTGGTCTTACAGCCATTTTTACATCAAATATGTTGTTTGACATAGTGGCCCATAGTTGACATCTAATCCCAAAACAAGTCGAGTTGTCCCAAATTACATCTAAATGGTGTATGATGAACGACATTTCTATCCAAGTTTCTAATTTTCCAGGATGTAAAATGACATTACCAATTCGCTGAACATTTGATATTTTATCAATGTGACCGCCGGATCCAACAAACAATCCAACTGAAAAATCGTGTATTCCTGTTTGTAGCAAAGACTTGTATCGATTATTTTGACTGTTATCATTTAACACCACATCAAAAAATTCATTTAAAATATTTTGTTTGTTTGCTGTTGTTATGTGTAATATTATATTAGAAAACAAGATAAAAATATGTATTTTTGTATTCATTATAAATTTGTATAATATAATATTACCCATTCAAATAAATATTAGCTTCGACTTTATGAGACTACAGGAAGTGTTATATTAAATTCTTCTCTTGTTAAGTGATTATTAAATATGCTAACACTCTCTGGAATTTATATCCCCTCCAATATGATATATATATAAGCTTCCTCCCTATTATTTTTTTCACTTGATAAAAAAAAATATGAACAATTTTTTTTTTAGTTTTAAATAATAGGTAGTGTGTAGGTTTTAACCAATTAAAATATGATATTAAAGTTTTCAAATAATTATAATATATGATATTGTTAATATCTTATAGAATATTATGCATTTTATATATTTATATTTAACACATTTAAATTAGTTTGAATAAGTGACTTGGTATAAGTGTGTAGTGTGTATAGTATAGTCTATTAAAACAACATAATACATAGTAACTTGAAAAGTATTTATATTTCATTATTTAGTATTTACTTAAGTATCTATAATGTTAAACTAACTTATTTCTTTTAAGTCTTAAAAAGATTAAATTATTTTTACTAGTGGGATAAAACAGATTGTAAGTCTTGTCTGAATATATTATAACTAAAACTTCTTGTACTTAGTTGAGGTAAAATTTACTATTTCAAAACTAGGTAAATAGGAATTTTAATGATATGTCGTACATTTATCTATTAATATTTGTATTACCTTATATGTAGGGCACAGGGAAAAAAACAGAAAATTAACCTTTTTTCAAATTGAGAAAAACGTGTTTTTAATTTCAAAACTTAATAATTTTTTTTTTATAAATTAACAAGTTCGGATTAAGTTTAATGTTCATTTTTGAAATTTAGTAACCACAACACAATAATGCCATATTAACCATGGCAATAGCCGTTTATTAACCCATCATTTGTCTTGTTCTCTCCCAGTATGAATTGACTTACCGGTTTTTTGTCGGTTTAATCATATAAAAAACACAGTATGTCTATACAAATGGTTTGATACCAATTCCGCAATTTTGAAAAGTTGTAGTGAAAATAATTATTATCTCTAAAGTTATAACTTTTTTTATTTTTAAAAGTAAAATTTAAAAAAAACATTCAAGATTCTCATTTTACAGTAAAATATTAAAAGTCACAAATTTAGTTAGTATACAATTTTTACTATAGCTAATGTGTCATTTAAATTATAGTTATATTTAATATAACTCAGATACATAGTTAAATAATATTAATCTATTACTTTTAAAAATGTGTGTTTGGATAATTTAACTTTAATTAGGTACCAATATATTAATTTAATTAATTATAACATTTAATTTTGCTATTTTTGTTTAGTACATCAGGAGATTCTCTCTATGTTACTCTGAGCTTAGCCAAGACTGCAGAAAGTGAAGAAATAAAAAGGACATACAGAAAACTTGCATTAAAATACCATCCTGATAAGAACACTGGTAACCCAGAAGCTGAAGAAAAGGTTTGATATAGTATTTAAAAACATAGAATATACTTTATTTTTAAAAATGAATACTTTCTTCTCATATTTATTTTTCTTATTGTTTTCAGTTTAAAGAAATCAATAAAGCCTACAGAATTCTGACAGATCCCAGGAAACGTAATATTTATGATAATTATGGCTCCTTAGGATTGTATATTGCAGAGCAATTTGGCGAAGAAAATGTCAACACTTACTTCTTTGTCACCTCAAAGTGGTGCAAGGTGTGTATGAAATTATTTAATATTTTTCTTCACCAATTTTGTATTAGGTGTATAGCTAATATGTCATTATTATTTTTCAGGCATTAATAATTGGTTCTTGTTTAATAACTGGCTGCTGCTGTTGTTTCTGTTGTTGTTGCTGTTGCAATTTCTGTTTCGGCAAGTTCAAACCAAAGGAACCTGAAGATCAACAAGCAAATTACACAAATTTACATGTAAGTATTCAAATTTATTAAACGTGTTTAAGTTTTATTTAACTATACGCATGAGGTCAATTCTGGATTTTTAACAACAAACACAGGTGCGTTTTGTGACTAAAAGCATGGTATATTAATTAAAAAAAAAACTATTTGTATATGATTATTAATTGTTATTAATACATGTTCTCTTAATAATATATAATACAAATTGTAAGTATACCTTGTGTTTTGGTGGATAAATTTATTGCAATATTTGGTGATTTGGTTATTTATTTTTATATTTTCAAATTATTATGCCTTTTGTTCCCTCAGTTAAATAAAAACTGTCATTATACCTTGTATTTCAGAGAAAAACTTGATTATTTATTTTTATTATTACTATTTTTAATTAAAATTTATTGTTGTTAAGTAATATCATATTATTGAATAGTTATGTATTGGATTGATTATAAAACTTACTATTTTACCCTTATTGCATTTTGGATTTTTGGATTTGACAAAAAGTTGCAGACTGAAATTTCACTAGAGGAACTACACAAGTTTTCCCCCGACAGTGTGTCAGTGTTTTAAAATCAAATTGAATTATGAAAAATATGATTTTAGTGTTATCATAAGGGAAAAATATATTTCGCACAACAGGTGGGCCATTGTTGTAGTTGAGAAGGTAGGATATAGAGGGAAATTTAATTTATATCTGTGCACAATGATAATCATTGCTAATAACAAACAATTCTGAGCGGAGTTCAATTTTACATGTTTTGAAAGGCCATAATATTATCATCGTAAATTTATATTCATCATTTATAATGAACCTCGTGTTAAATTTTCAAGCATTTTTGTTAAGTCCAACAATTTTATCCACTGAGTACCAACTGAATACAAATTATGTGCAGAACTCACAGAATTAAAATGTATTAATAACTCAAAAATTACTAGTGTTTTGATAGTTATACCACATCTAGAAAAAACAAGTATAAGTTTTCTATCTAAATTTGCAGTCTTTTTATAAGTATTTTTAACAGAATCACAAGAAAAATAAAATTGAAAATTATTTTATAAATTTTCCTGTTTTTTCAATTATTAAGAAAATTCTTTTAAAAAAATCAAAAAATGACCTTAGAAGTACCAACAAGATGAAATGTTGTTTTAGAAAAACTGTAGTATTCAAAAAATAAATAAACATAATTTTAAAACTTATGCATTCCTCGTTACTCTCCAAATCTAAAATATTAATATCATATTTATGTTTATATGTTTAAGTTTGTATTATGTTTATTCTTGTGTTGACTGTTGGTATATGTGTATTTGAGTGATTATAATTTTCAACTGTATGTAATTGATACAAATAATTTTAAATGATAGTTATACAAAAATGTTGTCTTCAATAACTAACAAAACTGTATTACATGTACGTAATTGCAAACAATAATTCCCATTTGAAATATCATGTCTAAATAATATTTAGTATAAATATAATATTTTCATGTATTTAAAACTAAGAGAAACATGTGGGTGGAAAACAAAACACTGCATAGGTACTTATTTATTGAGTAAACTAATAAGTGAAAACAGTTTCAACATTTTTGCAAAAAATTGATGACACTATAGGTACCATAGTTGATGAATTAAAGAAAATAAGCAGGTTTATTGGAGGGTTTAATTGGGATTGGTTACTTTGGATAGCCTCATCACAGTGGTTTCTTAACTGAGTTTTAGTTAAATTCAATGTTTTAGTACTGTGCACACTGACTAGTGTGCACATTTTTATCAAATCAAAATGCTATTAGTAATTCTTAGTGATTCAAAATATACTTACTGAATGGTTATTATAATTTTTTGAACTTTGGAATTAATTTATGATTTTAGATTCTGTGCGTAGCGAGGGAGCTATTGATTTTACTAAGATGTTTATTTTTTTTTTCTAGTTTGTGGACACGTTTTTCTCTAATAAACTTACTCTAATTTTTACATGTAGCAACTTTTCTGAAAGTTCAAGTTGTCTTGATGGTACTTTAGAGAGGTAATGTTTTGATTTTTGACCCCCATTTTTTTTTTAAAAAAAAAGTATTTAAGTTGGAAAAAATGTAGGAAAACGTACAATTTCACTAATTTAATTATTTTATTTTTTAAAAATACTGACGACATTTTCTAACAGAAAAAATGTTTTAATTGAAAAATCACATGACACCTTTTTGATTTACTTTCTTACAGTATCATCGCCAAAACTTTTGAGCCATTTTTGAGTTTTTAAGGAATTTTAACTTTTGGAAGTTTTTTGTTGTCATTTGGTTATTAATACACATAGAGACCTGAAAGTTAGTTATAATTCATAATTAGACGTTCCTAAATTTCCAAAATGATGGAATGACTTAAATCAAATTTAACGAAAATTGCATAAAAAAATTATGGTACTTCAAATTATGTATTACCGAACTGCGTTCGGAATCATCTTTCGTTAAGTAATGATTTACTATTGTTTACACATATAAATTAAATAATCTTATGTATCCTACCTACCCAATTTTTTATCTACAACAGTGGCTGTTCCTATCCCCAGTATCAGTTCTTTTTTTTTATCCAATAATCTTAAATATGTTTGAATAAACATTTGAATGCAAAATATTGTACCTAGCTTATAATCTATAAATATTTATAAATTAGGTAATATCAGTGTAGAGGGGCAAAATAATTTCAACTCTAGATGTATTTTCACCTTTTCTTTCCCCTTTTAAGAAATAAACTTTAAATAGTCATAATTTTATAGTTAAAAATAATAAATTTTATTAATTATTGTATATTTGTTTTGTGCTAAAGGTGTTGGTCACCCTATTTTGCAAACTGTTTTTACTTTTTATAGCGTAGAAATCCTATTAATTCAAAGATAATATTTTTACCGAAAATACAAATAACTGTTTAAGAACTAGACCTTATTTAACCCTACTTATATGTATCAAACCGTACAAGATTATCATCAAAAATATCAAAATACCTACCATTAAACATACTCTTAAAAAACCATTTTAATAAATTGAATAAAGTTATAAATATTTTTACATTTTTTTTTCTATTAAAAAATAAATAAAATAATTATGCAATTTGTCCTTTTTTTTTTTTTATTTTAGAAATTTGAAAATCGTATTATTAATTTCCAAGAAAGAGTTAATATTTTGAAAAAAATATCAGTAGTAAATATTTTTAGGAAACGCACAATACTGCAATAATAGTTATGTATTGGTAACTTTATAATTCAAAAAAATAATCTCAGAAATACAATATCAAGAATTCTTCAAAAAATATAAGCAATATTATGTGTATTTTTTTTGATTTAAAAAGAAAGAGTTAACAATGAAAAAAGCAATTATTTATTCATACTTAAAAACTGGATATCTTAATACTATTTTATTTTTTTGGAAACTTAAATTTATATAACTTAATGAATACAATTTTTCAGAAAATCTAAATAAATATTATATATTCCTAATACAAGTTTAATTGATTTTACTATTGCTATATTTTATGCTATTATATATAATGGATATATTTTTAAGTAATATGTTGTATGTTGATTATTGGGGAAAATGAAAATGAATCTGTATGATTTTGTTGGTTTATAATTTAAATTTCAAAATTCCTGATTTTGTAATACATGCATAAACAAATTGAAATTAGGAAGTATTTAAAATTGTATTAAACTTTTTGTTTAGAACACATACGAATACTATTTGTTATTTGACGTAAAAAATAAATTTAACTGACAATAGTGAAATAATATTGACCAAACAGTCCATAAAAATAGTTATTTTCTTTTTCTTTAGTATTATTTATATAATATTTTTTGGTTTTCTAATTAAATAAATATATTATTTGTTATTGATAAATTTAAAGTACATAATATATTCTTGTTTTTAATATTTTAGCTTTACGATCCATTTTAGTTCTTAACTGTCAAAACTATCTCCCTCCATTTCTCTTTGTCATACTTTATTTGTAAATCTCTTTTATCTTGGAATACCATATGCCACAGCTTATTGTATTGACACTGTTTATCTTTTTTATGGCTTTTCTCTTGGTCTCCTTACCTCTAGTATATTATTACTAGAGGTAATAATATACTCTTTTTATAAATTTCTTAATTATTTAAGAAATTTAAATTTTATGTCCAAATAATATGATAATTCTGTGCATAAAATTAAATTTTATTTAAAAAATTATTCATAAAATATTGTATGAGAGTTATACAGTAATAATAACTCTAAATTTAAGTTTATAATTATTAGTTTAGCACAATATTTGTATAGGTTCTAAATTAATTGTTTTTAATTTTAAAATATTTAAATTATTTTTTGTACAATTTATTGCATGCTTATATAGTTTTATTAGTAGTACCTATCATTTTATTAGAATATTTTCGTTTTTAGTTTTATAATATAGTTTTATTTATTTTGTTTGTTTGGTTGAAAACTGTTGGTTCCAATTTTTTTTGCATTTAACGTTTGCTTGTTTTCCGTGTTTATTTTTGTAGAACGGCGGAGCAGATCATACAAATGACGGTATACATAAAAAGGTAACTTAGTTGAAATTGTTCTTAAGTATATTGTTATAAGTAGTAGTAATAGTAGTAGTATTAATAATTGTAAATTGTGTTAATTTGTATGGTTGACACATTTGATTATAATACTTTTTTTTAAATGTGTATGTCTTATTTATTAACTGAGTAGTTAACATAATTATTAATGTTTTTTTTTTGAACAGCTTTAGAACCTATTAATGCCTATTGTTGCAATACAAACTTCCATTTCTACCCTTCCATTTCTCTCTGTTTTGAGTTACTTCACTAAAATGTTTTATAATTAGTTGTCTTAATTCCTTTATGCTTTTATCAATCACAGGGTTTCCTTGGTAAGTCGAGTTTAGGATATAATTTGGATCCTGTTACGTGATGGAGCCAATTTGGTTTTTTATGTTGGATTTGTTTTATTATATATTTTGTTTGTGTCCCATCGTTTTATTTTTTAGGTATGGAGATCTTCAGGAATTTTTCTTATCCTCCTGAGTTGTGGTCCATGTTACATTATGATTGTCTTATTAATACTATGTATAATTTTTCTTTTGATTTCTTTGGTTCAGTGGTTAGATCTTTATTAGTATGGTGACATTAAAAAAATCAGAATTTTTTGTACTTAGAATCTAATATAAATATAAGATTGTTAATATATTTAACTTAGAAGTATAAGATTAATACCAATAAAGATCATTTAATTTGTAATATATTTATGATTTCTAATATAATAACTTGTGGTGGTTGGGAATTTTACTAAAATAACTAACATGCAATAATATTAATTAATTGTAAATAATTTATAAAATGACCACTAACAGTATTTGATTATAAATTCTTACACAAAATAATTATTAATAAATCACTATGGTTTATTATTTAAATTGCTGGAAGATAGATGTTAAAAATACTGATGTATTGTGTGCATGTAAATTATTGCATTCATTAAAATATTTTATTTACAATTTTTATTTAAAAAAAAACAAACAAAATGGGTAGCTGCTTTTATCACATGTATCATTATAAATTCTTGTAATTATCTTGTATATTTCTTGTGCCCGAAAGAACATAGATTGTATATTCCATAATAATAATAAAATATAATACATTTTTTCATTTCTATTTTACTAATACATTTTTATATTTAAATAACTAAATGAAAAAATGAAAAAATTGTTTTCAAGATAAATGTAATTTCAAGGTCCTTTTACTCCATTAAAATGTTATTTAGTTAAGTTCACAGAATACTGGTGATAATTGGGATTGATTATGATTATTTATTATATTTTATTTTTGATTTATTCATATATTATATTATTGGTTTTAAATTCAGGAGGATAGCGAAGACGATGTTGTAGTGAATCAGCCGTCATCTACAAACGCTTCTACAGGAGGCACAGCACAGCACACCAACGCGTTTGCCATGCCTATACCGCTATCAGCTAATGAAACTACTGCATTGAATCCAGATGGTACACCCACAAAGTACTCTGCAAGCAAATAATTTGCTTTTGAAAATCACCTATGCCTCCCAGACACATACTTTCATGTACGATTAAACCACAGTTAATAATTTTACCCTCTTAGTGAAATTTTATTACAAAACATCTTAACAAAACTGGTTTTAGTTTCCAATATTCGCACATTTTATTAATGTATTACGACATAATTTCAATATATTATTATTTATTAGTCATACACAAAATTTACCACCTATAGGTAACTTAACCCTATAAGTATGTGTGAATGAATTATGTTGTGTGTTATTCTCTTACTTTTATTTTTATTCATATTAAATATTGGATGGTTTAACTCATAATCTAGTCTAGTGTGTTTGTTCCAAGTTTTGATAGGGTTCATAGATGTTCTTGTAAAACTAGAGACTAGAAAGGCTTCTTAAGTTTCTGCTCCTACATAATATTTATGTTAATTAGGGTATGGGGCAATAGATATTTGAGAATTTTCTACAATATGATAATTCACAAGATTTGGATAATGATTCCTGTAATTTGTTTGTTTTGTTTAGATAAGATTCATTGAAGACTTGCTTTTTATTTAATAAATTAAAAATATATTTGATGAACATTTCAATGTTTAATGCCTTAATATTTATTACACCCTGAACAATTTAATCCGAACATGAACATTGGGTAAATATTTTTAATATTAGTTTTCACTAATATATAATAAAATAATCACAACTCATTCTTTAATATTTTAGATGTTTTTTTTAGTAAATTAAGAATTAATTAATCATTTATTGGAATGCCATTTTATTCTATTATAATATAAATTAATCACATTGGTATTAAAAATTATATTTAAATTTAATAATATTAACATTATTGTAGTTTGAACATGAAATTATTCATTAATTATTATATGATACAATAATATTTTATTCTGGTTTACTTTTGTTAATTAAACATATTTGCTACATAATTAATTGGCAAAGAGAAAAAAATTGTATTTGTAAACTATTCCTCCTGATTTTTTATCATGATAATAATAATCATTTTAATTTTAATAATTGGAATACTGAATTAGAATTAGGATTATAATTTTAATTTTTTTTTTACATTTTAAGTAAGTAGAAAGTAGTGAGAGTAATATGAATTAAACTAATTCTATGTTAAGTAAATTATAAAGTGAGTTATCAATAATATTGATAAAAATATCTTATTTAATTTTTTATAATCATATACTGTCATAATATATTTTATTTCTACTTATTGTATGTGACATTTGTGTTCTTTCCTAGTGAATATTTCATTTGTTATTTATAATATTTTAGTAATTAAGATTTTGAATCTCCTTTAGGAAAACAATTGTAAATGCAAACGTATAATACAAACAATTGTTAAACTTATTTAAAATAAATAAACTTACAAAAATTATTGAAATTTTCCATAACCATTTTAACGCGTGGCAATTTGCAGTGTGGAAAGTATTATTATTTTATTATTACTATTATTATTCTATTTTGTATTATATATTATATATTATAATAATTTATCTACTACTATTTTTAAATAATAGTAATAATTTTAATCCTTATGCTGTTCTTGTTATTTTTTCAATTTTGCTCTTAGATCATATATAATCAATTTTTGTATGTGTAAGTAACAAACTTATTCACTTGCTAAAAATAATAATTTTTTTAAACACAGGAAATACTTAAATTCTTTGATTGCTTTAGATGTTTTGTATTTTGATTTTGAACTACATAATAGGAATTTCAATATAAGTAGATGTGTTTTACTATAACTTTTGGTAACTATTACCACTCTTACTATTATTATTATAATTATCATTATAAATTATTACTTTCAATATGAAGTCTAATAAATAATTATAAACCTATTTTTTTTTGTTATTTAGTAATTGGAGTGGGTGCAACAACAAGGGATCTCCAAATTATGAAAATATTCATTAGAGACTAAAACTATTTTAAATGTTGGAGGGAATCTGGTTGTTGCACTAAAAAGTAACAAGACCATAATATATTATATGAATGGTTTTAAACATGTATATATATTATTTGTATACAAAACAAGTTATAAAATACAAAAAAGAAATTGTATAGACTTATCACAGATGAGCACTTATAAATACAATGTGACCAATGTCTAGGTCAATAACACGTATGTAAACATTATGTCTGTGGGAAAAACAAGACATCTCCAGAGATGTCTTCTTATTGCAAAAGAAAAAAATATCTCCAATTTTATATGTTATCTTCATATTTAATGATCCGAAATATCTGATTGTTGTACCAATTGACAAGGTTTTTTTTTCTATAAGAAAAAAATAAAGATGTCTGGTTATTGCACCCCTCTCATCAATTCGTTTTTCGTATTAAAACAACTAAAAAAAAATTAATATTTGAGCAAACAGAATTGATTTTATTGTTTACAAATACAATTTTAGCATATCCGTTATTTCTAATAATTTTATTTGCTCGACGTTGACAATGCACATAGATGCCTGGATCCCAGGACATAGTACAAACAAATGTTTAATATGTTTATTATAACTTTATATTTACATCTCCTTGTGTTAGATTTTTGGACACAAGTTCAGATGTCATAACCTTGACCTTCTAGACTGGAAAACCGTCTAATTACTTCTCTAAATGATAACCACGAATATCGAGTATGATAATTAACACTAACAAATTCTTCTTTGTTAATGGATTTCTTCTGTAGTGATATAAAACTGTTTTTCGGCTATTCATTGTCTAAGGAAAACTTATAGTCACTTTCTGTTTACAAATATTGTCCAGTTAGTGCATTGTGGAGGTAATTTTAGATATGGAGCGTAGCGAGGATTCTTTGGTTGGTTTTGCTATGATATGTGTTTTTGTATTTTGTATTTGTTATGCCTGTGAACAACTTTTCTATCAGAAATTTAGCTCTGATGTATACAGTGTAGCATCTTTTCTGAAAGGTAATTTTGTATAGTGTTTTCTAGCTAAAATAATTGGGGAAAAATCCGAAAGAAAATAGGTAAAACAACAAATATTTACGGCTCGCCAAGCGCCGCAGCGTTATTGATTTCATTTTAAATTTGTATCTATGATATTTTATACTAGAAATATTGCTCCAATTAAAAAATAACAAGAGATCGATTTTGTTCCTTTTAATATACAACTATTGACAAATAAAGTCTTTTTTTTTTTAATATCTAAAGTATTCATTACTATTGTTCATAATAATTAAGGTAAACATATGATTTTTTCAAATTTATGGCGCAATTTTATTATTTAAAATTGTTACTGCTTGTTTTCCACTAAATATATCGGTGGACATCTTTTTTTCTGAATTCTTAATCTAGTTAGTGAAAGAGAATCGTCGTTATATATTTATAGAGACTTGAAATTGTGACAGAAACCTTATATTTGGTTTTTATAGACATGGTAAAATGTTTTTATAACATTCGAGCTATTTTTGAGTTGTCTACAGACATTTTAATTTTGCGAGTTTTGTTTGTAATCTTTGGTAGGTATAGGTATAGGTATAACTCTTATTAAAATTATGAAACTTGAGAGAAATGCTTGAAAGTTAACACAAGACATATTATAAGTTGTACTTATAATGGTTTAAAAATTCGAGCGTATAATGTGTATTTTTTTTTTGTATAAGTTTTAAAATAAAATTTTGACGAAGATTGTAAATATTACGACCTTTCAGTACACGTATAACTGAACTTCGCTTCGAATCGTTTTCCGTTGGCAATGGTTTATCGTTGGTTACAGGTATAAATTAAATAACTATGTATCCCACCTTTCTTCACCGGCTCTTTTTTTATTCTCTTAGGAGTTTTTTTAATGATGTGGGAAAAAGGTAAATATTTATGCATTAATAATGGTGTCGGTTTTTTTTCATTTTGTTTGTTGCAGTTTGTCGCAAAAAATCATTGCGGACACCTGAAACCTTTGAGTAGGTAATAATATTAGTAGGTAGATACTTTCTAGACGTCGAATAATTTTTAAACATTCTGGCGTTTTTTGATCTATTTGTAACTACTTTCAATTTTATTTCTGGTTATATGAAATCGATATAAATATGTGTTATACGGTATTCCGGTAGTTGATCGATAACAAATTGTTCGCAAATCTAAAAATTATATTATTAATTAAAGTATATGTCAAATGAAATGTCTAAATAAATAACTAGTAAAAATAAAAAAAAATTTATTATTATTTAAATTGCATTTAAAGTCAACTAAAATAATTGCTAAAAAAATGTATAAAATACGTACAATTAAAAATTAAATTTGCAGTTTTTTTTTTAAATTATAGACTATTCCACGTAGGTAATCGAAAATGTTCAGATTATTATTATAATCTGAGCAAATTTGTTTAATTCTCTTAACTCGATCTTAGTATTTTTTTTTTTCGGTATCTAGTGCCGGATATATACTGATCAATTTTGAGTCAATTTATGCTTTTTTCTTTTTTTAAAGTTTCAATAAAACGCCTTATTGATAGATGTTTTCCACTTAAGATTGACGTAAAACTGCAGTTATGCCAACTTTCAACGGGCTTATTTGATGTTGCTAAATCTTGTCCTATTTTAAAAAAAAAATACAGTTCAAAATTAAAATTTTCGGTGTTTTTCAACTTCTTTGTCTGTCTAATTTGCCCAACCAGATATTTTCAAAATAGTATAAAAATTGTTCTAATATTTCTTCATTTTTTGTATAATAATTACTTTTAATACGCCATACGCATATAACATTGCTTTTAGTTGAATACGTCAAACGAATTTGTTGTTTACGATCGATTGACATGTATACGTGACATACAATCAAGAATATAAAAAATTTCAAATATTATGTGCGAAATTGTTTTCATCAAGCTGAAAGAATATTCTTAACTATAATATTTTCAATATTGTTGTATGGAATAAAATTCGGGAATACTCCTAAGTGAACTTAAACTTCATATTATGATTGGTAACGAAAAAAAAAACAATTAATACTTAATAAAAGTTGAAGGTACCTTACATAATAATATGTAGGTACTTAAAGTATTCATTTGTAAATTTAATTAGGAACCTACTGAAATATTTAATCACAATTGAAAAAAATAAATAGTTTTAGTATAGGTACTTAATTGAAAAATTAAATCATTTTTTTTCTCATCGTCTTTCATATTAATATTGTTTTTAGTTATTATAACGCTGTTATTAACACGGCTTTGCCTGTGTTATTCCATCCCTATTACTAAAACAACCCATGCATCAACAAAAATAATTCGATTTTCATATAAAAATGCCAATAACCCCGAGTCACTCCCACCTTTAAGATCTTGAATATGAGAGAAAAATCTTATATGAAGCGCCGCATGCTATTCCTGGTACATAACTGTATCTATGCAAACTTTCAGCTCAATCCGTTCTATAAATTGGGCGAGAAGTGATAACAAACATACTTCCATTCATCCAAAAAAACTTTCGCATTTATAATATTAGTGGGATTACTTACTTATTAGTAGAGCACGGATTTATATGCGTTTACATATTATTTCATTTTCATATTTTTAAATTTTTGTTAATAATCTTGACGAATCAAAGATTGGAATTGGGGAATTCATTACTAATAATTTAATGTGCATATTTTTGCATATTTCGCCGTAAATGCATATTTAAATAAATGAATGTGCTGTCAAATTATTAATAATAATTAACAATAATAAAAAATATTTTTTAAAATCACCTAAGAGAATTCGAATTTTCAGAGATGAAACGGAAAAATATACCTTTACCTCCCGTTCCGTAAATAACAAAGTGGGGGACATGGTTAGTCACTGTTATACATGACGCGGAATATTTGATAAAATATCAAAAGGTAATTGACTCGCATAAGACTATGCACAATGTGTTAAAAAAGTACTTGATATTAAAGATAGATCGATCTTAAATGAAATAGTAATTATCTCAATTCATTTATCATTTTTAGTTGAAATATTAAAATAACTAGAAACTTAAAATTTGCCTTCATCAGAAAGTTTTTCTTTAATATATAATTGAATTAAAATACAAAATAAACGTTATTCCTGAACTTATAGAGGCAACATTAAAAACAAAATCAAATCACATTTTCTCCAAAAAGAAAGGCTTGAAATTATTACGTAATGGGTACCTAAGTGGTTCAACTATTTGAAATCTATCAAGACCTTATGATTTTAAAATCTTTTAAAAACAGTTGCTCCAACAACTCCAGTAGATGTTTAACGATTATTTACGATACACAAGCATTTATTGACAGACCGACGGCAAAGTTTTACCGTACAAAAATTTGAATATCATTTAATAATTCATTTCAACAATAAAGAATAAAAACACATTTTGAGTTGTAACTCATTACATTTATAATTTTTTTACACCTAATACAATTTTTAAACATACATATTTTTGTTGCATATTTAATATTTTAATCATTTTTACTGTATATTATAAGGCATATTTTGTTATTTTTTTAGTGTATATTAATCCGTGTTCTACTTATTAGATTGGGTACCTATACTCTGTCTAGTGAGAGAACGCGTCGAACTGACTAAGTGACAACCGCTGCTGGTCACTTGACGGTCTAGGTGGGAACATTACAGCTGCCCTCACGCGTTGATGCGTGATTGCGTGAACCAGATCGATGTTGGTAAGCCTTTGGCGCATTCTCTCGCTGGATAGAGTATACCTATATAATTTATATTAACAATGATAGGCATCATTATAGAATCTAATTATGATGTTATAATCATAATAAACAATTTTAGAATTCTAAAAATCTAACTATATTAGGTAATTAAGAATGATCACTTTTGCCCGAAAGCGAATGTCGAAGTAAAGTACAGTGAACCTATATTTTGATTAGTCATTGATTACTACGATAACGACCGTATGTGTATTTTTCAGGTAATACTGAATTGGTTCCCGAGCTCATATACTAAAAATTTACTTTATGAAGGTAAAACCGAATTGGTTTCCGTTTAAAATCTACATTTGTACAATAAATATAATAATTTGAAAACTGTAAGACGAAATACTTTAATTATACGATTAAAATATTCGAAGAAAGTTTGCTTTATACTTTAACAATCTCAATTGTATAATATTATTATTTTATATAAGTAATGACTTGAGTAATTGTTGGCTTCCGTTTCAATGTTTGAAACAATTTAAAATGTGTACTTTTATTTTTAAATATTATTATTATTTAAGAGGTGACCGGTAATGACTTCATTTTATGCACATTTTTAACCATGCCTTTAGTTTTAAGTTGACAGTCCTAACCAATTCGATCAGTAGTGAATAACATCACAAATTTAATCGGGAACTAATTCGGCTCACCTTTATAAAACACCGTTTTCAAACGGGAACCAATTCGAATACATCTTATTTTTTGACCTAAGCAGGTACCAGCACAGTAGGAAGAGTTTGTTTCATTTTTATACATATTTATTAACAATAATTATTGGATTCAGCGTAAAGCGTTGAAATTAGTTAGGTTTGAAAACACGACGAATATGAAATATAAAAACAATTTATTATTATATTGTATGTTATGTTCACATATTAAATAAAACATAAAAATAAAGTAATATAAAATATTGTACCTTAAGACTCTTAATGAACCTCTTGTTAAATTTTCAAGCATTACTGTTAAGTCTAACAATTTTACCTTAGAGTATCTACCAAATAAAAATTACATACAAAACTCGCAAAATTAAAATGTTTATAAAAAGCTCAAAAATGACTTAAAATTTTTAAAAATTTTCCACGTCTAGAAAATGGAAATATAATATTTTTCTCGTCCAAATTTTATGTCCATAGAGTCGATACGAATATTTTTGACTTAATTTCAACAAAAATATTAAAATTTGTATAATAAGCTTAAAAATGACAAAAATGTTTCGAAAATTTTACCATGTCTAGAAAAGATAAATATAAGTTTTTTGTCCGAGTTTCAAGCCTACGAATATTTTTAACTGAATCACAATAAATAACAAAATTGAAAAATAATAAAAGCATTATTTTCGTAAATTTCCCGTTTTTTTACGTTTTATCCTGGTTTTTTTTCAGATATTTTGAAAATCGTTAGCCAAATCAAAAAATGACCACCTAAAAGTACCATCTGAACAACATTCCCTTTCAAAAATGATGCTGTGCGTATATATTTGATCAAGATTTCTGGTAGAATTTTTGTACACAGTATAAAAAAAAAATAATAATAAATAAACATCTTAGTAAAATCAATACATTTTTCTCTACACCCAGAATCTAAAAAGATACTGGGGACGGGTGTGCCACTTTTATAGATGGGAAGTTGAGCTTGAGAAGATAGGATACATTAAGTTATTTAATTTATATTCATAAGCATTGTTTACGGAAACGATTTGGAGCTAAGTTCGGTTACTTATATTTTGAAAGGCCGTAAAATTTACGATTTTCATTAAAATTAGATTTTAACTCTTTAAAAAAAAAAAAAAAATACTACATTAAGTCAACCTTTTTTTTTTTGACCGTAAAGTTCAACTTTTAATAGACTTCCTATGAAATTTCTATCCGGTCAAACAATTTTGTCCTTCCACAGAGTATCTGCCGAATAAAAATTATGTAAAAAAACTCCCAAATTAAAATGTCTATAAATAGCTAAAAAATAACTAAAATGGTTTGAAAATTATATTATATTTAGAAAAGGTATAACTTTGGAAAACACTTTTTATTGCTTTTATGATATTATAAGTATAATAACAGTACTTTATAAAGCGTGACAAATCTACGTAGCATAGATAGGCATCTTTTAATAACAATCAATACGAAAAGGAGCCTTACAATTGTATGCTTATAACTCGTTCCTGTATTATACCTAGACATTGATAGTGCCAACATGGAAATACTTAAAACCTATGGTACAATATTTTAGAAATATAAAATAATGATGATATTATAAAATGTGCCAAATAATATAATTGTAATAATGGTAAATAAATAAAATAATTGTTTTTCTTACCATAATTAATGATGTTTATATATATTTATTATTAAGAAAATATGAATTAAATAGTATATATATATAAAATAATGTACAGTATTATATATTATTATGTTTTTTTATTACGTGAACATAATACATAGTATAGATAGTAATAATAAATATTTTTAAATTTAATATTTGTCGGGTTACCAACCCTAACCGATTTCAGTTAATGTCGGTAAAAATGTATACAAGTTGAACAAATTCCGCCCTGTACCGTGCTAAGACCTGTTATAGTCAGGAAATATGCCTACCGTATGACCCAAGAAACTTTTAACAACACTTGATTCCCTACAACAAGTTTCACCAAAACTGTCAACAAAATTGTGTTTATATAGGAAATCAAGAGTATTTTCCACTGTAACTACTACACGTGTCAACTAGTAGAAAAGACAACACATGTGTCACGTAGGTTAGGTTAGGTTAGAATACCTATTGGATTAATAATAATTATTATTCATCTCTTCAGCACACGATTCATACGTGTTTATCTTAGTCCAACATCTAACCAAATCACCGAACATCAGTAAATCCTCTTACCAATTCAAAATGGATGGTTACAAATGATCTGTTTACCAGAAAGAGTAAACATGTTATAGTAATCAAAACGCAAAAACATTACCAGTAAACAATTTACTCATGGTTATAACGCTAACATACGCCTATTGATCCTATAATAATTTGAAGTCTGTACACTACAGTTATAAAGTTATAGCGAAAATGTACAAATTTCAATAGTAGGTTTACTTTCTGAAATTGCGCTCGACAAGACTTATGATACGAATGTTAAATGTATAGATATTCGGTGTTAAAAGTTTTTACAAATATGTGATCCAAAAATTTGCTTTTATACTTTTCCACACGAAAATTTTATGTAAGTAAACAAGTTGTATACTTACTTACAATTATTGTTTGTAGTAATTATGACTTGCGATAACTAGGCCAATTCAAGTTATGACATTACGTGCTGAAAAGAGTTTCAAAATGCCATAGATTTATTTCTTCACCGAATGTATATTTATATAAGTATACTTAGTGCAATTCGATAATTATTGTTATTTTAGCCACATTTCGATAAAATATTGACCCCTTGATGACTTAGTTAAAAAAAAACCAATGAGTAGAATCCCCTACCATCTCTTGGTTTATAATTATTAATTAGTTTTAGTGGTATATAGTACTAGTATGAGAAGTCTGTGCTTGAATTGGGGTGGTGGGTACATACGGAGAGTATCTCTTCTTTTATAGAAATATTTTAGAATATCACTTACAATTTTTCATAATGGATACAAAAATTGATGGAGGGGTTTGGATTAAACATTTGCCCACTCCAAATACAAAATTTACCGACCCCAAAAAATGTTTATCCATCTTTTTCTACACTCTTTTGATATGTAATAAATTTGAAAATAATAAATAAAAATGTCATGAATAATATATCATATACCATATACCATACTCGTAATATTCCATGTACCATCATGTAATAAAATAAGAACATCTGAGAAATTATTAATTTTTACGAAATAAAAATTATATTATTGTTGAATTGCTGACTTAGTAGTTAGTTTGGGAGAGAGGGATATGAAATAATCTACACACTATCTGTGAATCTATATGGATATTATAAACATTTAGGTATATGACCTAAAGGTAGCTTTACGTTCAGTTATGCATGCAAAAATTTCAGTTTTTAATAATATAATTATAATTAAAAGTGTGGAAATTACAACTGTTTGGTAAAATGCTTAATGTGATTTTTGTTGTTGGATATTGTTTATTATTTTTTCAATTTCCACATTATAATTACTTGTGCTTGCTCTAAGTACATGGTGGAGATGGTCATTAGTGAAGCATGAACGGTATGGATTTTTAATTTTTTTCATATGAGAAAAAGCCTGTTCACACACGTAAGTGTATTCAAACATACTGAAATTTTTGCAGTTATATTTTTAATTTTTGAAAATGATGCAAGAAGTTCAGCGAAAAAAAGTAAAGGCGATGCTTTGACTGAGTTTTTAAGATCTTGTGGCTATAAATCTATTATTTCCATTTGAAGCTCATTAGGGATATCTTCAACATTAATAATAAATGGATTGGTGAGTAATTGAAAATATTGTGAATGTCGTTTAAAATCTTGAAATCGATTATTACATTCCTGTTGAAGTATCGAAACAGCTTAAACAAATTTAACTGTTGATAATGAAAATTCTGATGATTCAAAAAAATGTTTACAATTCGGAAAATGTGTTAATTCATTTTTTTTAGTCTGAGACCGTAATTGTTTTAATTTAAGTTTAAAACATTTTAATATGACACACGTGCCTACTCTATCTTATCGGTAACTGTCAAGGTATATCTACTATTACAAAATATGACTGATAGGAACGTTCAATTATATTTATAGGATATAATTTTTTTGATATAATATTCCATTAAATTTTGTCGTAGAATTAAAAGCGGCCCGTATACAATAGACGGGCAGTCCGAATGCGACTTGTGGACTACTGGTTGCCGACCACTGGTATAAACAATAATTTGAACTAAAATCAGAACTGTACAAACGATTTGTACGATTTCAGTTACTACTTGAAAATAAAATTAAGATGTGCGCATGTTTAGACCGATATTTGAATGTGTGAAAACGATCGCATGTTTGTGTAAGTATGGACCTGGGGAAAAACCGCTGGTAGGTATGTTATCGCGTTTGTATCTGATATTAATATAGATATGAACACCATCTATAATGTTAACAATACATATTTAATTATTATTATTATTATCAATCAATAACATTAAACGTTATTAGTTAAACTTAAGAGAAATTAAGATCAACTCCTCTTTACTCATTGAACACATTTTGTCAATTATATGAGATTTAAAAACATATTTAATAAAATAATAATAATAATTATTATTAAATCATTATTCATAAAAATAAAATTTATGTTTTTTAATAGATGAGAGAAAATAAATATTATTAAGGTTAAAACTGAACTGAACGTTTGAGTATCTATAAACACTTTATTGAATATTCGTCATCTGCATAAGTTTAATTTGTACAAGTCAGTTAGCATAAGCACAATTTAACGTGTAAACCCACCTCGAGGACCATAGGCGGAAATTTGGTGAAATCATTGAAGCGGGGGGCTGAATAATTTAATCATAGTAAATTACAAAAACTATTTGGTACCTTATTTTAAACATTTTTATGGTATTCTAAACAGAAATTATTAGGTATTAAATTAATTTAATTATAACCAATTTAATATCTGTTAAAATAAAAAATGCCAATTATAGGGTACTTTCAACATAATAAATATATTCATTTCAGTACAATATACTATCTATTTTTATTTAAAAAAGCTGTTATTAATATTTTTCAGATAATTTTCAAAATTTAAAATAAAAAGGCCATTGAATCATTTCAATCACAGACATTTGGGTAGATATTCGCAACAATTTGGGTTTTCAAATCATCTAAATTATAACAATTGATATCTAATAAAAAATAGAAAATAAAAAGGTATACATAAGTTTTTTTGTAATGTGTTTTGTATTCAAATTTAACAGTTTTTGAAAATGCATATTACAATCATAACAATTATTGTATATTTAGGCCCTTTATAATTTTGAGGGCCAGGGGGCTTAAGACCCGCATTATAAACATTTGGGGGACTTAGCCCTCTCAAGCTCCTCCGATTTCCGCCTATGTTGAGGACATTTAAATATTAAACTTACATACATTTTGTTTATACTTTTGCATCTCTCTTCCAGTGGGTGTGCACAGGTGAGGGTAAATTGGGGATTATATAGGGATATAATCCTCAATTTGTTCTTTACAGCAGCTGTGATATTTATTTGATAATTTAATAATAAAATGTATACATTGCAGTCAAGTTAAAGAGAAAGTTTAATTTATATCAAATACAAATTGCCTTTTTTGGATCCAGCTTTTAAATTCCAATTTTCGGGCTGAGCATGTAGAAGAAGTTCTATGATTAATTTATGATTATTTTTTTTACTACATCCTCTAATATTGAAAATTTCTGGACACTCCACTGTTTTGGTTTCATTTTTTTTTCCAATTCAAGCACTGATAGTAGTAGTAAACTAGTAACTAGTAGTAGTAGGTGGTAGTGGTAGTAGTAGTAGTAGTAGTAGTAGTATAAGTAGTAGTGATAAGAGTTTATTATTTTAGTATTAAGGATTGTCCTAAAATTGCTTTTGTTTTTTCGTTAAGAAACATTTTATCCGTATATAGGTACAACGTGTATACACATACATTTTTTACACAGAATACATAACAATAACGATAAATAATAATAATAATAATAATAATAATAATAATAATAATAATAAT